TCTATTTAGACGACATAATCGTTGTAACTCCAACACTAGATAAACATCTCGAGGTACTGCAGGAAATTTTCAAGCGTCTTTTACAGTCTAACCTTACTCTTAATAAGGAAAAATGTAACTTTTGTAGATCAGAACTTAAATATTTAGGATATGTTGTGAATCGTAAAGGTCTACACGTCGATCCAGACAAGGTATCAGCAATTGTCAATATTGCCGCCCCGAAGAACATTTCTGATGTAAGGTCGATAATTGGTATGGCTAGTTGGTATAGAAAATTTATTAAAAACTACTCGGATATGATAGCTCCATTGTCAAATTTATTGAAAAAGGGAGTAAAGTTTTTTTGGTCTGCTAGCTGCGAAAAAGCCTTGCTCAATATTAAAGATGCATTAGTGAGTGCTCCAATTCTATCTTGCCCAAATTTTGAAAAATCTTTTATTCTTCAGTGTGATGCATCTGGTTTTGGAATTGGATCCGTTTTGTCACAGAAATATGATGGTTCGGAGCATGTTATTTGTTATCTTTCGAGATCCTTGACAAAAAACGAGCGTAAGTATTCCACAACCGAGCGAGAATGTTTGTCTGTGCTTTGGTCTATAGAAAAGCTCCGTTGCTATTTGGAGGGTGCAGAATTTGAAGTTGTGACAGATCATCATTCCTTAATCTGGTTAAATAACCTAAAAGATCCTCAGGGTAGACTTAGTAGATGGGCTTTAAGACTTCAGCAATTTAAATATTCCATTGTACACAGGAAAGGTAAAGAACACCTCGTTCCAGATGCTCTTTCTAGAAGTGTACCAGTCTGTGAAAATGTAACTCTTAGTATGAATGTTGGTATGGATGATGATTTTAATAATGTTACAGATAAGTGGTATTTAGGTTTGCGAGAAAAGGTATTAAAAAGTCCTTTAAACTATCCTAAATGGCGAGTGACTGGTAATAAGTTATACAAGTATGTAGAGTGTGATTTTCCTGAGCTACGCACTGATGAAGAATACTGGAGATTGGTTTTGCCAAAAGAGAAACGTCGTGATATAATTTATAATTGCCATAATATTCCAATTTCGGGCCACTTGGGAATTTATAAAACCTTTCATCGAGTTTCGCGTTTATATTATTGGCCATCTATGAAAAAAGATATCACTAGATACATTAACTGCTGTAAAGTTTGTCAGAAAACTAAACCCGAGCAAAAACGTAAGGCGGGTATGATGGGCAATAAACCGATTGCGAAACGTTGTTGGGAAATCGTAAGTACAGATCTGGTCGGACCTCTTCCTAAAAGTACCCATGGTTATATACATATTCTTGTAGTATGTGATAGTTTTAGTAAATATTGTCTATTTCTTCCATTACGTAGAGCTACTGCTGCTAATGTGGCAAAGTTATTAGAGGAAAATGTTTTTATGATGTTTGGTATTCCTAAATTTATTTTATGTGATAACGGCGTACAATTCAAAAGTAAAGAATTTAGTAAATTGACAGGTACATACGGAATTAAGACTATTTTTAACCCCGCATATACTCCCGAAGTAAACCCAACTGAAAGATTAAATCGTGTGCTAAAAACCATGTTAACAGCTTATGTTAATGAAAATCATAGATTATGGGATAGTAATTTACAACATTTGGCTTGCGCTGTTCGTTCTGCTCGTCATGAAGTTACAGGTAAAACTCCTTATTTTGTAAATTTTGGACAAGAAATGGTGTTGCACGGTAGTGAATTTGCAAAAGAGGGGATAGCTGAAAAAGAGTCAAGATCGAATGGAAAGGATGAGGGAAGTTTAAGAAAATTGAGGGAATTTGTTTACCAACGATTAAAAAATAGTCAAGAGAAAACGAGTAGGCAGTATAACTTGAGACGTAGACCTGTTTCTTATGATGTTGGTAATTTAGTTTTAAAAAGAAATTTTAAGTTATCGGATGGAGGTAATTATTATGCGGCGAAATTGGCAGAAAAATTTTCTGGACCATTTAGGATACGTAAAAAATTAGGACATTGTGTGTATGAATTGGAGGATCTAGACGGATTAAGTAAAGGAAATTGGCACGTAAAGGATATGAAACCCTTTAATGACGCTGAGTTTGAGGATAAGTGTTAGCTGTTTAGATTTTTTTTTGTCGATGTGTTTTGTGTGTTGTGCGTCTTGTTATAACTGGTTGTAAGGAAAAAAAAATCTCGGAAGTAAGGGGGGAGTTGTTACGGTCTAAAATTGAGGGTTTCACTAAATCTTATGATATATTAATTTTATTGGAAAATTTAATATGCGGTTCGATAAAGCTGGCGACACCTTTAAATTAATTACCAAATAGTTTAATTTACTGTAAAGGAATCAATAAAAACGATTTGTTTATTTACAGTTATTTATACAAAAAAAAACACATTTCTTATTGCGATCTTTATTTATTCTTAAACCTTTATAAATAACGAAATCTGTAACTATAAAACAATCTTTTACTTTTACATTTTATTATAATTAAATGATATAATAATTAATAAATTCAAATAGGTACATATATTATAATATTCATAAGAGTCGTTCCTGTTGCCAAAATAATTTTAGCTTATTATTTAAAATTATTAATATTAATTTAATATTATCACCTTGGCCCTCTATGGAAAATCATTCTAAGTATAATCTTTTATGCTGGACCCTCTCCTTGAAATGTCATTCTCTTGGTGACTGTTCTCTGGTGACTCGCCATCTTGGTTATTTGGTGGAAGGAAATATAATTTGGCTGTATTTAGTGCCATCGTTATAATTAACGGATTTAAGTATTTCCCCATATGCCATCTACGTTCAATAAGTTGTTGTGGTATATTATTTTATTGAAAAGTAGTGTAGATTATTGGATGTTAGCGGATTTATTCCGGATTTCGGCAATAGCCAATTCACCAAACAATTTCTTCTTATAATCGGTAAGTCTTGATCGTCAGTATGTCTTGTATGATATTAACTTAGTTGTTTATTTTATTAGTTCCTGTGTTGTGTATTTGGAGATAATTTCCTTAACGTTGTCCAAACGTATTTCTTATTTGCAAGGGTTGCAAGCCACCAAAAGTGGTAAGTTATTTATTTTTTTTTGGGTTTTCTCTCTGTTAGTCTTTTATCTCTGAGTTACCAGTTTTCTCTCCATAGGCTATTAGTGCGAGGTGATAAATAAACTTGGAACTCGCGCTGTACGAGGTTAAGTCCCCTTGTCGACCAGTGGATGAGCCTTAGCACGTACCATATGTATGGATAAGTTGGACCTAGATGCTGACCAAGTTAGGAGACTGATAAGTACCATAGTTTAGTTTTGGGTTTTCGAGCTATAAGTATATTCCCCCTGCAGTTATTGGTTTAGTTAATTTTATTGAATATCATTTATATTTTATTACATTACGTTGTAAAGACAAATTAGCTAATTTGCGCTACCAAAATCAATGTTATTTTATAGATTTATATATGTTTATATATATTTTACAATCAATATTAATTACTTTTATAACTAATTTTAAATATACTTTATGGCATAAACATTAATAATTTATTGCTGGGTATTTATCAGTTTAGCCATCTGACTTTGGGAATTTTGCAATTTGGCCATAGCCTATAATTTATCATCGGGGTAAATTGCATGGCGCCCTTTACCAACGAAATTTAAAATAGATTTTCTTATACCCACCCCTTCTCCTTTGAGCTACCGGAGCTACTAGGCTTACATAAGTCTTTTGCTACAAACGCCGTAGCAAAGTCATTATGAACGCAAAATAGATAAAAATATATTTTTGTCTTATTTTAGTTTTTTTTAAATGGCCAAATAAAGGCCAAAACATAAAAAACTACAAAATCAAATTCCAAAAAAGTATTTATTTTGATTATATTCATATTCACTTTTAATTCTCTTACATAGCTGTAGTTTAAGCTCATAAAAAAATTAATAACTTTTAAATGGAATTTCCCATATTTTTAATATTTGGCATAATTTAAGTTACCAATATACTTAACACATTTACCAAATTTTATTTCTAGCTTAAATATTTCTAAAGTTTTTTAATAAAAGATGGAACTCTATAAAAAATGTTTTTAGTAGCTTAAATATTGCCAAATATCAAATATATGGGTCATTTCTTTTAAAAGATTTTTTATTGTTCCACCTTCATTATTTTTAATTCTTTGATTACCGTTAATATTTTTTTAAGAGCTTAAACTACAGCTTTGTAAGAGTATTTAACGTGAAAAAGGAATAAAATCAAAGGATATACTTTTTTTGAATTAGATTTTTTTTTAATGTTTTGGCTTTTATTTTAAAAAACTAAAATATATTTTTCTACTCCCACCTTTAAAAAGCCCATTATCGTACATATTTGACATTTAAATACACATTGGCAAGTTGTGGCTTTATGATCTTTTAGTCACGGGCTGAAGTTAGTTGACAGTGACACTCCACCATGGAGTGCTAATATAACATTTTCTATCCTTTCACTGTAAAAACTGCTTCTGTATCGGATTAAATTGTCCATTTTCAAGGGATACGTTTCGATTTACACACATAAATTTGACATTTGAAATTTTGCTATAGGTGTCGCTCTGTACAAATATTTAGTAAATCATTTTTAGATAATAGGTATTTGTTGTATGCAACTAGTTTATAAACTTTTCCAGACACTCATTTAATTAAGCACTCGCTCGCAAGCTCGCTCGTGTCTAAATTAAATTCGTGTCTAAAATGGCGTTTATCAAACTTGTGCATAATATACGATTTTCTTGGGCTGTATTAATTGCTTTGTACAATGATGAAAACAATGCAAACAAAAAGTAAAAAAATGACCCTTCTAAATAATTTTAATGTTTTTTTTTTATATTTTTAATTTAAACATGTGAGTAGTAAATAACTTAATTTTTTTGTTTTAAAACGATTTATTTATTGTAACTTGACCCTGACGTTCAGGGTATAGCACTTAAACTAAGCAACTTTATAATTTTTTTCTAAAAATTGTTTCTTCTTTTTTCCAGGTTAAAACTATAGTAAGACCTTTACTTTGGACCCTAGGAGATGTGAAAAATTTGACTCTGAACCGCGTCAAAATGCTTTCCTATTTGACGCAACTATTTCCCTTAGTTTTCAACGAAAAACTATGCGAACAACTTTTGGACATTTTGCAGAAAATGCTTGAAAACCTCACGGCGTCACATAAAAGTAAGTAGATATGTATTGCTATTATTCCAACATTGCACATTTTCGTACAACATTATTTTTCGATTACATGAGATCGTTTTTAAAATCGATTTGGTTGTTCTAGATGGCACTTATGGTCAATATATTTGTTCGATAAATTCCCAAAAAATATTTTTTAAAGGTTAGTTAGGGTTTAATGGGTGTGTCGTCTTTTTTATGTAGTATGTTTTTCAAAATTGTAAAACTATTATTTTTTGTTGGGATTTTAAAACTTTAATAAAGTTCATTTTTTTATCTGGACTGCGGCAACGTTGCAAATTTAGGGTTTTCGTTGGTAAATACAGTTGTCAAGTTGGTCGCATTGATTAAAACAAACTAAGCTAGTTATAAATCTAATTGTGGTTATGTATAAATTATTGTAGGTTACATTGTGCAGTTGTCAAGTTGAGTTGTCGAAATTCGTAGTTAAAAATGCAATTAATTTGGCTTTTGTGCTTGGATGAGTAAAATCATATAAAAAATAGTTAAATATAGGTTTCTTTACGGCCCAGAAAAGAAAGTATTCCTAGCGGATAATAATCTTCGCTTTGAAAAGAATTTATATAAAAGAAATTAAAATTTTTTGTGAACGTAAATGTTGTTCAATGGTGAATAATGTGAAAATAATGTGTGATGTAATATTTATAAAACCAAATTCATTACTTTTTTACTCCAAAAATGTCCATAAGGCGAAGTACTTTTTCTTTCATTGTGGCATTTGGCATAATTTCATCAAAATGAAGTTTTGCCCTCAAAAGGGCTTTTACATTCGAATTCGTTGCTATTATTTTTGGCATAATTATCTTTTTATTTATAATAAGTCAAACTGGCATAAGCCACCAACCACAAAAAAAAACATGAGTCCAGATAAAAAAAATGAACTGTAGTTACCTACAATAAAATTGGTCTAAAGGAATGAAAGAAGAGAAGAAAGTTTTCATAATAAAATAAAAAATGTACTTACTTAATAATTGTTTTCAAGTAAAAGAAGTCCGTAAAAAGTTTTGATTAAAAGGCCAAAGCATATTGAATGTTTAGAGTTTATTAGGGTGGAGTGAAATACATGGTGGTAATCATTTAATATTGGCTAAGAAAAACACTTGATGGTAAAACTTTAATATGCCTATATTGGAAAAAGTGGTGTCCTATTACCACAACTAACGAAAAAAAAAGAAGATATTGATCAGGCAGTTTGGAGGGTCCACCACCTTTTTAAAGTTCAGAAGATAAAATCTGCACTTTAAAGAGGTGGCGGGCCCTCCAAACATTTATCGATTATAATCTTTTTTTTTTCGTTAATTGTAATAATACACTCACAGGCAAAATAATCGAACCACACAAATTTTCGATGAATTTCAATCGCAAATAACTTTTTTATTTGATGTCGGATTTAAACGAATATTAAAGAATATTGTAGATAAATTAATGTACTAAATTACTAAAAAATAGATGTACGTTTATAATATACAGGTATAAACAAAAAGATTTTTTTTACCATAAGTTTAAGACACTCTGTAGAGTGGCAAAACCGTATATTGTTCTAAATTAAGTTTTATTTATCAAGTCACATATATTCTTAACAGTTTTGTTTTTGGTTCACCTCGATATATTTATTTTTGTAGAAAATATGAATTTTTTAAAAAAATATTGCAATTTCCAATATTTTTTTTGTATGAGGAACTAAGGTTGCTATGGTCCATTCATAGGCTGTGGAGGATGACTGTGACAGTTTTGTTGAATCGTCCCATACTTGGACATGTCATACACGGCTTTCAAAAGGTTTCAAATTGTTTTTTGCAAATTAATGTTTAAATTTTGAGGTGTCTTATTACTTTAAAAAATGGATATGTCTCCGACTGATGTTGCCAGAGCCTTTAATTTAATCCAGGATGGACGGTCACAGTATTACATGGCAAGTGTTTTAAACGTCACAAGAAGTAAAGTACAAAGGGCAACATCAGTCGGAGACATTTTTAAAAGTAAGAAGACACTTCAAAATTAACACATTAATTTACCAAAAAGATTTTGATAGATTTTGAAAGCTTAGTTCTTTATACAGGAAAATTATTGGAAATTGCAATGATTTTTTTTTAAATCCATATTTTTCACAACAATAAATATATCAAGGTGAACCAAAAACAAAACTATGAAAAATAGATTTGACTTGATAATTAAAACTTAATTTAGAACAATATACGGTTTTGCCACTCTACAGAGAGTCTTAAACTTATGGTAAATAACATCTTTTTGTTTAAACCAGTATATTAGAAACGTACGTCTATTTTTTAGTAATTTTTAAGATGTGAGCGATTCTCCATTAATGTATCTACAATATTCTTTAATATTTGTTTAAATCCGAAATCAAATAAAAAAGTTATTTGCGATTAAAATTCATCGATAATTTGTGTGGATCGATTATTTTGCCTGTGAGTGTAGTTTACCACTTTTCCAAATATAGGCATATTAAATTTTTACCATAATGTATTTTGCTCAGCTAATATTGGCATATTAAATGGTTACCATGTATTTGACTGTTTATTAGGGTGGCCCAAAAAAAAAGAAAATCTTTTTTTTTCTCGTCTCTTGTAAAAATATGTTAGTTTATCATGCTGTAAGAGCCCTGTAAAAATATCAGCTCAATTAAAAAATTTTTAAGGGTCGCTCAAGATTTTTTAAAATTTTCAAAATCGTCAAAAATTGAATTTTTGTTTTATTTTAATTTTTTTTCTTGTCTCGATATTATTTTTTTGGTAGAAAATAATAAAAATTTTGAAAATATCAAATCAATATTTTAATTTCTAAAGGTCGCTAAAAGTTCGTTGGTATTTATATTTAGAGGTCGCTCGAAAACATTCAAAATACTCTACTTTGAAAGTTAAAAAAATCTTGAGCGACCTTTAGAAATCAAAATATCCATTTGAAATTTTCAGAATCATTATTATTTTTAAATTAAAAAATAATATCGGAACGAGAAAAAAAATTAAAATAAAAAAAAATCCAAATTTTGACGATTTTGGAAATTTTTAAAAATCTTGAGCGACCCCCAAAAAATTTTTAATGGAGCTGATCTGTTGACAGGGCTCTTAAAACATCACAAACCAACATATTTTCACAAGAGACAAGAGAAAAAAAATATTCTTATTTTTTTGGGCCACCCTACTGTTTATGTTAGGCATACTTTGAAAGGGATATTTCTTTTATTAACTTATGGTGACGGAAAATTCAATCTTTTTTTTGTTTAATTGTTGGCAAAAAACTAACCTGACCGCCGCTTTAAACTTCCTTATGTTTTAAATTCACCCCAGCTTTCACAGGTATATCGAAGAAAGGCGACGAAGAGCAGAAAATCGTTACCATAATCAGCATCTTCCATCAGACGCCGGCCGCGTCGTCCAAATTTATCAGCCAACTGTGCCAGTTGATACTGCAGAAAGAGCAGGCCATGCTGATCGAGGCCAGCAGTCCCTTCCGGGAAGTTCTCATGAAGTTCCTGCTGAGGTATCCGGACGAAACGCTGGATATGTTCTTGGATGATAACTACATAAAGGTATGTGTTGTGTTTATTTTTGTTAGCAGGTATGCTTTTAGGGTATGCAATCATTATTTATATTTAAAAAGTTTACCTTCAATTAATATTTCTTTAAGACATCAATTTTTGTAAATTAGGAAACTTTTTGTTAAATAAAAAATGCCCAATGAAATTCACAATATTTGCTTTATGGTTTCAGTAAAAAAAATGGTATGTCATTAAATAGATATTTTTTTTATTTGAAGAGCTACAAGGTAAAAAACAGCGGTTCTCAGAATATTAAAAAAAAAGAAAATATGTAAAAACCAAATAACAAAGTTATAACGATTTTTGTTTTTGACAGGGTTTTAGTATTTTTGAAATTATTTGAAAAGCGCTGATTTTTTTCCATTCTAATTTATTTATTGGGTAAATATTACTTTCCTCAGTTTGCAATTAAAATTGAAGCTTGATTATCGAGTAAAAAATAAATTGAAGCTTGGTTGTGGAGCAAAAAATAAAATTAAAGTAGGTTATAATTTCTAACTTGCTAACACTGTCTATAATTATTATTTAGTTTATTCATTTGCAACTTATAAACTGAACTGTCAAATTATCTTTCATGCTTCCAATGGTAGGTTACCATAAAGAAAAGTCTATGATGCCCACTATGATCAAAATTAGTAAACTTGAAAAAATTTAAAATTTATAAATAAAACTAATTTTAGCTCCATCTATGGCGATTTTTTTAAATAAATATGTAAGAATTGTATGTTATATATATATTATATGTAATATATAATGTTTAATATGTAATATATAATACATTATCTTATAAAACTAGATAAAATAATATATAATTTGTAAAAAACTTTAGTATTATGCTCTTTGAACTAACTTAAAAATGGTGTCTATCGTAGAAACATAATTTGAATGTAAAAGTTTATATATGAAATAATATTTAATTATCAGTACTTTAACGTGATATACTCAAAATCATAAAACAACGTTGCTTCTTCGACTTTTTAACCCTTCAAAAATGGTAAAATTTTAAATTAAATTGTCCCCAGCGCCCCCTGTATGTTAAAATCTAAAAAAAATAAAATGTGGATTTCAAATCGGTAGAGTGACTTAAGGCCTGAAAACCACAGCGGTCAATGGATGAAACTTTTTTTTAAATGTACCATTTAGATGTAGAAATAAGGTTAAAAAAATATATTCAATTCTGGCATCACTTCAACAAATGTCCAAAATTTGATCGATTTTTACTCGAAACTATAGTTAATTTTCTAAAACTGACCAAAATGCTTTAAAATAAATTTTAATTTTCTAGAACCCTCTTACCACCCAAAAATATAAAATTCACAAAAACTGTTTAAATGCGCTAAAATGTCATAAAACGTATTAAAATTTTCTTAGAACTTGCTAAAAAGTCGTAAAAATAAATCAAAACTTTCTTGCCATTATCTAGAAAATATACCAAAATATACCAAAATATACCAAAAATGTATATATAATATATATTATAATCATTTTAAACAAAGAATTATCCTAAAACTCCCAGATAGGTTTTAAATATCCTAAAATTAACTTACAAGTTTTTTTAATGTCTTAAAAATACCTACACTACTTAACCCCTTTTGTATAATATTTATGTCTGACATACATTTTTGACAGCTAAAATGTCAGTCCGACTTTAAAATCATGCAAAAAGTTTTACAATGATGTAACACACTTGGATCATTTTCGTTTGATTATAATTATAATAATTATTATAGAAAATAGATATTTATGTCAAGGCTGAGAAGTGAATATTATTGTGCTGAGCTCAAAGTTTGGCCTACACAGCTGTAAAGAGAAACATTTTTACTATATTTTGATAACAAAAATCCAATATGGCGGCAATAAGAAAAATCAAAGTTGGCCATGAAATATCAATAAAACTATTAAAAAAAATTATGCCATCAAACGTGTTATTGCAAATGTCAAAAAATCAAGTTTTGAATTAATGGCTGTAATAGTAAAAAAGTTTTTTTAATTTGACTTTTTCAGTTTTTCAAGGATATTTTAGTATCGGTCAAAGGTATCCTAGATTTCTTGACATATTTAAAATGGTCGTAGTATAGCGCAACTTTTTTGTAATTCATCCAACTTTGTATATCTTACGGTTCATGAGATGCCAATGGTGAGAAATGAAATTCGCACCCTGTATATTTTACGAGATAATGATTTCCAATCAAACGGTGCAAAAATGTTCAATCGCACTGTTTGTTAAATAAAAATATGAATTTTTCTCAATTTTTTTTACTTGATATTAATGAGTATATTATTTTTAAATACTTGGTTTTAATTTTCTTTTCAACTCCAAAAATCGTAGATTCATTTCCGAAATTTCTACTTAGATATTATATAAATAATGAATAAAGGTTTGATTAAAAAACAACATAATTTTTGTGATTTTGTGACTTAGGAAACTGAAAACTTGGAAAATACGTCACTCACCTACTGATCAAACCCTTTCATTAAATACCTATGTCAAGCAAGTTGTAAGGTTGGATTAATTTATTTCAATCTGAGATTTGCCTTCCCTGATTTTTTTCCAGACAAAATGTGTCGACCCTACCTGTTTTCTTTTTAGTTTCCTGATCCTCAATGTTCTTTTTTAACTGAAATTTGGGTGTTGGTTCTTAAAATTTTAAGTATGGTTTATTCTGGTTATTTTATAAAGAAATACTATTATTAATATTATTATCCTGCAAAACTGTAACTTTTTTCCATCTGGTTCTTTTTTTAAGAAAATTTGAGAAATTTGTGTTCTTCATTGTCGAAATCCTTTTTTATGGCATTTGGCTGGTTGTTTTTATCAACGGGAGGCTCTCATTTTTTTTATTCCGGAAAGAGCTCTTCATCTTGGCAATCCGATTTAGGACTATCTTTTTACTTGTCATTCCTGCCGAGATCGTTACTTTACAAAAATGTGTACAAGTATTTTACTGATTAATTAATTAATTCATTAATTATGCTTACCATTTACAAAATAATAGTATATTATTATATGAGAGATAATGCAGGCTATTATTTAAGAGGATGAGGTTTGCTCGGGAGATTCTCCCTCGTTCCATGATAAAATTTTACTCTCAACGCACCAAAAGAAGTGTAACTTCAAAAAGAAAACCCAAAAAGTGGAGTTTTTCAATTCACCATTACCATTTTTGGATTTTACTTTTGCTAAAAGTGCATTTTTTTGATTTCCAGGAAAAGCAGTACAGTCGTTTCCTCGAGTACCTGCTCAAGCACAAGGACGGCAAGCTGTTCAAGGAGCACCTGATCCAGCACAAGCTGAAACGCATCATAGCCATGTCGATGTCGAACATCGACGTGAACCCGGCCATACCTGTGACGCATCGCAACGAAACGCAGTTCCAGGCGATCAAGATCATCACCGCGCTCACCAAAGAGGACGACATGTGGCTCAACAACCAGCCCGAGCTGCTGGTGGCTTTTAGAAGGATTTGGTGCGACGACACGTATCATGTAAGTACATATAATATATGTATATTATAGATGTTTCTCCACAACCTCGGTAGTTGTTTCCACAAATGTTTAACATTTATATTTAAAAGCCTTAAATAGGATGCACGTAGGAGCTTATCTGAGAAATATCAAACAGCACAAACAGAACCTCTTATTTTTTAATTATTTTCAGCAAGTATTTCAAAAAAGTATGTTGTGTCCCCTAAAAAAAGGCCCAAAACAACGACTATTTCCCAAACCCGAAATATTACTATTATACCGCAGATTTAGTATTGTGCAAAACTAGTTTTGTACCTTTTTAAATGTGCAATTCTATCCCTGGATTTTTATACAATATTCCTTATAATATAATATGTATTGGGTTTGAGCACAATTCCGCGTGCGCAGACAGTCCAAGCAAGGTTTGAACAAAAGAAAACGCCGAGGATTTTTAAACGTGTTCGAAGGAAGATTTTAAATAAATTTTGCCAGAAGAATGTGCTTCTAATCGAGTTAAGACAAGACGACCTTTTTTTTTATAAAAAACTTTGTATCTAATAATGTTTTTTCAAAATTGCTGACAGTCAATAAACAAACAACGTTTTTTATCATTATTTTATTCAGTTTGACATGAAAGGTTGGGTGTTCATACCAAGTTTCACACTTGTCTTCTCAGATTTCGGAAATATTAAAAACAAAAACAATTTCTCGCGCCATGTTTATTAGGGTGTCCGCTATTTCCCAAGTTGGCTTTATCACTTGGGTATCATCTAAATTATTTATTTGCAGTCTAAAAACGATTTTAGAGAGAAAAGTCTTTTATCCTTTTCATTTTATTGATATAAGAAAAAAAATCATAACGCGCTAATAAATATACATAAAACAATAACAGGAAACATTTTTTTAGGAAATCTTACTCTCTAAAAAAATACTTTTTTTCGTAAAACTATATTTAAATGTTGGACACCAATATGTACATTATGAAACAACAATGTATGTCCAATATTTTCCATAATGTTTTTTTTTATCGTAACGCCCCCTAAATCATAAGTTTATACCCCAAAACTAAGGTTTAGGCAAAAAAATATCTGTCATTTTATTAGCTAGGTATTTTTCTTGTCAAATAATGTCTCTGGGTTGACAAATTTTAATATTGGCAAAAAAAACTTTTGAAAGATAGAGAAGGTATTACTTTAAGCAGTACTTTAGTTATTTGAAAAGGAAAATCAACAATAACTTTTAAAGTAGCTGATTAAATGACTGAGAAATTACCAAACATATACCTATGGCATAAATGACCAAACATACATGGGATTTATATATAAAAAAAATGATTTTACCCATTTTAACAGCTACGTTGTAAAATAATGTATCTGGGTTGACAAATTTTAATATTGGCAAACAAAAATTAAGATATAGAAAATTTATCACTTTAAGCAGTTCTCTAGGTACCTATTTTACAAAAAAAATTAACAATAATTTTTAAAGAAGCTGATAAAATGACTAAGAAATTACCAAACATACGAAATGACCAAACATATATAGGATGTTTTCATATATCAAAAAAAAATCTCGAGTCATTTTATAAGAAAAAAAAATATGTCATTTTATAAGAAAAAAAGTTACCAAGTAACCACTAAATAAATATTTAATTTTTCTTACAGGCAAGACATAAGAACGTGGAACATTTGGAATACACCCATTGGCGGGAACCAAAATTACTGGCGAAAATATTGCTCAAATTTTTCGTACATTTTCCGACGGACATCGACTTGCTTTTCCAATTATTGAGAGCTTTTACAGAAAGATTTATTCCCGAATTCCAGGCAAGTACATACGTTTTTATAGTTTGATAATAGGAAAATCGAGTAAAAATTATTTTAATTTATGGCGTTCCCTGCCCAGTCAGTTTGTCATCAAATGTTTAAATTTTTTGGTTTAACAATTAGGTTTTTGAAAAAAACATCAATTTTTTACCATATTTTAAAACTTTATTATTTATAATATTGATATATATTTATTTAACCTGGATAATATAGCAAAAAATATTTAAAATAAACTGGTTTTAACTGAACTGGCCTTTTACCTTAGCCACAGTAGGTTTTGTTTCAAGTGTGCTACACAACTATTTTGACGCTGCTTTTTTACTATTCGCATATTATCCTAAAATAGGGTAAAATTAAAAGTAACTATATAAAACTTATAGGTTTATAAAAATAAGCACCCTGTTTGTTAGTCTTTTAACAACAAAGTTTGGTGTACGATATTTTACAATATTTGGTTAATTTTATGGCATTCTTTTTCCAATGCGATAACTTGAAAACTGCATGAAAATATAGTATATTATGTATCAAATTTGATTAACGCCATTTTAGTCGCGAATTGTAATTAGGCTCGAGCGACCGTGCGATTAAATGATACTTTTTCTACGACCTTTATACTGCCGGAAAAATTAAAAGGTCAGTACAATTTTCAACAGTAATATCACAAGAGAGTGAAAATTAATTGAAAATACATTGACAGATATATCGAAAACTTGTTGTCTGGCAATATCCACGAAAGCCCGTAGGAATGACAACACGTTTAAGAAATTTTCTAGATAATTACTTTCTAATTTATAGAGAAGGTATCACTTTAAGCAGTGCTCTAGGTATTTGACAAGAAAAATCAACAATAATATTTAAAGTAACTGATAAAATTACCAGAATACATGGGAGAAATGACCAAACATACATAGGATTTTTTCATATTTTGAAGAAAAAAAAATTCTGTGATTTTATCAGCTACTTTAAAAATTAATGTTAATTTTCTTTCTCAAATAATAATGGTTGACAGACTATTTAGAAGACACCTATAAAGAAAGTATTGATGCAAATTTATGTGTAGCCCACTATAATGAGGTCTCGCAATGGTATGCCAACTTCAAAGAAGAAGACCTTCCTTTGACAACTGAAAGCGTTACGGAGGAGGAATATTTTAATATCCTTTATAAAGGAAAAAACACAGCTCCAGGCTACGACTGGATTACCAAAAAACTACTAAGACAACTAGACTACGAAACACTTGAAAATTTTGAGAATATATAATTATTGCTTAAACAACCAATATTTTCCGGAAAATTGGAAATCTGGCATTATTATAAACATTCCAAAACCCAACACCGATAAATCCCAAGTAAAAAACTACAGACCTATAACTCTCCTGACAAACTTGGCTAAAAATTTCGAAAACATTTTATGCAACAGAATTACAGAAGCAAAAGGACACACGATTCCTCGCTATCAGTTTGGGATCCAGAAGAATAAGTCAACCATACATCCTCTGACAATACTTACTCCCCTCTGCTCTATAACCTTTATTGTGCCGACATCTACAATGAAGATCCTATGCTCTTTGACCAAGATAAATATGTACTTCAATACGCAGATGACACCGCTATAATTTGCCATAGTAAAAATCAAAAAACTGTCTCTGACCAACTCCAAGTTCTGACAAATCAAATCTTGGCATGGTTTAACAAATGGAGACTAAAACCAAATCCACTAAAGTCTCAACTAATACACTTCCACCAAAACAAGATTGACCCCAATATAACAATTAAGATGTACAATAAAATAATAGAGCCAAAATCTAACGTAAAATACTTGGGAATCACACAGGATAATAAAGTAAACTTTAATCTTCACTCTTCCCTGTCAAAGAAGAAAACACTAACAAGGGCCAGCCACTTTAGAGGACTTACAACAAAAAAGGCATCAATGATAAAACAAAAAAAAAAGAATATACACCTTAATATGCAGACCAATCCTGGAATATGGATGCATCTTACTTAATAATGCCCGGAAGCCAGCCTTAAGCAAAATTAAAACTGGGGAAACGTCAGCACTCCGAAAAATCTCCAAAATGAGACATCCAACCAATTCTCTACACAACCCTCCCAACGACCTTTTGTATGCTACCTACAATATCTTACCAATTATGGAAAGATTTATCAAACTATCTACAAACTTTATTATCAAGGACCCTAACTACGACATTCTTAGCGAATTATGTTTGAAAGTACAGGGCAACAGAAAATTCAAGCACCCAGAGGAGACCATATGGGAAGATCTCCAACAAATACAAGATAACATACTAATTAATTAATTTCAATTTCACGATTATACTGTTTTTTTTTTGTTTTTTTACATATATTCAAGATATGTTCACCGGCTGAAGGACCTCGGTCCATGGCCATTTGTAAGAAATTGTATAAACTTTTTTTTGCAATAAAGTTAATTTATTATTATTATTATTATTATTATTGGCAATTTTTTTATATTGATTTCTCAAGCGTTAAAAATATGACATCGTTTTTTTATGTCCAAACTTTATAAAATTATATCAACGGTAACCTACCTAGGTAATAATTATTGTATTCTTTCAGTTCCTCAAAGAATTCCTGGAAAGCACGGTCGCTCAAAGCTACACCGTCGACTGGAAGAGACAGGCCTTTTTCCGTTTCGTGGAGCTGTTCCCGACGAACGAGATGTCGCAAGAGCTCAAGTCCAAGGTTCTGCAGCTGATTTTGATACCCAGCTTCGCGCAGAGCTTCGAAAAAGGCGAAACCAACAAGCTGGTCGGCGGTCCGCCGATGCCCTACCAGGACAGCAGCGACAACGTCGTGTCGGTGTTCATTAATAAGGTAAGTGTTAAATAAAATAATATACAGTGTGTCCGGAAATGACGTTAATGTATTTCGGGAGGTGATTCTACACGTAAAAATAAAAGAAAAAGATAAACAGATATCCACAAATGCCCCCTGGGGCCAATATAGGCATTTTAAACTGTTTTTCAAAATCAGGACTTTATTAAATATTTCAGAAACGGTTAGTGTTAAAATACACTGCGCGACAAAATTAACGCAAAACAAGTAAAACAAATTCAACGCCTTTACCAATATTTATAAAATTTTGGATAAAAAAACTTATTCTCAGTTTACATGTTCAAGGGTTTTTCGAGAAAATATCCTTAAAGCCCTTTTATTTAATAATAAAAAAACTCTCAAAAAAGCTTTTCTAGGGAATTTTTTTTAAGTAAATAAAAAATATATCCTGAAAGACCGTATTTTTGTCATTAATGACAATTATACCCTAAAAATGTTGTACAAATCCAACGAACAGTAACGAAATTACAGCGCTTCAAAGCAGAGTAGGGCAGTAATCGAATAAAATTGTAATCATGAATATAAATAGTAATTATTTTGGTGATTAATGATTATTTATGTAGTCATTATTCATGAATACTTTACTTGAATAATATTCATTATTTATAATCAAATTTTACGTTGTAATCATGAATAACGTTATTTATGAAAGTATGATTATAATTAATATTCATAATTAGAATTAAAGAATAAATTATGTAATTATAATCATTCTGTATAATTACTTTGGTAAATAATCCACAAAACACACATTTTATTGATAAAATTTTAATTTTAACAAAATACCACATTTTTGTAAAAAAAATTAAAATATTTTTTATTTTCTGATCGTTAGAAAAAATATTTTAAAAGTTATTTAAATTGATCGAAATTCGACAAAATATTAAACTAAAATGCCAATTAAAAGAAAAAGTCTTAGGACTATATATTATAATTATTATAATAATATGTATAATTAAAAAAAAAATTAATATCTTTAATCCTTGCTTAAGGAATTTAAAGTGAAAACAATGTAACTAAGAAAATTCATTACGTCGTTGTTATATAATTTCGCCGGGATTAATAATTATTATATTATATACAATGACTACAATTATTAATCATTATTCTTTTCCGATAATTGACGATTTCAGTATTTATAACCACTCAAAACGTAAATAATAAATAATATTCGTTATTCATGTGAGAATGATTTATGATTACTTTGTTGTAATCATTATTCATGATTACATTTCATAAATAATAATCATAATCATAATCGAATACAATTTGCCCACTCTGCTTCAAAGTCGTCAAAAATGACCACCATTCAGCAAAATAATCAAAAAGGGGAAATTTTTACCGACTTTGAAGCGCTGTATCATCGTTACTGTTCGTTTTATTTGTACAAAATTTTTAGGGTATACTAGCAAAAATACGGTTTTTAACACCATATTTTTTATTTACTTAAAAAAAATCCTTAAAAGTTATTTTTCGAACGTTTTTATTATTACTAAATAAAAAGGCTTTAAAAATATTTTCTCGAAAAACCCTCGAACACGTACACGATATAAGTTGAACTATTTTTATACAAAATTTCATAAAGATTGGTAAAGGCGTTTTATAGTTGGAATTTTTTTACTTATTAAGCGTTAATTTTGACGCGCAGTGTAATAATACTTAATTTCTGGGGTAATTTTTGGGCAATAAATCATCTGGTGGTGTCAGATCGGATAAATAGGCGTCAGAAACCGAGGGAAATAATCTTCCTTTTATTTTGGGGTTTTGTTGAATTCTCGATCTTAGAATACAATTATCCAGATAATTTTACGTAAAATAGCTGTATGTGGACATTGTGTTCTTATTTTTTCCTTATCAAAAACCTAACCTCTCCAACAACAAACTAATGCGCTCTGTCCTTGTTAAACACACGTTGCGTGACTCACGTTCGACTTAGATCCTTGGATTATATACGTAAATGAAAACAACAATAATTGTAATGTCTGTGCTTGGTTCAGAATTTGATGACGCAATTTGAAACATTCGCCGCGACAACTATAGCTAACCTTAAAATTCCTTAGACTGTCAGCTAATATACATTTCGTCATATTCCTGCCAAAAGTCACTAACTGACATTTTGTAAAAATGTTAACAAATTGTACTTAACTACACAAATTTACCATATCTTTAATATTTAAAAGCCAATAAATGCCTAGAATAATAATGGTCGTTTTTGCATGGTTAAATATCACTGATGTAATAGATATATTTATTTTCTTATTTATTTTATCTTGAAGCTCAATAATAAAATGTTAGTTAGTGACTTTTGGTCAACAGAATTTGATCTACATCAAACAATCATTATAACCTTATAACTTTTCAGATTTAAATAAATACCACAGTATAGTATGTAATATTTTTACTGTACAATTTCTTCTAAAAAAATGTGATAGTTTTTCTAATCCAGCTTAAAGTATACCTACATAAAGTTTTGTCAATACAAGTAGGTATAAAGCTTCAACTGAATTTGATCTACATCAAAAAATCATTATAACTTTAAAATTTTTAAAAAATCACATGTTATGGTAGTATTAAATATTTTTACATTGCAAGTTTCTCTAAATAGTTATTTGTTTTACGAGTGTTGAAAAGCGACTTTTTCATGCGATTGTTTAAGTTGCTCACGAGGCCGTCAGGCCGAGTGTGCATTAACACGAGCTTGAAGAAAGCTTTTCTCACAATGTTTTTTCTACGACCCTTTTATTTTTTATTATATTAAAATACAAAACAAAATAACCTAAACCTTTCATATTATTCTTTTAATTTTAAAGGTATAAGTTACTTAAAATCAATAAACTTACCTTCTCAATTTAAATAAAGGCACTAAAAACTAGAATTTATTATACAAACACAATTAATTGTGTTCTAAATGATATTTAGACATACATATACAAATACAATACAAATGTCAAATTCTGTCAATTTCTTTTCACACAGACCTGTCACTTTTCATACAGAAATGTCACTTTACATTCGAGTTTTGCCTTGCCAATAATCTAACTTAAAGTTGGGATGCCAAGAGGTATGCACAAGTTTTGTCGTTTTAAGTATAAAAGCTTCAATTTAATTTAAACAATATTCAACAATTATTTATTATACCTACCTACATTTATATATGACCATATTAACACACTCTTCCAAATAATCCAAAATACTTATTTATTTTGCTCAAAATAGACTTTTCCAACCTTAAAATTACAAACCTAGATGATATTTTTTGTTATAATATATTATCTTACCTTTGATACAGATATTTTTATTCCATAATAGAGAAATTATATTTTTTTGTAATAAATGCCTTTTAGCACTTACTTATATGGCACTATACACTTCAGAATTCCATTAAATGCAATATTTATATTCCTAAATTATTAAACCAACCCTTGTTATTGTGATACTATAAAGATTTACGTGGTGGGACTTTGAGGTGTGGAGCATTAGACTGGGCCAAAAAAACGACTATTTTTTTTGTAAAGTATATCGAAAATATTGTTTGGGGTTACAAAGAAAAAATTATGGTGAAAGTTTGAGTCCATAATTAAGAGGTCTATCATCGCAATTTTTTTCCTGAACGAGTTTTTGTCTCATAACATCCAAATCATTGAGTTTAACAAAATTTTTTGAAGAAAATTGAATGCTCTACAAAAAAGGTTTAATTGGAAATTCCCGTCAGATGAACCGCTTTCTTACAATCATGCCTTAAAAATTGGTATAGTTTTACAATTTGATCTTTTAACTTTGGAGTTTTGTAATTCATGTAAAAATAAGTACCCTGAAAAAAAACGATAAATATTCTTATGGTAAATCAAATGCTCTACAAAAAATAAAGTCTTTTATCATTTTTGGCTAAATTCACTCCAAAAGTTATTCAAGGTTAAATTTGAAGTCAAAACGAAATTTTAATCTTGAATAACTTTTGATTGAGTGAATTTAGCCAAAAATGTTGAGAGGCTTTTTTTGTAAAGCATTTGATTTCCCATAAGAATATTTATCGGTTTTTTATGGGTACTGATTTTTACATGATTTTAAGGAAACGGTTCATCTGATGGAAAATTTCACTTTAACCTTTTTTGTTGAGCATTTAATTTTCTTAAAAAAATATTTTTGAGTCAATTTTGTTAAACTTAATGGTTTGGGAGTTCTGAGACAAAAACTTGCTGAGGAAAAAAAATTAAAATTGCGATGATAGACCTCTTAATATTAATATTATGGACTCAAACTTTCACAATAATTTTTTTTGTCACCTGAAACCATATTTTCGATATATTTTTTTGGCCCAGTCTAGTGGAGCATAGTACTTCCCATTAAAAAACATTAAAAATAATTTTCCTGAGCGAGTTTTTGTCTCATAACTCCCAAATCATTGAGTTTAACAAAATTGACTTAAAAATATTTTTTGAAGAAAATTGAATGCTCTACAAAAAAGGTTTAATTGGAATTTCCCGTCAGATGAACCGCTTTCTTACAATCATGCCATTAAAAATAAAAATTATATTTACATATTATGTCAAAAATTCATATATTTACTGGATACCCCTGTAGCTGGATCTTCTTTCAGTTATTTTTGATACGCCTGCAAAACTTGCGCAAATGTAAATTTTATTTAATTAATCCCCGACGTTAATGCTCTGCATAAACTATAATAATTATTATAATGAATTAAGTCGGTGATAAGCCGGTTTTAAGCAATAATATTATGGTGACAGTTTTCTAATTCTTGTAGGCTTTTTTTATCAATACAACTCATAAAAAAGTAAATTTGTTTGCCTGGTAAATGTTCCGTAGGTTGTCCGGATAACTTAATATTGCATTTTTTGCAGCTAATCGACCCGGACAATCCGTTTCCGTCGGCGGACTGCGTCCGCATCTCCCTCCTCCAGTTCTCGTGCTTGCTCGTCGAGCAGGCCTCGCCGCACATACACGACCACGACGCCAACAACAAGACGCAGGGCTTTAAGCTGCGCAGGCTGATGACGTTCGCGTGGCCCTGCCTGCTAGTCGAAAACTGCGTCGATCCGGCAACACGGTACCACGGCCACCTGCTCCTTTCGCACATCATCGACAAGTTCGCGATACACAGGAAGATCATACTGCAAGGTGGGTGAATTTTATTGCGTTTTTTACAGGAAACATTTTTGCGATCAAAGCTGTCAGCCAGATGAGTTTTTTTTAAATATTTTTATAGCTTAAATAATTTAAAATTTTTACAAAATTTCCAGCAAAAATGGCAATCATTGTTTTTGTCGAAAATCCTTTGACAATATCTTTGCTAAAAAATAAAATAATTTTTTTTGTTGGTCAATTAATTTTGATAATCAAATAGAACAGTTTTTCCAATAATTCAACAAAAAAACAATGGAAGCCATTTTTATTGTGCATATTTGACGAATTTTTAAAATCAAAATTATGTTACATGTTGTGTTTTTAATCAAACCTTTAATAATTGTTTTTAACCTCGCCAATTTTAAATGTTATTATAGTCGTCGTCTCCCAATTTAAAATCCGATTGATTCAAATCACGGCGAATATTAAAATCCGCTAATCACTGATGACTAACAACGTGAATAATGAGTTCATTATTCCCGTTGTTGGGCAGGGAATGTATAATATTTATTTATTTTTATATGAAAAAAACCCAATGTTATGCAATAGGAGTACATAAAAAATTTTTTCTACTCCCACCTTTAAAACGCCCTTTATCGTACATGTAATCATGACACTAAGTGACATTTTAAATACACATTGACAAGTTGTGGCTTTATGCATAAAGCCATGGGCTGAAGTTAGTTTTAAGTTAGTTGACAGTTGTCATACAATCGTTAAAAGAAATTGCTTTTCTTGTAAAATAATACTAAATGTGAAAATTATTTTATTATCTTAACACAAAAGCATTAAATAGTTTCTCAACGCCAATATTTGAAAAGTTTATATGAACATTGTACTGACCTTTTAATTTCGCCGGCAGTAAACTATAACTTAAATTCGGGCACGGACACCACTGTAAAGTCCTCATAAAACATTTTCTTTACTTTCACTGTGAAAAACTGTAAATTTTCAAGAAATACATTTCGATTTATAACCTTTATAATTGTGTTTATAAAATATAAAAATTTGACATTAAATTTTGACGGTGACACACAGATTCCCCTATTGTTTTATAGATGGCGCTCTACACAAATTTTTGATTTAAATCATTTTAAGATAAAAATAAGTAGTTGTCGTAGAAAAAGTATAGTATACACCTTGTTTATAAACTGTTCTATACACTCATAAATTTAGGCACTCGCTCGCAAGCTCGCTCGTGCCTAAATTAAATTCGTGTATAAAATGGCGTTTATCAAACTTGAAACATAATATACTATTATGAGGCTAGTAAATAGTTAGAACTGGCCTTTTAGTTAAACAATGCAATCTGCATAAAAAACACTAGTTTGTTTAATAAACAAGAGGGGAATAAACTTACCTACCTTAAGGAAATTAATTTTTAATACTTTGGTAATTTTAACATGCTGTATCATCTATTTCTAATATTAAGTCAAAGGCGTAAAATTTGAGAGGGGGGTAAAGGTACAAAAACAGCCCCAATTTTTCTCCTAAAAAAGGTACTTCAGAAAAATGCATTCATAAATTACCTACTTTGTTTTGCATACTTTGAAATATTATACATTATATTATTACACGCAATAATTACTACATATTTACAAAAATTATGTTTTTTATGAATAACTTTAAAAAATAACTTTTGTAAATAGTTATTATTGTTCATTTTTAATTTGGCTACAAACATTTTTAATACATTTTATTATAGGGTCGTTTTGTTAATTCTTAACAATGTACTCTCAAAAACTGACATAGTGGGCTTTGTGTTTTGTAAAAATATGGCGTTTTTTGCTCCAAAAATGCAGTTTATCATGATCTCCTCTTTAAAACAAATCCGGTTAAACCGCACAATAGTATTTTTTTAAAGCGTTTTATAATTTTGTACTTCCTTACATTAAAATCATGGAGCCTACACAAGGAGTCCGGACTTCATGTAAACAAGAATCTTCCCAAGAAAAGAGGGCGCTGGTGTTCCGTTTATTCTGAGACAATTGACTAATTTGTACCGAAACGCTACCAAAACAGCAGACGTCAATACGCATCGACAATCAGCGCCGCTGGTGGTGAAGAAAATACTTAATTTCGAGGGCAGGTTCGGTCAATTTCCACTATTAAGTTCTGGCTGCTTGTGTAGGCTTTATGATTAAAATTATCGAGTTTGCTGCATTTTGTCAGATTTGACGTTTGATAGGTATTTCTTTAGCTTTACACTTATACGATTATAATAACAATTATTAAAAGTACACAGTAAGGTTAGATACCTTCAGAGTTGTCACATGTATCAAATTTTTTATTGTTTCTAACGGATTTTTACAGACTAGGATGTAAAAAACTTGACACATGATTGGTCTAAATTATTTTTACAGTCCAGGAGATAATTGAGCACTTTGGCAATAAAAAAGCTTAAATTAAAGAACCCTGGAAGATGAAGAATATTTTTCTGTTTCAGTATTTCACAGCCTGCTGAAAGCGCACGCCGTGGAAGCGAGGAACGTGGTGAGGCAAGCGCTGGAGATTCTGACCCCGTCTATGCCGTTGAGAATGGACGAGGGCATGCTGACGCACTGGACCAAAAAAATAATCGTTGAAGAGGGTCACTCCATGCAACAGCTATTCCATATTTTACAGTTGGTTGTCAAACACTACAAGGTAAGAAGCATTTTTAAATGTATCCAGTTACAAGGGAACTTTAAGTCTTACTTAGGATGTTTTGTTTTAAAATGAGCAAATAATGTCTGAAAATTTATACATTAAATTAAATTGGTTTTTTAGGTTTACTACACTGTACGACATGATCTAGTTGAGCATATGGTGAATTCTATTCAGCGGTTAGGCTTTAGCCCCACCGCCACACTGGAACACAGAAAATTGGCCGTCGAATTGGCCGAAGTTATAATTAAATGGGAGTTGTATGGTATCAAGGAAGAATCCGAAAATACAGAGGTAAGAAATCATATTAAAAATCATATTAATACTTTATTGTACCCCAAGTTATGTTGTAGGTACACAGATTTTATTATTATAAAATGTTAATATTTTTAATAATGTCAAAAATACTTTGGACGTATGAATTTTCCAAAATTTTTAAATATAAAAAACATATTTAAAAATTCTTAAAATTGCACATTTAAAAATATTAACCAAGATACAAACTTCGTTTACGATTTTACTAAAAACTGTAAAAAGCAAAATTTTGTTTCTGAGAGTTTTTCAGGGCGGAAAGACTTAATTAAAAAATAATAATGTTTACGTTTAAATGGTCGCATCTCTTTTCACCTTAGTGTATTCACGTTTTAAATAAAAATATTACTTTTTTATCTTACACGTGTGAACAATATATACTTTCTAAATGTCGTTTTCGAGATATTTGCATTTAAATTGTTGTTGTGATTTGTAAAAAACATTTTTCTAAAAAAAGGTTAAGTTTCAAAAATACATCAAAATACAATTTGGTTAAATATTTAAAAGTTTTTTTTTGTATAGAGTTAAATATTATTATTATTTTTTGTCTCAGGTATAATATCTGGTACTATTTTGTATGGGCATTTCAGGGACACCAATAACATATTTTTAATAAAACATGTAATTTTAATAAATAAGAATAGAAATAGGAATATCTTATAAATGTCAAAATAAAATTTAAGAATTTTGAATTTAGCTAAGAATACCAAAAAACATAATTTAAAATTTAAATGTTTTAGAATTTTAAAAACAAGTTTTAAAATGTTAAACTTCTTTAAAACATATTTAAGAAAGTAAATAAAAATGTTACTAAGAATTGGAAGAAATATTTAAGAATGCGGAAAATAAATTTTAGAATATTAAAAATATATTTAAAAAAGTGACAATAAAGAATTTTAAACATGCTTAAAAAGGTTAAGACAAATTAAAGACTAAAAGACATGCATGGCCTGAAGAATTTTTAGACAAATTTAGGAATGTTAAATATAAGAATATGAAACATTTAGAAATGCAAAGAAACACATTTTTAAAATGTCGATAAGAATTTTAAGACTTTTTTAAGAATTCGTATATACAAATTCTTAAATAAGTCTTGTAATATTTCTATTTAAAAATGTCAAATATACATTTTAAAATTAAAATAATATATTTTAAAATGTTAAAAATCCATTTTAAATGTTATACAATTAAAAATGTTAAACATGTTTAAAAATGTAATTTTGAGGCTAATTTAAGAATTTTATATTTTAGAATGTCGAGCATAAAAAAAATAATTTAAGAACATAAAAAAACACGCTTTATCATAAGGAAGTTTGAGACCTACATATTTAAAAATGTTAAATTTAAGAATATCAAACATTTTTAAAGATGTCAAAAATACATTTGAATAATAAAATATTTTAATATACAATTTAGATTGTTTAACATCTTGGAAAAGACATTAAAGGGATTCTATATAAAATTATGGACTTTGTCCTAAAATGGTGGCTATTTGTCAAAAATATTAATTGGTAAAAACGTTTTATTTTTTAGACTGTTGAGAATGTTTCTCAAAAACGCCCGTTTCCGGTCAGCGACCAGGAGCAAGAGATGAGAAAGAAAATAAGTATCTCGCAACCGGGAACTTCGACCCAAATCGGTGTGCCGGTCATCAAAACCGAACCTGGATTGGATCCCGCGGCCATTGAAAAAATCCACATCGAAACTGTGTTAAACTTTTTACTGCGACTGGCTTGTCAGGTAAGAGAAACAACTGCTCTAATTTAATTTATTTTTTTTTAATTTAATTTTTATTAGTTTGAAACTAGGGTTTTAAAGTGTCGAAAAAATTGTGAAAAAAACTTGTTTTTCCGTTTTTTCCCAGGCCTTGGAAAAACTGTTTTTTTTTTTGAAAAATTGTTTTTCGGGAATTATACACATTTGAAAAAAAAAATAAAACTAAGCATGAAATTATATTAAATTGATTTAAGAAAATAAACGTAAACGTTAAATATACTGTTGGTTGGGTCTTTTTTGCAAGAAGTCCATTGAAAATATCCAATTACAAAATATGAATAATTTATAAAGTTAAATTACAAAATTATCATTTTATAAACCCACTCACGTGCAAAATAATCGATCCACACAAATTTTCGATGAATTTCAATCGCAAATAACTTTTTTAATTGATGTCGGATTTAAACGAATATTAAAGAATATTGTAGATAAATTAATGGACAATCGCTCACATTTAAAAAAAAATGCTAAAAAATAGACGTAAGTTTATAATATACAGCTTTAAACAAAAAGATGTTTTTTACCACTCTGTAGAGTGGCAAAACCGTATATTGTTCTAAATTAAGTTTTATTTATCAAGTCACATCTATTCTTAACAGTTTTGTTTTTGGTTCACCTCGATATATTTATTTTTGTGGAAAATATGGATTTTTTTAAAAAACATTACAATTTCCAATATTTTTCTGTATGAAGAACTAAGGTTGCTATGGTCCATCCATAGGCTATGGAGAATGACAGTGACAGTTTTGTTGAATCATCCCATACTTGGACATGTCATACATGGCTTTCAAAAGCTATCAAATTGTTTTTTGCAAATTATTGTTTAAATTTTGAGGTGTCTTCTTACTTTATAAAATGGATATGATATGTCTCCGACTGATGTTGCCAGAGCTATTAATTTAATCCCGGATGGACGGTAACAGTATTACGTGGCAAGTGTTTTAAACGTCATAAGAAGTAAAGTACAAAGGGCAACATCAGTCGGAGACATTTTTAAAAGTAAGAAGACACCTCAAAATTAACACATTAATTTACAAAAAACAATTTGATAGCTTTTGAAAGATGTATATGACATGTCCAAGTATGGGATGATTCAACAAAACTGTCACTGTCATTCTCCATAGGCTATGGATGGACCATAGCAACCTTAGTTCTTCATACAGGAAAAATATTGGAAATTGCAATGTTTTTTAAAAAATCCATATTTTCCACAAAAATAAATATATCGAGGTGAACCAAAAACAAAACTTTTAAGAATAGATGTGACTTGATAAATAAAACTTAATTTATTATTATTTTTTGTTTAAACCTGTCTAGGGGTCAACCACCCAAAGGGAAAACGTCCAGGAATTCCCAAGTATTCCCATTAAATTTTATTGTATTCCTATGTATTTCCATTGTATTCCTATGGTATTCCCCCTCTAAAATGTCCAGGGATTCCCAGGTGTGGGTGACCCCTCGAAACCTGTATATTATTTTTTAGTATTTTTTTTAAATGTGAGCGATTTTCCATTAATTTATCTACAATATTCTTTAATATTCGTTTAAATCCGACATCAAATAAAAAAGTTATTTGCGATTGAAATTCATCGAAACTTTGTGTGGATCGATTATTTTGCACTTGAGTGTATACAGGGTGTTATGTTATATATTAAAATGGGTAGTTCCTTAGGGTCCATAAAGAAGCACCTGAAATTTTTTTTTCTAAATTCCAAAGACTAAAAATAATTTATAATAACCTTTATCCTACCAAAAAGTACGCCACTGATCGACTAGGAACTATTACTTTTTAATGCAGTGTTGCCAAATGTAAAATTAAAAATGTATTACCTTATATGAGATGCTCAAAATGATTTCATTATTTAGAATGCAAGCTAAACTCTACGAAGCATGCTTTCGCGCACCCTCGTAAAAATGTCTGGACTATTAACAAATAAGTTCCTGAGTTGCTGCCCAAAACCCGTCTCTCGTAAATGTGGCCTCATCGGTATACAAAACACTACGGCTCCAATCAGCATCTTCTTGATTTTTCTGTATATACCAATGGCAAAATTCCAACCGCAGTGCATAATCTCCATCCTGAAGAGCTTGAACTTTTTGTAGGTGATAGGGGTACAAACTATTTTTGTGAATCGTGCGCCACGTAACAAAGTTGGACATTTGTCCAAGTTGGGCAGTTAATCGTCTTATACTAATTCTCGGATTTGCTTCCACTTCGTCCAAAATTTGTTCTTCAAGGGCCACAAATTCACGTCCCTGAGCCCGACCCCTATCACCAAGAAATGCGCTAAATCTTCCGCGGTCCCTTAAATTTTGCACAGCACGTACAAAACTTTGCTCCGAGGGCGGTGGATGTCCGTCATTTGCGTTGTGATAATTTTGAATATACCTACCTACAAAATTCTTGCTTGACGAGCATTTTGCATCGCTTCCCCGTAACACAAAACCATATTTGTTAATTGAATATTTGTGAGCGCCCGACCCGCCATAGCATAAAATCTTTCGCACTAATTACTTATTATTATTACTAATAAAATACAAATTTTCAAACTTTCAAAATATTTATAAAAGAATAAAAACCTGAAAAAACTTGAAAAAAATAAAAACCTGAAATCGCTAGATCACTAATTAGACCTTGTAAAAACTTGTAAACTAATGATTTTTTAAAAATCGTTTTAAAATTGTGATTTAAAAACATACTTATAAAAAATATATTTAAATTTAGACACACCAGATTTAAACTTTATTCATAATTCGTAATGACCAACAATCACTTTCTGAAACACCCTTCATAATATTCAATCATATATGTGTTAAATTTGATATTCAACAAAACATTTCCTCCTCTTTCATGTAGGTAAACGATCCCGCGTCTACCAACCCGCAAAACCAAACCACAGCGAGCCCAGGCGAACTTTTATCGCGCCGTTGCGTGGTATTACTGAAAACCGCCCTCAAGCCGGACCTGTGGCCGCAACCTGTCGATTTGAAACTAGCCTTCTTCGATAAAATACTGCTCACCGTCGAAACTCCCAATCCGAACATCGCGAACGTGTGCACTGCGCTGGAATTGCTGACCTATTTGCTAAACGTGCTGAAAAAAGAGCAGATTCTGGCCAGTTTCAAGTCGCTACAGAAGGGAATTGGTAAGTTTAGTTGACTTATTTTAATGAAAGTTTAGCTGAAAAAGTTACTTGAGTTCAATTTTATTGTGTGTAAATGTATCTTGGTACTTTTGGGCTTGTATTAGTCCTCATTTGCGATTTGTCAGGGCTGGATGCTACCGTGGACGAGTATTTGTTAGAGAAATATCTGGACATAGTGCGTTTTTTTTAAATTTGATATTGAAGAATAAATAATATTAATGCTATAGTATATGCTTTAAAAAAATATTTGATACTATTTAAATCTATTTTTTGTTATTAAAAGAAAATTGTTAACCAAAAATATTTATTATAATATAGCGTTAATAGATGCTAAATGCTTTGGAAAAATACATTAATTTTAACCAAAAATAATATTACGAAAATTCCCAGAAAAATTTCAAAAATTCCTGTGAAATTTTTATTTTGGATTGGTTTGTATATTAAACCTTTTGTTAATATTATAAATTCAAAATGAAATTTTTAAAAGGGCGCGGAGGGCCCAATACCGATAAATTAAAAATATAAAAAAGTAAAATTTTCATTAAATGAATTTATTATTATTATACAAAAATACATTTTGTAACCAATTTTATAATTAAACCCCTCTAACAATGCAGGGTGCAACACTGCCGTGCTTAATGAAAACGCCGTAACCAACAATTTTGCGATTTTTGTTTTACGGCATTTTCTACTAGAACAATTCATCCTGTGTCTATCCCCGGTACTCAAAAAACCGTAAATATATAGATACGGTTTTTTGAGTACCGGGGATAGACGCAGGATGAATTGTTCTAGTAGAAAATGCCGTAAAACAAAAATCGCAAAATTGTTGGTTACGGCGTTTTCATTAAGCACGGCAGAACAGTTACTGTAGTTACTGTAGTAATTGAATGCTACAACAACGTTTAACCGCCAATATAAAAATTTCAACTATTGACTTGCGCAGTCGGTTTTTATAAACTTTTTTTACATTTTATTTATAATTAATAAAATGTATTACATCCAAATATGGCACACCGCATTCTAATAAATGCAAAAGGCACAACACAAACTCAAACAAAACAAGTTAAACGCCATTTTATACACTAATTTAATTTAGGCACGAGCGAGCTTGCGAGCGAGTGTTTAAGTTAATGAGTGTATAAAAGAGTTTATAAACGAGGTACATACTATACTTTTTCTACGACAAATACTTATTATTATCTTAAAATGATTTAAATCAAAAATTTGTATAGAGCGTATAAACTGTCAAATGTCACATTTTTACATTTTATAAACACAATTTCGAAATGTATCTTGAAAATTGACAGTTTTTCACATTGAAAGTAAAGGAAATGTTTTATGAGGACTCTACAGTAGAGTCCGTGCCCGAATTTAAGTTATAGTTTACTGCCGGCGAAATTAAAAGGTCAGTACAATGTTCATATAAACTTTTCAAATATTGGCGTTGAGAAACTATTTAATATTTTTGTATTGAGATAATAGAATAATTTTCACATTTAGTATTATTTTACAAGAAAGGCACTTTATTTTAACGATTGTATGACATTTGACAACTGTCAACTAACTTAAAACTAACTTCAGCCCGTGACTAAAAACCTGTTGCTAACTTCAGCCCGTGACTAAAGAGCCGTAAAGCCACAATTTGTCAATGTGTATTTAAAAGGCCACTTAGTGTCATGGAAACATGTACGATAAAGGGATAATAATAAGTATTTGTCGGAGAAAAAACACAAACAAAACAAGTTAACGCAACACAAAAACAATAAATTTAGCACAGGTTTACAAAACGCAATAACAATAATTTAAACACTGAAAAGTAATTAGAACCTTATCGGACAAGTTAAACAAAAAAAACACCAAAACAACGCAAAAACTAAAAGTTTAGAACGTTACATATCCGCCTTACCTGCTGCAAAGGAATGCATTAGGGTGAGACAAAAAAACTAACCTATCGGATTTATGGGTTAAAATGAACCTACATACCGAGCAAAAAATTTCCCTGCAAGGCAAAATTTTTTGCTCAATTTTAAAAGGTGTCGGTGAGCATTCTAAGTTTTAACTGCAGTTTTAGTGATTTTTTACACTTTTCAAAGCTTTCAAACATACGAATTTTTGAATTAAAAAAAATAATCCTGGTATAGATTCTTTGGGAAATTTTATGCTCAACAAGAATCCGCGACGTAAAAATTTTTATCTCAAACGGTTCAAAAGTTATAGTCTTTTTAATTAAAAAAGATTTTTTTACGTGTTATTTCAATGGAATTAAAACTTAGAATGCTCACCGACACCTTTTAAAATTGAGCAAAAAATTTTGCCTTGCAGGGAAATTTTTTGCTCGGTATGTAGGTTCATTTTAACCCATAAATCCGATAGGTTAGTTTTTTTGGCTCACCCTAGAATGCATTCAATACATTTAATTAGTTTTTAACATATATTAACTAAATGTACCTATTTTATTTAATTTATGCTGTGCATGTAACTTTGTATTAGTTTATTCCTTGTTTATTTTTGTGACGTGTTCTACACCCAATGGTACCTATGTAAAATGCATTTTGAACTAAATAAAGATTATTATTATTATTATTAAATATAGTTTGTTTAGTAAGTCTTAAATTTCAATTTAATATGTGTTTTTTTAAATAGATACGCATTTTTATATTTCTGTGACATATGTATACACTGTTTGTGTTTTTAACATCAATAAAGTTTTATTATTATTGTTATTATTACCGACTAAAAATAGATACTAGATACAGATAATAGTCGCAGTTTAATTAAAAATGTATCTTTGTATCTTAACACACCTAGCTAGTTACTTGGAATTTGTAACTAGTTTCAGTTATAGTTACTAGATTGGGATAAGTAACTAGATACACAAACAGATACATAAAAAGTATCTAGATACTGTATCTAGTTACTTGTAACTAGATACGTTACAACACTGACGAAAACCTAATTGTAGATCATTTCTTGAATTCTCTATTTTTTGTTTCATTGTTGTTTTAAGTACCTTGCGTTTTTTTGGTCAAAACTAAGCATAGGAATATTTATACCATGTTTTTTTCAAATAACTTGACAGAATACAATATTTTAAATAGTTATTATTTTTCATTTTTCATTTGGCTACAAAATCGTTCCTACCTAAAAAAATTTAATAAAATTTATTATAGGGTCGTTTTGAGGGGTAGTGAATCCAGTGCCGTGCATAGTTTTTTTAATCGCTAATATGAATTCTTAAAAATTTACTCTCAAATACTGACATATTAGGCCTTGTATTTTGTAAAAATATGGCGTTTTTGCACCAAAAATACAGTTTATCAGCATGATTGATTGTATTTTTTTACTTTTTATTGTGTAGAGCTGTAATAAAAGCACACTTGTAATAGGTAAAAACGACGTCACGCGAAAGAACAAAAATCTATTTTTTTTTAAATCTGCTTTTTTCTCTGTTTTTTTCTTTACCGAAAGGTCGAAATCTATGAATTTAGTAGTTATACATTATAAGAATGCTACTATCAATTATGTAACGAAATCTACATTGGATAATTTTTACATCCATGATTTTAGGTGCTTGCATTCAATCCCAAAACAACAAAATAATCAATTTGGTGCATGCTTTGTTAACCAAATTGATGTCCATGTTTCCCATGGAAAGAACAAACCTGAATTCGACATGCAAAAATGATGAACTAGAAACTTTGTACTTCACTGTTGGAAAGGTAAGTTTAAATTATTTTTTCATAATGTTTTGATTCGATATAAATTTTTTATTTTTAGGTCGTTTCCGATGGATTAAGCAACTTTGAAAAGAAGGAGAATCCATCCAATCTATTTGGCACTGTTATGATTTTAAAGGCAGCATGCGCAAATAATCATTCGTACATTGACCTGTCCATCACACCATTCATGATGGTTTTGCATAGGTTAGCCAAGGAGCACCTTCAACCACAATCTACCGAAAATGCAGCTTGTAAGCAAAACAAAATAAAAGTAATTTTTGTTGATCTATTTTTCTTGATTTTAGTGACCAGCGAGTTGCTCATACTATGTTTGGACTTGGTAAAGACCCGTGTTGTGGTGATGGGTGTTGATATGAGAAAAACCTTTATTGGTACAATTTTAGTGGGTCTTATCGAAAAAACGCAGGATAATAATGTTATGAAAGCAATAACAAAGGTAGGCGTAATAAACTAAATTTTATAATAAATAAATTTAAAAAATGGTCTAATTTTTATGGCACGCCGTTTTAACATTTATTAAATAATTTTTTAATCTAAAATTGTATTGGTTTATATCTTTTTTAACTAAAAATTTTAGGTTTACATTCATAAATTTAAAATATTTTGTATTAAGCAATATTATTTTCAATCAATTTTTCCAAAAATCATTTTTTAAGTATAATTTATTTGGGCAGAATTTTGTAAATCTTAAATAAATATTTTTTTAAATTATTGAGATTAAATTGATAAAGTTAATTTTTTTAGTATTTATCGAGACATTTAAAATAAAAATAATTTAAAAAGTTAAATTTTTTAAACGTAACAATTGATAATCAAAAAATATTTTAAATATCTGTTTAAATTTGTAAAGAGTGATTTAAATGATAGTTTATAAATTTTTAATAAAAAATTCTCACATTAAATTTAATTGTTAGTTTTAAATTTTAAAGTGCTAATTTTGGATTAAAAATGTATCGACTACCATTTAAATGACTATTAAGAAATTTAAACCTATAACTTTTATTTTTAACGATTTTAAATTAATACATTTTAATACAAAAATATTCACATTACATTTAAATCTAAGTTGATAATTTTTAATTTAAATTTTGTAAACGCTGCTTTAGCTGACTATGCATTAAATTTTAAATCCAAAAATTACCACTTTAAGATTTAAAACTTATATTTAAATGTATGAAGATTTTTATATTGAAAATGAACCAACATTTAAATGACACATTTAAACCAATAGTCTATCAATATTTTTAAACTTGAAAAAAAAAGTTTTACGGTTGTATTTTATATTTAATATTATATTATGTATCAAGTTTGATAAACTCCATTTTTGTCGCGAGCTTGCAAGCGAGTGCTTAATTAAATGAGTGCCTAGAAAAGTTTATAAACAAAGTGCATACTACTTTTTCTATGACAAATACTTAATATTAAACAAACAAATGATTTAAATTAAATATTTGTAAATAAATAATAAATAAATAAAGTTTTTATTGCATATTCAGTACAATACAGAACATATAATACAAAATATACAAAAGGCCATCGACCCGAGTCCTTCAATATTTGTATAAAGCTACATGTATACAAAAATAAAGAAATCATCCCAATAAACATTTTTGATATAATATTCACCATTAACATTGCCAGTTATTATTTTAATTAAACTTAACAATTATTGATACTTTAAAATAATAAACTTAAGAAAATATTTTATCCATTTATTTTTTTAATTGCTATAATAGCAAAATATTATCACAAAGTATTAAAAATTCTTACACGGGAAATGTTAAAAGGTACAATAAGTGACAGTTGTATTTATTGGAATTTACGTTAGAATTTCTAACTTGGGAATTTATCGGCGTTAAAATCTCAAATTTGTCCATGTATCAAAATTTATCCCTTGAAAATAGACTAACAATCGTTATACAAGCAGTTTTTCACTGTAAAAGAGAAGAGAATGTTTTATGGGCACTGTACGCAAAACTTAACGCTTTATCAGTTAAATCTAGTTAACTAGAAACCATTTAATATTTTTGTATTTTTATATTGAAATACCAAATAAAAAAATGTTCACATTTTAAATTTTTCTGTTTGTGTACACTCACAGGCAAAATACTTGATCCACACAAATTTTCGATGAATTTCAATCGCAAATAACTTTTTTATTTGATTTCGGATTTAAACAAATATTAAAGAATATTGTAGATACATAATGGAGAATCGCTCACATTTTAAAAAATTACTAAAAAATACACGTACGTTTATAATATACAGGTTTAAACAAAAAGATGTTTTTTACCAGAAGTATAAGACACTCTGTAGAGTGGCAAAACCGTATATTGTTCTAAATTAAGTTTTAATTATCAAGTCACATATATTTTTAACAGTTTTGTTTTTGGTTCACCTTGATATTTTTATTTTTGTGGAAAATATGGATTTTTTTTAAAAAACATTGGAATTTCCAATATTTTTCCTGTATGAAGAACTAAGGTTGCTATGGTCCATCCATAGCCTACGGAGGATGACAGTGACAGTTTTGTTGAATCATCCCATACTTGGACATGTCATATACAGCTTTCAAGAGGTATCAAATTGTTTTTTGTAAATTAATGTGTTAATTTTAAGGTGTCTTCTTACTTTTAAAAATGTCTCCAACTGATGTTGCCCTTTGTACTTTACTTCTTGTGGCGTTTAAAACACTTGCCACGTAATACTGTGACCGTCCATCCTGGATTAAATTAATGACTCTGGCAACATCAGTCGGGGACATATCCATTTTTTAAAGTGAGAAGACACCTCAAAATTTAAACATTAATTTGCAAAAAACGATTTGATAGCTTTTGAAAGCCGTGTATGACATGTCCAAGTATGGGATGATTCAACAAAACTTTCACTGTCATTCTCCATATCAACCTTAGTTCTTCATACAGAAAAATATTGGAAATTGCAATGTTTTTTTTTAAAAATCCATATTTTTCACAAAAATAAATATATCGAGGTGAACCAAAAACAAAACTGTTAAGAATAGATGTGACTTGATAAATAAAACTTAATTTAGAACAACATACGGGTTTGCCACTCTACAGAGTGTCTTAAACTTATGGTAAAAAACATCTTTCTGTTTAAACCTGTATATTATAAACGTACGTCTATTTTTTAGTAATTTTTTAAAATGTGAGCGATTGTCCATTAATTTATCTACAATATTCTTTAATATTCGTTTAAATCTGACATCAAATAAAAAAGTTATTTGCGATTGAAATTCATCGAAAATTTGTGTGGATCGATTATTTTGCCTGTGAGTGTATTGAGTTGTAAAAACCATTTATTTTAGATGTTGGAAGAATGGATGAAATGCAAGAGCATAGTGACGGTAAATCAGGCACCAAGTTTAAGGGAAAAATCTATTTTACTCGTTAAACTGATGCAGTATGTTGAAAAACGCTTCCCTGACGATAGCGAGTTAAATGCGCAATTTTTGGAACTCGTAAACTACGTTTACACGTAAGAAAACCTTTTTAAAGTAAACTAAGCATAATCACATTCCCTTATCTTTTACTTTCTAGTGATAAGCAGCTAAAGACTACAGAACTGACTTCGAAACTCGAGCCGGCCTTTTTGGCAGGTTTGCGCTGCAGCCAGCCGCTTATTAGAGCGAAGTTCTTTAAAGTTTTTGATGAGAGTATGAGAAAAAGACTCCACGATCGGTTGCTGTACATAGTGTGCTCCCAGAACTGGGACGCAATAGGTCCGCACTATTGGATTAAACAGTGCATTGAGTTGCTTCTCGTAACTGCCACAAAGGGTAGGAGAAAAATGAAAAATAATGCACAATTATTAAAAATTCAATTGGATTTTTTTAGGTGCTCCTATTGAAATGTCCCACGAAAGTTCCATATTGCCAAGCATCACTGCTGTTATAAATTCTGCTGACAAGCAGAAGAAGGACGATTTTCAGATGTATCAGTTGCAAAACCCACTGCTGTACGAGTCAATGGAGATTAAGGTAAGATTTACATTATTATTAAACTTTAAATAAAAACCTTTTTATAATAATCGAATTATAAAACATTGACAAAAATAAGAAATCAAAATTTGTTTTCTGAAATTGACGACTTTGATTTGTTAATCATTAAATACTTTAAAATTGTAAATCATTAAGGGTGAATATCCAAAACGGGGATAAATTGGAGTGGTAAAAAATAAAAAGCAAAGATTAATAAAACACTAGCAAAATAATACCTCAATGTGTATTTCTTAATAACATAAAGTAATTTCAAGGCGGCTATAAATTAAACTTAACACTTTTCTATTATTTAACAAAAAATAAATGAGTCCATGGAGTTGACGTTCTGAACCATGGAGTTGACACAATAACATAAAAACCACATAAATCTAATCTTGTACTGCCTGTTCTGTTGATTTGTGAATTAGATAATTAATTAGATAGATTAGAACTTTAAATCATCTTCTTAATCTGAATCTGAATAGATGTCAGAAAAGAACCATCGTTTAGCAAATGTTTGCAAATGATTTTTAACATAAAAATTTCCTAATCTATAATGTTCACAATCGTTTTGGAATGCACAGTTCAAGCAACTTAGTCGACGAAGATTTACGTGCGGGAAAATAGTGCCTTTCGCCACTTGTACTTTAATATACTATTAATACTTTTATTTAAATAGAATACTATTATTCTTAAAAAATGCAAATAAAGGAAACAAAATTCGATCTTTCAACTGCCGGATATCCGGCCGCTGGATATCCGGCTTCGATTCTTGCCGGATATTCGGGATCCGGTGTCTGGCCAAACAACTATCCATTTCATCTCTTTGTGTATATGCTGTATATAGTTATAATAATAATACTATTTGAAATTTTTTTTAAAGAAAAATTAAATTAAATTTATTATAATTTAACTATATATAATTATTTATTGTTAATAACGCCTTAACTTATATGAGCTAAGAGTTTAGGGCAATAATAAGAAAGTAAACAACTCCATGGACATACCTTTTAACTCCATGGAGTTGATGTCCATGGAGTTGATGTTTTTTTAGTTAAAGTCACAAACTTTAGAAAATGGTTCATAATGTATCTTTAGTTAACTGTAATTTAAGCAAAGCATATTTGGTTATTTCACCTGGAGAAAGTTTAAATTTCAATTGTATTTAAATCCCTTTGTAATTAAAGACATGGAGTTGATCTTTAATAAAAATACTTACCCGTTTTTTCGCAAATAATTGTTCTTTATACATTTTTATTAAATATTACACCCCCTTTGCCTTGCTTACACAAATCACTCAAACGACGAAGTCTTCAAACATTACTAAAATACGTTTTATACAGGAGATTTATCATATATAAAAGACTGCAAAGAACTCAGCTGTAAAATGGTGTCTCATGCTTTATTCGACATTTTGGGTTAAAATATCAATAAGTTTGCTTTTGGTTGTGTTTTTTTATACATTCCAAGTTAGAGGAAATGTAATATGAAAGAATCATTTCACAATTGCATCCAGTCTAATAGTATATGGATGATTTGTTGTCCCTACGCTAGGTGGTGACAGTCCATGGAGTTGACTTTAAAGCGTTTAAGCAAATTCAAATTAATAAAATAAATAATGTTTTATTTTTTTGGTTAAGTACGTTCTACTGCTAGACATAAACTGTCTATTGTAGTGTTATTTAAATGCCAACTACTTTCATTAGTATATTTTATTTAAGAGTTTCAGCATATTTGCTCCGTTCTGGAGAATCACCCTTAAATATTTTAATAATTTTTTCCACAAATTGGGTGTAATTAGTATTTTGTAATTTTAAAGGTTTATACGTATATTTAATCAATAAAGTGATCAAACCGAGATTATTGCAGTTTTACCCTCTTTTAAACAAAAATATACTAGAGGATTCCGCCCCATCTAACAACAGCAATAATGAACTCATTATTGACGTTGTTGGGCATCAGTGATTGGCTGATTTCAATGTTCACTGTGAATTGAACCAAGGTTAACAGATGTCAGATTTTTTATAAATACGAGGCGACTAAAATCTGTGACTACAATGCTCTTATAATCGGGAGAAAGTGAGGTTATAATAAATTTTATTATTAATGAAAATTACTTAATTGGAGTAGAAAAAGCATGGTATTAATTTTATTTGATATAGCTAAAAAATCTGTACATAGAGGGTTTTATGGAAAACACTGGTAATTCTAGGATATCATGCATTTTGGTCAATTCTCGATTTAAAAAAATAAAATGTAAATCAGCAACATTGCATTGAGCGCTATAGTAAGCTTATTGTAAATTACCCATCCACCATTAGATGATAGCTATGCACCGTGAGCACTTTGCGCATGTTATTTGGTGTAACATGTCATATATACTTCTCCTTTATTTAGTCTTCTTGATTCACTGGCATGATTAACAAAAAATCATAAAATTAAGGTATCTATCACTTCTAATCATTCCATATTATTAAATTAGGTCGGCGCTAAGCGGTCTTAAAGGGCCTTAAATTGTCAAAATAAAAAAGGCTCATCTGTTAATTTTAATTTTAAGAGGTTCCTCATTAAATTAAAAAAAATTCATACAAATAAAATACAAAAATATATTTAAAATATTGAATAAATATTTTGCTAAATAACCTAAATATTTTAGAAATATTAGTTATCACTTAAATGCTCAACATCACAAAAATCAGTGGCGGATTTAACGGGCGGCAAATGCGCTGTTGCCGCCTGCCCCCCCAAAAGAAAGGCTTAGGCCCCCAGCTGAAATGTTAAATCCGCCACTGACAAAAATATCCTAAAATATTTGCAAAATATTTACAGTTCATTGCATATTTATTTTAAAAATGTTGTTGTAAATGTTGATAAAATGTTGGTTCTATATTTATAAAAGCCGTGTGATACTTTTTGTGTACTGAATTTTCTTGTTTTGGAGTGCAAAAGTAGATGTGGTATGGTATTTTCATATTAGATATACTAAAAATACAAGAAAATTTAATACACGTCATATTAAAAATCATTCTTTGGAAAAAGTTAGAGAAATAAAAGAATATTTTTCTTTCTACAGTCTTGGTTTTTCTTTTTAAGGTTATTTTTTGTTAATTTGAAATTTACTGATAGAATAATCGTCTTCAATAGGGTGGCAATACAATTTTACCGCCGCGGTTCAGTACACTGCCGTTCATAAATAGCAATAATCTAAAAAATAAAAATAAATATAATACATATCTCTAGCAGGAAGGGTTATTTGGATAGTTTATTATTAAATTAAAATTAAAATTTTTAACTTTTTTTAGCGGTCGAGCCTCGAACAAGAGAAATCTTTTTATCAATAGGGCCCTTACATTAGAAAACTTTTAATGAACTTTTCTAAAAGTTTATAAATATTGTTAAATAACTTAACAATATTTAGGAAATAATATTTACATAAAATTGCAAAATAAATGTTGATAATGTTTTAGAAAAATGTACGCTTAACAGTTATAGAAATATTTTTACCCGAGTGTTTGTACCACATTTCATCAACTTTTCATTTATAAATATTGTTCTCAAAACAATCTATGTAGCCATTTTATTTTGTACTTATAATTATGTAATTTTTATAACAAAATTTAAATTCTTTTCTATTTTTTAATTTAGCTTATTTTGTATAATATTTGCTTCATACCTTTGTGAGATTATTATCAGGGTATTTAAGATTATTATCATGGCATTTGTACAGACAAAAAATTTATCTTTTTAGGAAGAGGTTCTCGACATGGACCTGACGGTGGACCCGAGCTCCGCATCGACCTCGAACAGCAACGGCACGTCGCAACCGATCAAAGAAGAACCTCCCGCGTCCCGCGCTGAAACCGTCTCGAAGATGATAAAGAAGCACTTCGAGTTCATCGAGGTGTCGCGGAACGTGTGCTCCGACCAGTTTTTGGTCGCGGCCGCGCAGCTCTGTCACATGGACACCGCGCTGGCCGAGCAGGTGTGGCTCGCGCTCTTCCCCAAGCTGTGGAAGATTCTCGAGGACGAGCAAAGAAATGTTAGTATGCTTTCATTCAATTGGTCGGTTTTTAACGCTTTTACAATTTAACTTGTTGCATAATATGGTATTATAAAGGGTGGGCCATGTTTATGTTGAATTATAAAATAGCAATAAGAACAAGAAAAACTGATTTTTTATCAACGAATTTTGCTTTATTTGATACAATGTTTCTTCCGATTAAGTATGGAAAATGATTTTTTTAAGTGTCGTCCACCTCAGCTGGCTCGGCAGTAGCCCATCCTGGAACACCAATTTTCGAGCACTTTGTCAAAAGTTTGCTGCTCTATTTAGGCAATTTGAGCTTGAATGGTTTGTTTTAAATGGTGAATAGGCTTTGTTACGGTGACGTGTGGATTTTCCGTGGCCCAAATCCTACAGTTTTGCTTGTTGACATAACCTCCGAGGTAAAAATGCGCCTTCTCCGAAAAGATGATTTTTCTTGCAAAATTAGGGTCATCGTTCAACTGGTTTAAGGCCCACTCAGCAAAGCGAAAACGTTGTGGATGGTCAACTTGCTTTAACTCCTGAACAAGCTGGACTTTGTACGCAAACATACCGAGGTCTTTGTGCAGAATCATCCTCAGAGTGGTACGGGAAAGGCCGAGTTGTTGACATCTGCGCCGAGTTTATGTTGACGCGTTCATGCGTACATTTTCGGTCACAGCAGCGATTGCTTCAGGTGTACGTCTACGACGAGCATGCGAAACATGTTTTATGTGCACCAGCATTCAATTTCTGCTCATTTTTTTGATCAAATTTGTAATACTTTGGTTTGACGGGGCATCATTTCTTCCAAACGCAATTTTCTTGCCGTCTCTGTGATCACAGTCACATTCAAAGTAAGTTTTGAATATTTCGAAACGTTAATCCAAATTTATTCGGTGCATATTTTGTAATCGGAAGGTTAAAACTAAACCACTGTCAGCAATTCATGGCGCTTAAGTTGAAAGCTTCATTAATAGCACGTAGTTTAAAATTCAACTTATAGATGGCCCACCCTTTAGTTCCAAAAATCATTTTTAACGCGCTAAGTTAGCTTCTTTAAAATGATTTTAGTACTTTTCTTAGTATAATCCAGTGGCAGTTTATGATGCTACATGAGGTTAATTTTGTCTAAATACAAATAAGTTTCCACGTCACCTAGGAGGTATACTAGGCCCTACTAAACCATTATAAATAAATAAAAAATAAAGAAAATATCAAAGCAATCTTAACCCAAATTGCGACTCATAAATTTGTTTTTTAAAACTTTAGTCGTTTTTTCGCGTAAATACCATGAAATACTATGGTTATTAAACTTAACCTTGGTTAATAGTAAAGGCATTTTTGCGTTTAGAGTGCGTTCAAAAATCCTAACAATGACGTCACAAATACCAGACCATAAAACTATATCGCTGATCTAGTTATTCAACGTGGTTAATAGTCTTTCCCTTTTTAATATATATTTCTCGATTTTTATGTAAGAATGTCATATTCTCGCACGCAAAATCGTTGAAGAATGAAGCTCATTCTTAAACGATTTTTGGTAACATTTAGTTTTTAAGTATTGGTACCCCCAAAATGTCAAACTGATTAATAACCTCAAATTCATTACTTTTATTGAAAATGAAGCCTTTATTATTGTTTTGTAATATAAAGTTTGCTCCAACAATGCATTTTAATGCAAAATTTTAAGTTTAATGTGTAAAAGTGCAGTTCAGGTTGTACTTGTGCAGGATAACAAATATTGTCATTTTGTGTTGCCAACTGACATTTTGCGAGAAAAATCCCCTAACTAGCAACGACCACAAAACAATTAAAAAAACCTAAATAAAAGTTAAAATCGAGAAAATAGTATAAATCCCACGTTGCAGAAGGCTATTCTCGCACTCATTCGTTCGTCCACTCGCTCCTTCGTCGCTCGAGGCCAAATTTCGAATTCGTGCGAGAATATGTGACCTTCTGCAACTTGTACTTTAATATACTATTTTCTGTTTCGATCTGTCAAAAAGTTGTTTACATTTGACGTCAAAAAGTAATTTAAAATATTTTAAGTAGCTTTAAATTGCTCTTAAACCAAATTTAAACTTTGTATTAAAATGGTAAACGGGAAATTGTCAGTGAAAATAAATGATATATATATATCTTCAAAATATCTCATATAAACAGTTTGATCTTCATAATTTCTGTAGGTTGGCAATTTAATATGTTTATGTAGGAATAATGTTTTGTGCTAAACAACTCTTCTCCAAAACATACCCCCAACCTTCGTCTTTTTCTTTGGGGTTCCATTCTAAATTTTGAGTTTCACAATAATAATTTTCGTATAAACGTTAAACACTACATGGATTTTAGTTATGGTAAACAACAGGGAAGAACTGTTTATATATAAAAAGAGGTATAGAAAAGGTAGGTATAAGAACTAGGGATCATAGTTCTTAAGGTATAAGAAGAGGCAAAGAAATTTATTTACACCGGTAAAAAATAGAAATTAAATATAAATAGGTAAAAACACATTTCAAAAATTATAGGTTATGAACAAGTAAACAAATGTCAAATGTTAGAAACCTAACCATGGTTATATGAATTAACTGTGACGTCATGACTTATTTAACTGTAGTATTGCATAGTATTTACGCGAAAAAACGACTTTTATTTATATGGATGCATAAAAATATACATATAAAACAAATAAAATATCAAAGCAATCGGAATATCCACCCCCTAAACTCCAATTGTTTTTGACGCGGCCTAATAAAATACAATGCCAACAGAATAAGCTTTGTTTATAAATACTTCCGCATAGCCACTTATAGGTTTTGTACCAAGATATTTGAAAAGTTCATAAATGGGTAAATAGCTAAAAGACAAGCAGAACGTGAGAGACGCAGAAGAATAAGGGATGACCAAATAAAACCGTGGGTTCAACTTTCTAAAAAAGACAAAAAAAAAATATGTTTTTAGTCTTCATGTCTATGTTCATGAGTGGAAAAGTCCTAAAAGTGCAAAATTAATAAGATTTGCTATTTTTTTTATGTGTTAACGAAAGTGTTTCCAAAAATCGACAGCTTTAAAATATTCACCCAAATATTGCTTACCCTGCCTCTTATCGTTAAATATTGATGAAATTTTTGGCGTTGGACGACTGCCCAATATCTGTCTTTTTTCAGTTTCGTTTCTTCTTAAAACAAGCGTTTTAATTATTGAAAGAATGTCATGAACAGGTTTAATTTAAAAAAAAATAGGAATATTTAGCTTAAGAAAACTTACCGGTATTTTGAAAACCTAATTTTATTGAAACTGAAATCCACTTGTTGCTTAATAAAAACTTCTAACTCTACAGCATATAAAATTTTTAAATAATAATGTATCCTTAAAATATATATAAAATTTAAAGAGTTGGAGATGTTTAAGTATTTTAAAAATTCTTTACTAAAAGACTTTATGGTTTGCAATACAAAACATAAAATTGTTTACTAAAAATATTTTTTGTTTATTTTTTAGACCGCATTTTATGTTTTGTTTGTTGTAGTTTTAGAACTAATTTATTTGATTTTTTCAGCCTTTGGTGCAAGAAATCCTACCGTTTGTCACTTCTGGCACCCATATCGTCCAAAAAGACTGTCATCCAAGCGCCATCAACACGTTTGTAGAGGCTTTGTGCAGATGCACCCCACCAATGCAGATAGCCCCGTAAGTATATGTATATAATATATATTATATATGTATATATTAAAGGAGAGCTACAAAAATTAATTTTATGAACCAGTATTAAACGATATACAATTAGGGTTGGGACAGTTGAAATTTTCAAATGAAAGTTTCAAACTTGAAATATTTCATTTAGTTGGAAAAGTGAAATTTTTAAAAATTTCAAATAAAATTGAGACCTTTAATAATTATTATAATTTACAACAGATTCGGAATCGACCAATAAGAACGAGTTATCAGGCGTCTGGGCGTTTTTGTTTAGTTCGGCTTGGATTTGAATACAATATAAGTAATTATTGTTACTTATATGCATAAATTAATTTAAATAACACTGTGCGACAAATTTTGACCTTACAATTTGAACTGGGATGAAATGTGGAAAAATCGAATCTATGCAACCCCCAAAACTAATCTTTAAAGGGGAGTTGCTAGTTTAGCTCGAATAATGGAGATATACAGGGTGTTTCTTTTAACTTGAGACAGCTCAATATCTCGAGAAATACGCATTTCACGGAAAAATGTCTTAAATAAAAGGTTAATGTGACCAAAGGGGACATTATTTGGTGCTACCGCTAGCCACCCCCTACCCCTCCTTAAGGGTGAAACGGGGGGTAACTTTGGAAAGTCAAATGGAATGACCCGATTTTTTTACAGAGTTTGGTAGTACATAAAAAAATGAATAACTTTTATTTGAAAGTTTTTTTCAATTTATCAACAGATGGCGCTGTAATTCAAAATTTAAGAAAAAGGGGTTTCCTTGTAAAATGTATTATTTGAAACGTTTGAAAAACAAAAATTAACATTAAACAATAGTCGGCTCTGAAAACAATTTATAACAAATGTTCGAAATGTCGTCCTTCCATTTCTACACCAAGTGGAGCACCAGCGTCCCTGGTCGGTAAACGTTTGGTGCGGTACCTTAAACGAACGATTAATCGGACCCTTCTTTATTGACGGTGCATTAAATAGCGAAAAGTACCGGAATTTTCTAGAAAACGATCTGACGGACCTTTTAGAGGATGTACCACTAGCACAACTCCAAAACATGTGGTACCAGCAAGATGGTTGTCCTGCACATTATTCGACAATTGCTCGAGAGGTGTTGGATCGGGAGTTCAATGGCCGGTGCACCGCGGTGGATCGGTAGACGTGGTCCAGTAATTTGGCCTGCTCGATCACCTGATCTTACGCCACCAGACTTCTTCCAGTGGGGTTACTTGAAAGAAAAAGTTTACGCTGCAATTCCTACAACTTGGGAGGACATGGTGGAGCGGATCAGGAACGCCTTTGCGGCGATACCGCCCGACATGTTGGCGCGTTGTGTGCCAGAATTCATTACCCGCATTCAAAAATGTGTTGAAATGGAATGACGACATTTCGAACATTTGTTATAAATTGTTTTCATAGCCGACTATTGTTGTTAATTTTTGTTTTTCAAACGTTTCAAATAATACATTTTACAAGGAAACTCATTTTTCTTAAATTTTGAATTACAGCCCTTTAGTCACATTAACCTATTATTTAAGACATTTTTCCGTGACATGCGTATTTCTCGAGATATTGAGCTGTCTCAAGTTAAAAGAAACACCCTGTATATCTCCATTATTCGAGCTAAACTGGTAAAACCCCTTAAAGGATTTGTTTTGGGGGTTGACTAGATTCGATTTTTTCAGATTTGATCCCAGTTCATTTTTTGTGTTGCACAGTGTAATTTAATTCAGTTACCAATTTAACTTGTAAATTAAATCAGACTTTAAATTTTTTTTAAAAGTCATGATTAATTTAAACTTACTTTTGCTATAATTGCGTCGGAAAACGGATGAAAATGCCTTTGGCTCATAAAATTTTAATGAAATTTCTTCAATTTTCGTAAAATTTCAGTAAAATATATAAAAATAATAAATATATATAAATATAAAAGAATGAAAGTGGCACAATCTCGTTAGCTTACCAAAAAGTGCTAAATCTCAAGAAATTTGTGGTAAACATAGGTATTTACTATTTATATTATTCGAGGTCAGGGGCCCACAGAGGGGTAGGAGGTAAGAGAGGCAATTTGCCATGGTCCCCGAGTGGGCTTATTTCAATATATATAATATATTACACTTAAAGTGATTGAAATTTATTGAAAGTTTCAATAAATTTCATAAATTTTATGAAATTTCAGAAATTTTGGAAATTTTAATAAATTTCATAAATTTCAAGTACAAGCAAAAAGTGAAATTTTCCCAACCCTATATACAATTCTTATTTATCTACCCATATTTTTTAAAATACACTCACTAGCAAAAAAAACTAACCACCAGAAATTGGCAACAATTTTAATATTGATTTCCTCGCGAAGCGCTTATCTGATTTTGGTGATTTTGAGACATTTTGTAGACATTATATTTTAGCATATACAGGGTGCAAAATTAAGAAAAAGTCTTTTCCTGAAATTTGTGACCCTGTCTTATGTATCAGCAACAGCGGATGTCAATTGAAATTTTACTGTAGCCTTATACACTGTTTTAAACCAAACGCACCGGACTGAACAGTGTATCTTCGTTAATAACAGAGGTAATAACGTGATTAAACAAACAAAATGGTTGAAAATGATGTAAACAGTATGATTTCAATTGACATCCGCTGTTTTTGCTGATGCACTTCACAGAGGGTAACAAATTCCGGACAAAAAAAAGTCTCAATTTTGAACCCTGGGTATGCTCAAATTAAAATTCGATTAAAAATGTTCACCACAGCATAACATAAAGAGTCAACCTACAATTAAAAAAATATATTAAAATTAGATGAAATCAGCATTAAAATTTTGGCCGGCGTTTTTTTGCCGGCGAGTATACATTTTTTATTTTTAAGACCCTTGATGAAATACATTGGAAAATCTCACAACCTATGGCACAGAATGGCTCTTGGTCTTGAACAAATGGCATTTGACAGCAACACTATAAAAACTGTCAACCCCAGTACCAGTTATGATAACGAAAATGAGCAAAATAAAAATGTAAGTAACATACTTTTTTACAACGTTTTTATAACTGACTTTATGATTGCCACTCTCACTCCGGTTGCTAAATGACATACTTTTACGCAGTATTGAGTAAAAGTAACACTAGTGTTTTTTATTTATTTTTTTTTACTTTCACCTATTTCATATTTATACACATACATTTGCTTATTGCACTGAAATATCTGTTTTGTCCGCACCCACCATATAAAAATATATGGTTCCTAAATTAATCTAATTTCTCTTAATGCTGTGTGCAAGACCAATGCAATTTTGTGTAATAACTTATAAAAAGAAAGAGGGTCTTTTTTTCTTTGCAAAACAATGGTCATAAAACAACCCTTTCATGATTTTTATAAGTCACTGGAGTCGTCTCAATCAAAACAAAAAAAAATAAGTTCAAACCGAAAGAAAAAGTAAAGGTAGTCAAGTCTTACGAAGTTTTCTCAGTTTCGTTAGTTCTTAATTTAATAAATGTTATAATATTATTTTTTGTTTGATTAAAATAAATCTTCTTTATTTAGTGTAGCAAAAGCAGTCCATAAACCTTATTATTACAACATAATTAAAAAAACTCGTAGGGCAATACCAACATATTTTCTTTAAATAATGAAATACGAAATATATTGATTAAAAGCCATTGGATTTGCCATGCAAAGGTTGCAAAATAGCGTTATTGTCGTCCTTACTTTCTTCAAAAAAATCTTTTACCCTAAAACTTTAAACTTGATTATTTCATTTCAATGTTTTTGAGTTACGGTGTTCTTGAACTTTGTGTGCAATTTAAAACTTTTTAACAGCAGCAAGTAAGTATAAACGTTAAATTAATTTATTTCTCAAGGAACTGTTCGATTCCCTCGGCGAGCTGTACTCGCTTCTCTGCGAGGAAGACATGTGGGCCGGCCTGTGGCAAAAGCATGCGCACTACAAGGAGACGAGCATCGCGATCGCCTACGAGCAGCACGGCTTTTTCGAGCAGGCGCAGGCCGCCTACGAAACGGCGATGGCCAAGCACAAGCAGGACCACAACGCGGGCCCGGTGCCCACGCACACCCAAAGAGAGATACGCTTGTGGACGGATCACTGGATCAGGTAATATAAGTGTTTTTTGTTTAGTTTTTACCCCAACCAATCTAGATATTGCACCCACAAATTTTACTTCACCAATCAGAGGTTGTATAAAGGTCACTGTGTCCCTGAATTAAAGATGTAAAAAAACGGTTTTTTTTCAGATGTGAAAAAAAACATGAAAAAAAACGGATTTTTTGTTTTTTTTCAAAATGAAATTTTGAATAAAATACATATATATTAATAATAAAGTGAAATGTAGAATATATTAAATTTTTAGTATTGAAAATTTTGACCGAGACTAAAAAATCTGATTTCTTGTTATTTGGTAGTTTCCACATTAGAAACCAGTAGCAATGTAAAACTTCTACACCAATACAAAAAATTAAAGGATAAAAAAAATTGTTTTGCGATTCTTCGGATAGCTGTATCTTTGTTAAAAATGGTCGTATTGGAGCCGTAAAAAAAGCAATTTGAAGCTTGAAGTTTCTAGTTTTGAGATTTTTAGATGAAAAATGTGCAACGCTCAATCCTAACAAATACCGTAATAAAAAAAATCGATTTTTTTTGGCTTTCTGGTCCACGGAATGTTCTGACTTAACCACCAATGAATAAATGTTCTACAAGAATTTGCTATTGTATTTTTGAAAAAAAATTCCATACTCTACATGAATTTGAAAAATCATGAAAAAAGTGCTTTTGGTAGGTTTTTAAAAAATCAAGCACTGAATCAAAAATATTAAATGTAGTTACTTTTTTTAGAACCAAATCAAAACAAGCGCGGCCCTTATTGGTCAATTCGGTGGTGGTGGCGCGTGCATAGCGCGAGACTGTATTTACATTTTCTAATTTTCATTTAGTGGCTAATTTTAGTCCATGAAACCTTAAAAATTAGGCAAATGGGACTAATCTTGAAAAAAAACCTAAAAAGTGAAAAAAAACCATTTGAAAAAAAACAATGAAAAAAAAACTGAAAAAAACAAAAAAAACGGACCGTTTTTTTTCAAGTCGCATCTCTGGTGGCGCATGCATAGCGCGAGACTGTATTTACATTTTCTAATTGTCATTTAGTGGCTAATTTTAGTCCATGAAACCTTAAAAATTAGGCAAATGGGACTAATCTTGAAAAAAAACCTAAAAAGTGAAAAAAACCATTTGAAAAAAAACAATGAAAAAAACCTGAAAAAAACAAAAAAAACGGACCGTTTTTTTTCAAGTCGCATCTCTACCCTGAATAACTTTTAATTGAAAGGTTCAGTCGTATCCGATTTTTTTTCATATTTTGATAAAAAATCACTTACAAGACAATTTTTTTTCAGGAAAAACTCAATTCGCTTGGCACTTTTTTAGAAAAATCAATTTTTATAAAAACATTAATGATTTTTAATCAATTAGTGAACTCCAAATAATGACTAACAGCTTTTAATGTATTTGTTACATAAAATGTTCAATTCATTAGACTAGTGAACTATTGGCATACATATGTCACTTGTCACATGTCACATGTCGAAATCGTGATTGAAAATACCGTTGCGTTATTTTACCGGTTTTTTTTTCAATTTGTCGCAGATTTATTTATAAATTAGATATAAATAATTATATTTGCATTGATTATAGTATATAGTGCAATAAGGCTAATAAAAAACCATGCATGGACTCACTCGGATAATCGCGAGAGAATTTGTTTGTTTTGTCTTAAAAAAAAAAGAAAAAATGTCTAAAATATGGGGAAAGATTCTGGCAAAAGTTCAAAGCATAGCTTTAAGTCCGAAACATCAGCAGCAGTTACTATCGCTCTTTTAAAAAAAGAAAGCGATAGTAACTGCTGCTGATGTTTCGGACTTAAAGTTTCACTAATATCGTTTTCAATATTTTCTTCCTTTACTCCAGGTTTACATTTATGTTTTTACCGCGGCCACCAACAATACTTGACAAACATTTAAAACATTTTCTCACCACACGCTTTTTTCTTTTTTAATGGGTTTATTTTTAGCACTTTTTATAAAATTATTTCCAATTAGAAAAATCAGGCAAATTTAACGTGTTTCTATAAATTTCTTGTTTAGCTGCTTTATATAATAAAATTTCACAACCTTTGCATACAACTTTTGGTAATCGTTCATCTTCTACATCATATACTTATACAACTTTTTCCAGAATTTTTCCACATATTTTAAACATTTTTTCTTTTTTTTAAGACAAAACGAACAAATTCTCTCGATTATTCGAGTGAGTCCATACATGGTTTTTTATTAGCTTCATTGCACTATATACTATAATCAATGGAAATATAATTATTTATATCTAATTTATAAATAAATCTGCTACAAATTGAAAAAAAACGGTAAAATAACGCAACGGTATTTTCAATCACGATTTCAACATATGTCAATAGTTCACTAGTCTAATGTAACAAATACATTAAAAGCTGTTAGTCATTATTTGGAGTTCACTAATTAAAAATCTCAAAAAATTGATGAAAAATCATTAATGTTTTTATAAAAATTGATTTTTCTAAAAAAGTGCCCAGCGAATTGAGTTTATCCTGAAAAAAATTGTCTTGTAGGTAATTTTTTATCAAAATATGAAAAAAAATCGGATACGTCTGAACCTTTCAATTAAAAGTTATTCAGGGACACCGTGAGGTAAAAACCTCCATTTATCGCACTATTCAAAACGCAATTTTATAAATGTATTTATTTATTTATTTTACTTTAATCAATTTTTTTGGGGCCGAACGTTTGGATAAGTACTAATCTAAATTTTGCTTCGTCGAATTGGAATAAAGTTATTCGCTTATATATCCAAAATTTATGTATTTTATTCAAACCAAAGAGAAAATAAAAAAAATTGACATTTAAACGCACAAAACAAAGTTTGTTTTGACAGATTCATTTTCAATTTTGTTTTGTTTGAATTGACGTGTTTAAAAAAAACATTTTCTGTCGATAGATTTTAATAAAAAACGATGATGCGGAATTTTAAAAATTATTTTTGCAATATCATTTAAACATGCTATATTAGAAAAATTAATAATATGAAACACTAAAATCATGAACTACGTCATAAGGGATGCTTTTGATGGCTCAGGAAACTGCATCTGTTCTTCATCCTTGTTTAGTAACTGGTTGTATTTTTGAACAAGAGTCCCTGTTTGACAGTATAGTCAACAACTCTCATTCTACTCTTTTTACGAAATTCTTAGAAAACCGGATCACAAGGAAGAATTTTTCACTCAGTAGCAAAATTTTTTATAGTAAAGGCATTTTCCTTAGTTTAATATGTGGCCTGGACAATCATTCCTTTTTCTACATTCTGTCAATAAAATTACAAAGCTATAGTCTAAAAGAAACCAAGTTTAACTTTTTAGAAAACCTAAGAGTTGAGTAATATTATAGGACGCTCAAAGTCCAAGTAGAGCCTTATTTCATAAGTTTACATAAACAGGGTTGCCACCTTTAAAGCATTGGGTTGGAAGACATGAAAAGAACCTTAAAAAGCCAACTTAAAATAAAGCATTTTAACCGGATTTGTTTTTTTTTTGTGCTGGCAAAAGCGTATGCCCGCTAACCATCAATATATTTCCTGAGTTAATGCGAATAAGTAAAACATTTATTTTTTTTGCCCACAAAAATACTAAACCAGAAACTTAGTCCATATATAATTTAAAAAAAACTAAACAAGTGAGATAATGTTTTATGAAATAGAGGGTTTAAAATTGACCTGTGTGGGGGCAAGATTAAGCAATATTTTTTTCTTCATACAATTGTGGATAACCCTATTAAACCTGTATTGTTTTTTAAGATGCAAAATAAAGAATTTAACTTGATTTGATTAATATAAACGCATTAAAATGATGTTAGAACTATAAAAACAGAATTTTCCAATAAAACTATCCTATAAAATTAATATTTTTGCACATCAACATAAATATAAGGTAAAATTGAGTATTTTTTCATAAAAAAGATTTTTGAACTCTGTATAATAGGCCAAAACTTTTATACCGGTTGAAATATTATTTTTTAATCGAAAGAGCATAAATTAAATAGTATATAATCTGGTGTTCAGATTGATTCAAACAAATCTAGCGCCGCTATGGCCCGCCATCTTGAAAAATAACCTTTTGGTCTGGTCGAGCGTAAATTATTACAAAGTTCTAATACCCATGAAATTGCGATTTTAATAATCATATTTTTGAATAACTTTAATTTGTTACCAATAAATTTTAAGGCCTAAAATGATATTTTACACGAAACGTAGAAATGTTGTAGACAGTCCAGGCTATACTGAACCAATTTACTTAAAGTAAATGGCCATTTGAAAATTTTAAGAGCTTCAAAAAAAGGTTGATATAAAAAAGGTAGCTCTTAAATTTACCAGTATTGGGTTCCCTATATAAAATTTCATTGGCTTATTAGACAATGTTTACAATAACATATTTAGGACGATGCGGCAACATTTTGTATTTTTGTATTTTACATTTTAATATTTAATTTATTGTTTGTATTTTATTTAAAAAAAATGACAGAATTTAGTTTTTTAAGTGATATCTCGCTACCTTCAATATAATTTCCTTAATTTTTTAGTTTTAAGTGATATATTTTTTAACAGGTGTGCCAAAGAGTTAAACCAATGGGAAATCCTGACAGAATACGCTAAAAACGGCGCATTCTACGACCCATTTTTGCTACTAGAAAGTGCATGGAGAATCCCTGACTGGAACCTAATGAAAGAAGCTCTCTCCAATGTTGAGTATTGCTGTCCAAAGGAACTAGGATGGAAAGTATGTATACTAGACTGGGCCAAAAAAATCGACTATTTTTTTTTGTAAAGTTTATCGAAAATATTGTTTGGGGTGATAAAAAAAATTATGGTGAAAGTTTGAGTCCATAATATTAATATTAAGAGGTCTATCATCGCAATTTAAAAAAAAAATTCTCAGCAAGTTTTTGTCTCAGAACTCCCAAACCATTGAGTTTAACAAAATTGACTTAAGAATATTTTTTGAATTCTCTACAAAAAAGGTTTTATTGGAATTTCCCGTCAGATGAACCGTTTTCTTACAATCATGCCTTAAAAATTGGTATAGTTTTACAATTTGATCTTTTAACTTTGGAATTTTGTAATTCATGTAAAAATCAGTACCCGGAAAAAACCGATAGATATTCTTATGGGAAATCAAATGCTCTACAACAAAGTCTTCTAACATTTTAAATTAAATTTAAATTTGAAGTCAAAACTAAATTCTTTTTTTTTTTCCGCTCTACATTTTTTTGCGTCAGTTAAAAACTTGGATTATTTTATCGATGATAAACTTTATGTTATTGATGAAATTACTGAAAATTAAAAAAAATAACACTTTAGAATTTTTTCGCTTTAAGAAGCTATTTTCTTTAGAACATATTATTTTCCCTGTTAACTATTTAATCGTTTAAATAATAACAATCATGTTGTTTTTTTATTGGATATTGTAAATTAGTTATACACATTTATAAAGAAAAAAATCAAATTATCATCCATATGAAAATAAATCTACAGAGGAAAAAACAAGAATTTTGTTTTGACTTAAACTTTAACCTTGAATAAATAACTTTTGATTGAGTTAATTTAGCCAAAAATGTCAAGAGGCTTTTTTTGTAAAGCATTTGATTTCCCATAGGAATATTTATCGGTTTTTTTATGGGTACTGATTTTTACATGAATTACAAAATTCCAAAGTTAAAAGATCAAAATGTAAAACTATACCAATTTTTAAGGCATGATTTGAAGGAAACGGTTGATCTGACGGAAAATTTTATTTTAACCTTTTTTGTAGAGCATTTAATCTTCTTAAAAAAAAGTCAATTTTGTTAAACTCAATGGTTTGGGAGTTCTGAGACAACAACTTGCTGAGAAATTTTTTTTTAAAATTGTGATGATAGACCTCTTAATATTAATATTATGGACTCAAACTTTCACAATAATTTTTTTTGTCAACCAAAACCATATTTTCGATATACTTTTAAAAAAAAATGATTTTTTTGGCCCAGTCTAATGTATACATTAACAGAAACAAGTTTTAGTTGGATAATATGTTATGTTAACTGATGACATTTTATTATTCTTACAGATTACTATGTACGGTGGATTTTTGTTGATTTGTAAGCCAGAAGAGAGCAAACCACTGAAATTTGTGGAACGTTACGTCGAAACAGCGAGCGCATTTTGTTTGAACGAATGGAGGAGGTTGCCACATATTGTTAGTCACATACACTTGCCATATCTGCAGGCAGCACAGCAGGTAATAAATTAATTTTAAATACACATTGACAAGTTGTGGCTTTATGGTGCTTTAGTCACGGGCTGAAGTTAGCAACAGGTTTTTAGTCACGGGCTGAAGTTAGTTTTAAGTTAGTTGACAGTTCTCAAATGTCATACAGTCGCTAAAATAACGTGCCTTTCTTGTAAAATAATACTAAATGTGAAAATTATTTTATTATCTCAATACGAAAAAACAAAATTATTAAATAGTTTTTTAACGCCAATATTTGAAAAGATTATATGAACGTTTGTACTGACCTTTTGATTTTACCGTAGTAGTGCAGTTAACTAGATTTAACTGATAAAGCGTTAAAAATTTTGCGTACAGTGCCCATAAAACATTCTCTTCTCTTTTACTTTGAAAAGCTGCTTCTATACCGATTGTTAGTCTATTTTATAAATTTATTATAATAAATTTTGATTTAAACAAAAATTTGAGATTTATAACATTTCCTGTGTATGAATTTTTAATACTTTGTGATAATATTTTGCAATTATAGTAATAAAAAAAATCAAAGGATAAAATATTTTCTTAACATAATCATATCTTAAAGTTATTTTAATATTTTAAAGTATCAATAATTGTTAAGTTTAATTAAAATAACGTGTTAATAACATGTTAATGGTGAAAATTACGTCAAAAATGTTTATTGGGATGGTTACTTTATTTTTGTATAGATGTCGCTTTATACAAATATTAAATTTAAATCATTTTTTATATAATATTAACTATTTTTCGTATATAATACCACTAGTGGTAAAATTTTACCGATAAAATTTTTTATTTTTGTTTTTTTCTTGGAAATTTCGCAAGAGGCATTAATTTAAAAATTAATTTTTTAAGGAAAAAATTTATCACGAGTAGTATTCGCCAGAAATACTTCACGAATATTTTTTTTAATTAGAATTAACTGCCGATTCAATTTCTGTATGATTTTTTTAACCAAAACCCATATTTTTTTACATTTTTATTTTAAAATTAGAAACGTCAACATTGACAATTATCTTTTGCATAGCAATCAACACAGATTATAAAACAATGGTTTCTATGCAACTTGTATAAACGAGTGTTTTTTTCACCTAAATAGTAGTTTTATAAATCTGATTGGTCCATAAAGTAATGAGTGGAATAGTCGTAGAAAAAGTATAGTATGCAACTCGTTTATAAACTTTTCTTGGCACTCATTTAATTAAATTAAATTCGTGACTAAAATGGCGTTTATCAAACTTGATAAATGATATACTATTATCTACTGCCATATTGGCTTTAGTTTTTTTTGTCATGAGCTGAAGTTAGCTTTATTATAAATTTGGAAAAAATTAGCTTACATTTGTTCAATAGTCGTCAGATGTCAAATGTTTACGTGCTGTAAGAAATACCTTACTCTGATTTAGGGTTTTAAAATTTCCGGAAAAATTGAGCCGGCGGAAAAAAACCGTATTTGTAAAAAACGGAAAAATTGGGAAATTTTCAGAAAAATTGACTTTTTAAATTCCTAAATTTTATTCAAAGGGTAATACAAAAAATGCAAAAGTCAATTTTTTTGAAAATTTCCAAATTTGTACGGATTGTATCCGTGAATTTCCGACGCTGATTTTAATCATATAATATTATGATTATAATAATTATTCCTTTTATTTTAATTCAGTAAGAATATTCTACCGGGCCGCAAAAAAACATATTCGGTGCTATATTAACATAACTTTTATTTAACACTTCAATTTATAAAATAATAATTTTGTAATTTAACTTTATAAATCATTCATTATTTTGTAGTTAGATAATGGACTCCTTTTTGCAACAAAAAACCCAACAGATAGTATATTTCACTTTACGTTTATTTTCTTAAATTTAATTTAATGTTTAGTTTTATTTTTTTTGTTACTCATTTAAAATAATGTTAAGTTGTTGATTTCTAAAAAAAAAATCAATTTTTCCCAAAAAGCCATTTTTTCCAAGGCCTGGAAAAAAACGGAAAAACAGGTTTTTCCCCAATTTTTTCGGTTTTTTTTTCGACACTTTAAAACCCTACTCTGATTTCACAACTAGAACGAACAAAAAATTTCCGGGAAGAATCAGGCTCATTTTTGTCCCTAGTTTGTAGAATTACCCAACTACATTACCGATGATCCTTGTTTTTTTAATTAAAAAATATAGAAATTTGTACGTTTGTATATCGAAAAAAACTTTTTTTGCAATATGGCTAAATTTCATTTTTTAATTAATTACACTGTATGTAAATTTTCAACTCTTGAAATATCATAGCTAAATGCGTAAACATAAGTTTTGGTCGTTTGGTCGATTTCAAATCCAAATTAAGTGTCCGAGCTAAACGCTGTGATATTTTCACTTCCCTACAGTGTTATCTATGATTTTTTGCATAATTATTGCTTTGTCTCAAAAATTATTTTAATTTTTTAGATCATGGAACTGCAAGAAGCCTACCAAATCCACAAAGGTCTGAATCAGCTCCACCAGAACTCTGTGTACGACATGAAGGCCATAGTGAAGACGTGGAGGAACCGTTTGCCGGTCATCGCCGACGATTTGACCCATTGGAACGACATTTTCACTTGGCGACAGCATCACTACAAAGTGGTGGCCAGTCACTTTGAACGCATAACCGAATCCAATGCCGCCAATTCGATGTTGGTCGTGCATGCGCTCGCCCAGGTGAGACCAAAATTAATTAACAAATTGTTAATAAATATTGCGATATAACTAAAAGTTGTTACAGGGTATCAAAGTTGAAAGTTCGTTTTCGAACTTATTAAAATAACTTTGGGAAAAACAAACGTTTTGCGCAAAATTTAATATTCGGGGTTTTTTTAGGACGAGAAAATTATATTTTCAAGTAACCGTTTTCAAAATATGTGCGTTTATTGTGATACACAGCGCGTCAAAATTAACGCATCATAAGTAAAAAAATTCTAACTCTAAAACGCCTTTACCAATCTTTATAAAATTTTGGATAAAAATACTTTAACTTATATCTCAGTTTACATGTTCAAGAGTTTTTCGAGAAAATATTCATAAAACCCTTTTATTTAATAATAAAATTATTTATTGCTAAATGTTAATTTTAAATCTATTTGTAAATTACATATCTGTCAAAGCCCATTTCGGCTATTTGGATATTACTTTTCAATAAAAAAAAAAAAAAAAAAAAGTAAAAGTAAATAAAAAATATGCTGTGAAAAACCGTATTTTTGTAAGTTTACCCTGAAAATGTTGTACAAATTAAACAAACAGTAACGAAAATACATCGCTTCAAAGTCGTCAAAAATGACCAATTTTCTGCAAAATAATCAAAATGGGGTAATTTTTACCGACTTTAAAGCGCTGTATCTTTGTTACTGTTCGTTTGATTTGTACAAAATTTTCAGGGTATACTAACAAAAATACGGTCTTTAACAGCATATTTTTTATTTACTTAAAAAAAATTCCTTAAAAGTTATTTTTCGAACGTTTTTTTCGTTATTAAATGAAAGGGCTTTAAAAATATTTTCTCGAAAAACCCTCGAACACGTAAACTGAGATATAACTTAAAGTATTCTTATACAAAATTTCATAAAGATTGGTAAAGGCGTTTTAGAGTTAGAATGTTTTTATTATTATGCGTTAATTTTGACGCGCAGTGTATATTTGTACTCAAAATAATTTTTGAATATTTAAAAACATAAAATTTTGAATGTATTTTTTAATCGTAACCTAACTTTTAAAAAATGTTACATTTTCAAATTACAATTAAATGGGTGCACTAATACTACTACTAATGTTTTAATAAAATTTAGTATAGGGTCGGTTTGAGGGCATACAATGCCGTGCATACAATTTTCTTTAATCACTAATATGAATTCTTAAAAATTTACTTTCAAAAACTGACATAGTAGGCCTTGTATTTTATTTAAAAATATGGTGTTATTGCTCCAAAAGTGCAGTTTATCAAGATCTACACTTTAAAACAAATCCGGTTAAAATCCCACAATAAATAAAGATTTTACAGGGGTGAGTCGCAAAAATAAATTTTTGAAGTACTTTTGAAAAGCATCTAATTATGTAAAAATCGCACCTTTGTAAATTGTAGTAGCGTAAAATACCGCCAAGATATAGAAAATAAAAAAATATCCTTAATAAAAGTACTTAGGAGTAAGATTAAAAGCTGAAACTTAAACGGCATTTTTTTCTCGATATGTACAACAATATTTTGCTTAGGGAGTGAAAAAAAATAAATGTTCCTTTAAAACGACTTACCCTTATATACAGGGTGTCACCAAATAAGTTGCCATCCTTTAAGGGGATGATAGTACACGCCAAAATAAGAAAGTTCCTTCTCTATCATTTTTGCATTAGTGCCATTTTTTGTTATAAAAAAATTATTTAAATTTGTATAAGTAATGTAGAAATTTGGGGCCGCCACTGGTTGTTCCTGACCTATGACAACTGACGCAAAATATGCTTGCACAGTGGGTAATAATCTACATTCATTAAAAATGTACATTTGTGTTATTATTGAATACTTTGTTGATAATTGTTTTTTGTATTGCATACTCAGCTATTTTAAGGAACTTTGAATAAAACAATACTTACTTTTTATTGTTAGGTATCTCGAGGTTTCCGAGGTTTTACCGTCGATTTTAAATTTCTCCTTTCAATTTTTACGTCGATTGATGCTCATGTAGCTATTTTTTTAAGTGTCTCACAAAATCATAATAAATGTTCAACTATCCCGCCGTTATTATCCACACAAAGTTAACAGCGACGCAGAAAATTATGATGTGTCGCTCTTGCTATCATATCCGGATGATTTCGGGTTTCATCTGCCGCTGCAGTGACAAGTTCGCGGAGTTGTTCTAATGTGTCACACTAAACTGTTCATGTAGCCCCAGAGAAACCACAATAATAACCGAACTGTCAGTAATCAATGATTACAAAGTACTTACTAACCGATTTTGAATAAGTTTAAAAGTTTGATTGATATAACATAATACGCTGTGCGCATACCTGTTTCTTTTTTGCTTGAATGAATAATATCATTGTTTTTAGAGGTAAAAACAATTTTTATATATACGAGCCCTGTCTCAGTGAAGTTGGCCCAACTAACAAAAATAGTTTTTTGAAGATATTTAGAATATTATACGGTAATTAATTAAAATTAACATTTAATTAAATAAATAACGTTTATTAAATTTTCTACCGTTAAATTGTATTTTTAAGTACCTAATAAAAAAATATTTAAAATTCTCTTATATTGTCCGTAAACCAAAAATTAAGAAAAAAAAATATTTTAAATAAATACATTTTAATTGGAAACTACCACTGCGTAACATCTCCTTTATGGCTTATTACTGCCTGTATACGTCTCGGCATGGTGTCAACCAATTTTTGACAATCATCCGGCGTAAAATTATTCCAAATTTCTTGCAGGCGAGCACGCAACTCTAATGCCGGTTTTCCACTAAACGAACAGTTGAGTTTGGGTTTTGTTTGTGTTTTTAAAAACTTGCAAATCAAAAACAAAACTCAAACAAACCCGAAACTCTTGTTTCCATCAAGCAAACTAAGTTTTGTTCGAGTTTTGTTTTTGTTTTCGGTCCTTTTCCACTAGTTGTCGTGATTATGTCAGAACACACTTTTTCAGTATCAACCAACATGTTTAGAGAAAAAGATTTTCTTATTCTTAGTTTTGGCTGGTTTATACTTCTTCGTGAATAACTTTTGAAGAATTAAATTAATTAAAACATCAAATAATGAATAAAAATCAAAAATAGCGATGATAGACCTCTAAAATAAAATTAAATAAAATTAATATTAATATTAAGGGCTCAAATTTTCACCAAATTTTTTTGTCATTGTCAAATGACATTCTCGATATATTTTTCAAAAAAAAAATAGTCCATTTTTTTGGCCCAGTCTAATATACATATATATATATATATATATATATGTATCTATTAAACTTATCCATGACATTTTCCTGCCGAGGCAGTAGGTTGTGTGCGAGGTAATTAATAAGCCGCCGTGTTTTATATACTATTTTTTTTCAAGCTCTAAATTTCGATATTTTTTTGAAATTTTGTAACTTCATTTTTAGGTTAGGTTTAACTCTCAGACGACAAAATGTCACCATTATTGTTCGGCGGTCAATAATAATTTGACTTTTGAACTAGTACAATAATGTAGTGACTACTAGTTCAAAAGTTAAATTATTATTGACCGCCGAAGAATAATGGTGACATTTTGTCGTCTGACAGTTAAACCTAACCTAAAAATGAGGTTACAAAATTTTAAAAAACTATATTGTAGTATTTCTATATAGACTTATGAGGAATATAATATGAATATTATTTATACACTTGGAAAAAATATGTTTCTTACTTACCTACCAATTTAGTATGAAATTCGTATCTATTCGTAACTAAATTGTAGTATTTCTATATAGACTTATGAGGAATATAATATGAATATTATTATACACTTGGAAAAAATATGTTTCTTACTTACCTACCAATTTAGTATGAAATTCGTATCTATTCGTAACTAAATTGTAGTATTTCTATATAGACTTATGAGGAATATAATATGAATATTATTATACACTTGGAAAAAATATGTTTCTTACTTACCTACCAATTTAGTATGAAATTCGTATCCAGACTAACAAAATATAATAAAAGTCGAAAACAAACAACACAACACGACCGTTTCCACTAAACAGACTCGAGTTTCAAAACACGTCGAAACCTTTTGATGTTACCGCTTTCGAGCGGGACTCGAAAAACAAAACTCAAACTGTCGCAAAACACTCCAGTCTTCAAAAAGTTTGCAAAAAGTTGCAGTTTTGTTTTATTCGAGACGAGTTTGTGTTTTGTTTTTGTTTTGTCCGTTTGGTGGAAAACCGGCATAAGACGGTTCTTGCGGGCTGTTCTCTGAGCTTCTTTTTCATAATATGCCACAAAGTTTCTATAGGCGAAAGATCTGGACTACTAGATGTCCATTTTAAAAGTGAAATATTATTTTCTATCATCCAAGCTTTCACTTTTTTAGCCGTATGACGGTGCACCATCTTGTTGGAAGATGCATTCAATATCATTTAAACGCATTTCTTCAATTTGCGGTTTTAAGTTATTTTTTAGGACGTAAATATATTTATCAGCATTCATAATGCCCTCTACAAAGTGTAATTTACCGATCCCTTTAGCTGACATAGATCCCCAAATCATCACAGAGGCCAGAAACTTTACTTTTTTCTTAAGACAGTCATTGTGAAAGACTTCTGCTTTAGTTCTAATGACTCGGCTTCGATTATCACCAACGCAAATCTAGCTTCGTTACTCCATATAATTGAATCCCATTGATTTTGACACCAAGTCCTGTGCTCTTTTTTCCAGAGAAGTATATTTTTCTTCTGTTTTTAATCAATAAAGGTTTTTCCTTTGCCTACAGATAGTAAAATTAAAAATAAATAAAAATCGTATACATTATATTAAGTTTGTAAGTTTTAAACCCAAGTTTTTGAGCAGCTCTATGACAGGTTGCTCTTGAAAAACATTTACTCGTTGCCTGATTCCACAAAACTTTTAATTCACCGTAATTAGCCCTACGATTTTGAACGATAATTCTTCTTAAAGCCCTTAATTTTTTATCAGAATAGTGAGGACGACTTCCATTTTTTGGTTTCTGCGCCACAGATCCTGTAGTTTTGTGCAGTTTAATAATATTTCGCACTGTATATCGTGACAAATTAACAGTTTCAGCGATTTGTGCAGCGGATTTTCTTTTTAAATGCAAGTGAATTATCACTTTTCTTATTTCTTCAGAAAAAGCTTTTCCTTGGGACATTATTATTTGTCAACCACACCGAAAGCATAAATATATACTGAAATGTCACTACCGACTTGCTTACAATTATTTAAATGTCAAATATTATCTTTACTTTTAGCACAGCCGACTTGCATTAAAAAATCTGGTCATCCAAGTTAATGCATTTTTGTCGATTTTTTTGTATTGTAACCAAACATTCAACTTAAAACTAAATAATATACATACACATATTTTTAAAAAAAATTTACAACATGAAGATTGACCAAGAATTACATATGATAAAAAATTGTTGGCTTTTCATCGCATAAAATTACAAATTTTTTATTTTGAGTGGTTGGGCCAACTTCACTGAGACAGGGCTCGTATGATAGGTCAGTGACATCCTGTGGCTCCCTGGTTTTTCAAAAATTTCATAATTCATTTATTAAAAAAAGCTAATGCAAAAATGATAGAGGAAAAACTTTCTTGTTTTGGCGTTTACTATCATCCCAATTTATTAGGTGACACACTGTATATAATATATAAACCATCTCATATAAAAGTTTGTTAAGTTATCTAAATGCAGTTCGAGACCAATTAATTGACGCGCTTTGTTTTACAGTACGTATTTTTAACGTTTTTTTTTGCATAGTCCATCATCCACTTCGGCAAAGTCTCGCGCAAGCACAAACTCACCGGAGTTTGCCTGGAAACTTTAAATCGCATCTACACCATACCCAGCGTGCCGATCGTCGACTGCTTCCAGAAGGTGCGGCAGCAGGTCAAGTGCTACCTGCAGATGGCCTCGATGAACAACAAGAACGAGCTGCAGGAAGGTTTGGACGTCATAAACCACACCAAGGTGCAGGCGTTCCTCAAAGAGATGACCGCGGAGTTTTACGCCTTGAAGGGAATGATGTTGCACTTGAGCAGTAAGTATTTAATTTTGCCCACCTTGTCTCACTCTGATTTTATTGTGTAGTTTGGATCACTATACGCGAAAATAACACTTAAAATTTTGTTCATGGAAGCGTTTTCGAGATATTAATTTTCAAATGTTTTTTTTAATTTTCTGAGGTGTTTTGGCGTTTTAAAGTATACTTCGAGTTCTAATTGATCGATTTGACCAAACAAGCACTTAAATCTTGTACAGTTTTGGTATCGGCTCAGTAGTTCGATACTGGCGATTTTATGAAGTTGAAAAAATCCTTTTTTTTTACAAAAATCGAGGTCGAAAATTTACATATCTTTCTGGTAAGATAGAAATCGAAAAGATAATTCCAGTTTGATTTATTTTACATATAGATTATACTTAAAGGAAAAAAATAAGCTGCTGTTTATAAAAATCCATGGATAAATGACGAAGTTATGAATTTTTCAGTGGAAGACCAAAATTCAGTTTTACTAGAATTTTTACGTTTTTCTTCATTTTATTAAATTATATAAAATTTAATATCGAACTTTGATTTTTATTTTAAACATTAAATATTGAAATTAAATTATATATTGAATATTAAACAATAAATATTGAACATTAAAAAAATTCTGGCTCCCTCTTTGTTTTTTGTTGCTTTCGTATTCCGTTTCTCGTATAAGGGAACAAATGTAATCACCTATCATGGCTGCATCCCAGAATCCGTAAAACGTTCTCCGTGCTCATCACTTACGTCGCCCAAACTCATTTTACACTTTTTATTAACTAAATAAAACCATGATAAAAATACCTTGTTGAAATATCAAAAAATATCAGTAAAATGTCACTATGCCAACACGAGAAACAAAAGAATTCACGTTTGCGGAGTCATGTCAAATTTAAATTTTGAATAATGTTTTCGGTGAAAAATGTACGTAAAAAACTCAAAAAATTCCAATCGTGCACTTTATTTAGGTTTTTATTAAAGACTATTTCCCTCGTCTTAATTTTGACCAATCACAAACGCGCAATTTTGAATTACAAATGGTTTCTAGGTGAAAAAACTGTATGACAGCACCTGTCAGCAGTTTTTTCGAGTTTACCCGCGGCAAAACTTGACAGCTGTTGTCAACAAAAATTGCAATTTATATTTTAATTGTTTACTGTTACTCATGAAATAGTCTTTCAAATACCATTCGGGCATCTAATTTTTCCTGTGAAAAAAATTGAAAAAACACAATGCTAAGTAATATTTTTTAACAAAATGCATTCGTGCAGGTGCAAAAATCCTCCTCTTCTACTCGGATTTTTGTTGCCACCAGCACTCATGCTTTTTGATAAAATATTACTTAGCAACGTGTTTTTTCGATTTTTTTCGGAAAAATTAAATGCCCTTATGATATTACTTACGATTATTTCCCTCATTATAATATGAACCAATCAAAAGCCTTGAATTTTCGAATAAATTTCGTTTAAATAAGCGATTAAATCACTAGAACTATTTAACAGCGATTAAATTTTAGCCTCCATATTGGATTTTTGTTTACGATTTTATGGGGTTATTTACAAGTTTTAACAAACATTAAAAAAAAAAAATAAGTTATCTAGTTTACGAAATATCAATTATTACTTATTACATACCTTAAATTAATGGAATTTTCTTTAAAAAAATATTTATAAATTTTGACACATACGTTAGATTTTATGAATTGTCAAATAGTTTCCTTTAATTCGAGAAATAATCTAGACGTACCTATATCACTCAACCTATAAATTTAATCTGTCAAACTATGCTCAGTAAGTTTTTTATTTGATTTTTTGATTTGGTCCATCCATAGAATATGGAGGATGACAGTGACAGTTTTGTTTAATCATCCCATACATGTCATATACATCTTTCAAAAGCTATCAAATTGTGTTTTGTAAATTAATGTTAATTTTGAGGCGTCTTCTTACTTTTAAAAATGTCTCCGACTAATGTTGCCCTTTGTAATTTAATTCTTGTGACGTTTAAAACACTTGCCACGTAATACTGTGACCGTCCATCCTGGATTAAATTAATGGCTCTGGCAACATCAGTCGGAGACATATCCATTTTTTAAAGTAAGAAGACACCTCAAAATTTAAACATTAATTTGCAAAAAACAATTTGATAGCTTTTGAAAGCCGTGTATGACATGTCCAAGTATGGGATGATTCAACAAAACCGTCACTGTCATTCTCCATAGGCTATGGATGGACCATAGCAACCTTAGTTCTTCATACAGGAAAAATATTGGAAATTGTAATGTTTTTTAAAAAAATCCATATTTTCCACAAAAATAAATATATCGAGGTGAACCAAAAACAAAACTGTTAAGAATAGATGTGACTTGATAAATAAAATAATTTAGAACAATATACGGTTTTCTTTAAACCTGTATATTATAAACGTACGTCTATTTTTTAGTAATTTTTTAAAATGTGAGCGATTGTCCATTAATTTATCTACAATATTCTTTAATATTCGTTTAAATCCGACATCAAATAAACAAGTTATTTGCGATTGAAATTCATCGAAAATTTGTGTGGATCGATTATTTTGCCTGTGAGTGTATTTCAAAAACGCTTCCGTAAAAAAAATTAAGTGTGATTTTCGTGTTTAGTGGGTCAAAATACATGGGAAAATTACAATGGGATATTTTTTTTTTCGATTTTGTAAACTAGTGTAATTTTTTCAGATAAATCCGACGAAGCTAACAAAGCGTTCTCGGCCGCAGTTCAAATGCACGACACCTCGATCAAGGCGTGGGCCCTCTACGGCGACTATCTCGAGCAAGTGTTCACCAGGGACCACAAACAAATAAATTTAGGGGTGAACGCGATGGCGTGCTTTTTGCACGCTTGCCGTCACCAGAAAGAGTCGAAGGCAAGGAAATATCTCGCCAAGGTGTTGTGGCTGTTGAGCTACGACGATGAAAAATCAAGGTAAGAATTTTTGTTATTTTAAAAACATTTATACCCTAATAAAAATAATTTTTCAATTTTTTTTACCCAACTGTAGAAGTTATAAATTATTATTACAAAATGGCTCTTTATTTTTCAAATATCTATACATTTTTCAATACTTGACTTTTGGGAACGTTTTTTTTTTTCTTATTTTTGTTCTTATATGCACTTTTCAGAAAAATATATAATAAAATTATTCAGACCGGTCTCCAAGGTTTTTTTAAATTTTCATTCATTTTTAATTTGTTTGTCTTTTTTATTAGAAACTTTTTTCGTTTTCTTTTTTAAGATGTGAAGTATACCTCAAACTTTAAAAAAAAATTAAATTAAAACTGGTGATCATCAAAAGTTTTTTAAAAAAGCAAGAAAAAAATAGAAGATACCTGTCCTGAATAATTTTTTAACACTGCTTTTTTGTTTAATGACAGGGTTTATCAAATAATTTTATTTATCTATTTTGTGTTGACTTCACCGCTTTGGGTGCTTTAATCCACCCAGAATTTTGATTTTATAGGTTGGCTATACTTTAAACAGCATAATATTCAAAAATCATTTTTTTCTTCTTTAACATTAACAGCCGCTTATTGTAAATAAGTAAATTAAGGACGGCATGGCGAATCGATTTTGTCAATAACTGTCAAACCAATGACTGTAATACCAACTATTTAAAGTAAAATTCGAGCAAATTAAATTTAAGGTATAAAATTAATTTTTTTTATAGAATTTTTGCAAAATAGATAAAATAGCATAAAGAACTCATGTCATAAGACCTTTTGTCGCACTAAATTGTCCGCGTGCGACAAAATGACGTCTTATGACATTAGTTCTTTAATATACTATTTTAACACTGCTTTTTTGTTTAATTACTTAAAAACAGGGTTTATCAAATATTTTTTTGATTGAATCTATAGCTATTGTATACAGGGTGTCCCAAAAATATTGTGCAATTATCTACAAGCGGTTTTTGGAGTCAAAAATAGGAAAAATATGAAATGGCATCTAAGGGATCTATAGATCCTCTAAAGGGCACCCTTGAGTATGTTTTATTATTATTATAATTTCTGAAACGGTTTAAGATAAAATAATGTTTTTTTCGGAAAATATATATATGTATTTTTTGAAATTTGTTATTATATTTTTATTTGAAAATGATGCGTTTTATTAGTGTTTAACAAGAGAACCTTTTTTACGTGGAAAACTTTATGTTTTTAAATTCTGCACCCATCTTGCAAAAAAAATGCACACAAAAAATTTGGAGCTAAAAATAGTATTTAAAAAAACACTCATAAATAAAATTTTTAAATTTTGTTGTAATTTTTAAATTTAGCATTAAAAGTTGAGTAAGCATTCAATATTGCATTATTTTATCTTAAACTGTTTCAGAAATAATAAAAAACATCTTTAGGGTCGCCCCTTTAAGAGGCTGCAGCTCCTTTAGGGGCAATTTAGCGACCTATGTTTATGAGATCATCATCATCAAAATATTTTCTTTTTTTCCGAAAATTAAATAAATAATAAATAATACAAAATATACAAAAGGCCATCGACCGGGGTCCTTCAGCCTGTTACACCGAAAATTAATTCTATATTTTTCTAAAAAGTACATTTTAAAACAACAATTTTGAAAAAAACATAGATATTTAAAAAACACTCTTTTGAGAATTTAATAACTTTTTTTCGGTTGGGTAAAAAAAAAACTGAAAAAATTCTGAACAATGTTTTTGATAGGGTAGAAAAATATAAAAAAGTTATAAAAGTCAAAAGATATCGATTTATCAAATTTTTCGGAAGAGTAATTTTTTTGGACAAATCGTTTGGTGCTCAGGAAAAAAGCTTAAAAATCTTACAGTTTTTTTATTGCAAATAATTTTTTTTTGAAGTTAAATGGTGCGGCATTCAGTTCTAAAAGTTAACATGACTTTTTTAGTTTATTTTTTGAATTTTTTTAAAACTTGACGTTTTTGAGAAAAATGACATTCAAAAACCTTTATAATGTGTGTCAAAGACCTCAAAAGAAAAAAATATACATTTGTCGCGTTCCGCATCCCTAAAGGGTACTGTAGGTTAAAAAAGTTGATTTGAATATTTGCGTTGCATACTTCCGCCCCACCTACTTATTATTTTTTTCCTAAAACTTACCATTTAAAATGAAATAAAAAACTTTTTAGATTTTCACTATTTCTCTCAAAAAAGCCTTTTTAGCACAGATTGACTATAGTATTATTAATGTGTTTTACTTTTACTTACATTAAAAAAATCGTATATGTACCATAAAGTACTAAACTTATTTTAATAAACCAATAAGAACAAAAAAATATCAAATTGTTGCTAAAATGGATCAGACATTTACTTCAAAGAGTTTTATCATTTACAAATAATACGCATGTTCATTGAATACAATTTTTAGGTTTGTGCTTATTTTTTTTTAGTTTAATGGAAGCTTTGGACAAATATTCAGGTGGTGTTCCACCAATTATGTGGTTACCATGGACCCCACAATTACTTAACTGCCTTGTACAGTATGATGGTTGTGTGATAATGAATCTTTTAATGCAAGTAAGTATAACATGTATTATTTTTTTAAATTTAATTTAATTTTATTAATAACGAAGTTATAACGATTTTTGATTTAAAAGGTTTTTAGTTTTTACAAAATAAATGTGTCAAAAACATTTTATATATATTTTAAAACATTGAGTATTTTTTTTTGGTTATTATCACTTTTTTATATACAATTTGTTCTATCAGTTTAATTACCAACTTAATTGTAAAAATGTGTTTTGATCTTCAACACTTCAGCACAAAAAGACTCACTTTTTGGCATGATAACACAAATAATTATTTACATTTTCTCTATCCCTTTTAGGTTGGAAGAATGTTTCCTCAAGCAGTATATTTCCCCATCAGAACTTTGTATCTAACACTAAGAACTGCAACTGCAAGAAACAAGACCAACCCTGTTGTACAAGTAAGTGATGTGTTTATATATTTATTTTATTTTTATTTAGGCCACATTGCGGTTTTATTTTGCCAAGTTTAAGATATTTTTTTTTAAATAACCAAAACATCCTATTAAAAATGCACAATGCGCTTCTGCTTGCACGTAGCGAGTGTTCCAATAAAACAATGTATACAAAAACACAAAACCCATATTTTTGCAACAGCCTCAATCTCAAGATTCGGCCAAGGTCGGCAACGTACGGCCTGCAGCGCCATCTACAAGTTCCGATAGTTTGTCCATTGCGCCTGTCAGTTTGACAACCGCCGACTCGGTCAAAGCGATTCTTTCGACTTTGGAGAGTTGCTCGTCCGAACAGGTATGTACTTTAAGAGAGGTTTCTACTTTGACAGGTCGAAAACATTAATTCGAAACTCGTAGAACTCTGACTTTATGACGCTTTAGTCACGGGCTAAGGTTGGCAACAAGGTTTTAGTCACGGACTGAAGTCAACTTTAAGTTAGTTGACAGTTGTCAAATGTCATACAATCGTTAAAATAAAGTGCCCTTCTTGTAAAATAATTCTAAATGTGAAAATTATTTTTTTATCTCAATACGAAAATACAAAAGTATTAAATATTTTCTTGACGTCAATATTTGAAAATATTATGTTTTATATTTATTATATACAGGGTGCTATGTAATTAATGTTATATATTAAAATACTGAATACCTTTTGTCAATAAAGAGTAAAGAAAAAATATGCTTTAGAAGTTTTTTATATTTTTTGTGATACGCCACTGGTTACACACTTGGTTTATCTCTGCACACTTGTGTTCTGTGAGTACATAGATACCAACCAACAAAGTAGCTGCGCGTTGCCAGATGTAAAAAATCGTTACTAAAAATTTTTCTTGCAAAAAATAATTAAAAACTCAATAAATACAAAAGTGTTATGCCCTTAAAGCTCTAATACCCTTCTGTATTTATTTACTCATCCAGCTATTAGCTTAAGCAATGATTAGAAAATTTAGTACCTATTTTAAAAAATCCATAACCACAAAATTAATTTTTTCCACGGTTTTTTCTTTGTTTAATCAGATGAAATTGGGACTAGTTCACAGGTTAAACTTTAAACATATAATTTGTGTAAATAAATCCAGTTAAGATATTTACAATTTGAGCACATAACCTAAAATTTGAAAAAAATGCACTAGATTCTGTCTTTGAATAAAGCATTCAAAGGATTCTGTCTTTGAATAAAGAATTCAAAGGATTCTGTCATAAAAGTCGGCAGATTTTGTTTGAATTTACCTTTAGTACAAAAATGACATAACCAACAATTAATAAAAACGCCAAATTGACAATTTGCATTGTTGATTTTGTCATTTTTGTAATTAAGCTAAATTTAAACAATGCTTGGCAACTTTTTTGACAGAATTTGAAACGCTGTTGTTACCAACCATAACATAATAAATTAAATTAGGCAACCAGATTAGCCTAAAGTTCCTAGTCGATCAGTGGCGTACTTTTTGGTAGGATAAAGGTTATTATAAATTATTTTTAGTCTTTGGAATTTAGAAAAAAAAAATTTCAGGTGCTTCTTTATGGACCCTAAGGAACAACCCATTTTAATATATAACATTAATTACATAACACCCTGTATATATTTTATTTTATTTTATTAATGTTTGTTTTAATTTTGCCGTAGTAGTGCAGTCAACTAGATATAACTGATAAAGCGTTAAAAATTTTGCGAACAGTGCCCAAAAAAATTCTCTTTTTTTTTTAAACTGTTAAAACCTGCTTCTATATCGATTGTTAAGGCGGGTTTATTCAACAATTGATAATTACTCTAAAATTTATTTCTTAACTCAATTGTTAATTTAATGCATAATTTAATAAATAATACATAACATTAAAATCTGGTTTATACATTTCATTAATTTAATATATATTTTATTTTTTCAAATGACAATATTGATAATTAAAAGTGACAAATAACACAAAATCCCTCATTAAAACTTATGTTTTGTAGGAACTTTGTAGTATTTTTTAAGGCACAAGCACAATACACAATAATTATTAATTAGAACCTTAAAAATGGAGTTAAATTTTCTGAACTTTCAAGGTTATTTAATAAACACTAAATTGTGAGTTACGTATTAAATCGTTGTGTAAACTGTTTCATAGCAGATAGTGTGATTTAACTTTTATGCTTATGCACTAAATTGTGAATTATACAATAAATTAATGATATGAATTTGTATAAACCCGCCATTAATCTATTTTCAAGGTTTACACAGAAAAACACTATATAAATAATATATTTTGCAATTATAGTTATAACAAAAATATTTTTTAATTTTAATATTTTAAAGTATCAATAATTGTTGAGTTTAATTAATGTAATAACGGGCAATGTTAATGGTTAAAATTACGTCAAAAATGTTTATTGGGATGGTAACTTTATTTTCGTATGGATGTCGCTTTATACAAATATTTAATTTAAATAATTTTTAAGTATTTGTCGTAGAAAAAGTATGGTATGCAACTTGTTTATAAACGTGTCTAAAATGGTGTTTATCAAACATAATATACTATTTATCTACTTAATGAATATTTTTAAAAGAAGTGGACATGGATCATCTATTGGATCCCTTTACCCTTTTCTATGCTTAAAACAAATTTCCTTTTTAATTAAGATATGATTACATGAATACAACGTTTAATTCTATTAATATTTTTACTAAAAATTTCTGAAAATATCCTGTTTCTTGATCTAATAAAGTAGAAAATCTCCTTAGTTAAAATACTTAAAAATATGCATTTTTAGTAGGATCTTTGGTTTAAAATATCTTGTATGTTGCGTGTATTATTTTTTCTTATAGTACCTATATATTATATTTTGCGTAAAGCCTGGCAAAGTCTGGGGTGGGGGGTTAAGCTTATAGATAGGGAGAAGAAAGGGAAGGGGGAGAAAAAATCTGACATTGGTAATTAAAAAGTTCTTTACTTTTTTGTTAAAAATTCTAAGCCTATCAGGGGTTTCAAACCCGAATCCCCCTCCTCATGTGCAAACAAATGATTTACGTGAAAATTGTAAACATTTCAATTCAGTAAAAATCATAAAATAAATAAGTCTTCTTAAGTCAAGCAGCGTTATGCATTATTAAAAGCGTTGATTAACAGTAAAAAAATAAAAACGGTTATTATATTATGTATTATAAATGAGGAGCATCCGTGCAAAACCGGCTATATCCACTTTAATAAAATGTTGGAAAAATGGAAAAAACTCTCGGTTTCCTGGCCTTTACAGATAAAAGAAAAAGCAAACTTGAGTTTTGTGGGCTTTGTGGTACTTGATTTATAAGACATACTTTCGTTTTCAAAAACTTTATATTAAGGCCAAAATTTCAAAAAATGTTTTGTATATGCCGGTTTTGCTGGAAAACCGAATAAAAAACGAATAAAATGTGAAAAAAACCTTTATTATTCAAAAATATTAACAAAATAAATTTGGTGCAAACATGAAAAAACAGAACAAATTTTAGTAGTAGTATTGACATATCCAAGCCACATATTATTTATTGGATATAGCCGGGTTTGCTATAAAAACGTGGATTTGGCCGGTTTTGCTCCTAAAGCTACCTTTTAAATGTGATTTTAACATGGATATAGTCGGATTTAAACAGAATTATCTTGGTTGTCGATAGAAATGAACCCAAAGATGCGAAATCAAAAAAAAAAACTGAATAAAATGGATTTAGCCGGTTTTGCACGGATGCTCCTCAAATATTATATAATATTATATATTATATAACATTATACATAATATATATTATGTCGTTAACCATTTTGCACTTGCCTGCATTTTTCAGAAAACTCAAATATAAATATGTTTTATTTTAAGGTTATGTTTGTACAACTACATATTATTTTTTGTTAGATTTCTTAAAAATGTCCAAATATAAATTATATTAGGTAAAATTATCATAAGTTAATTCTGCACCAACAAATATACGCACCAAATTGGATCCTTTTCAAAACATGAAAATGCAACGATTTAGTTCTTGAATTACCTTTACAATTAAAAACATAATAATTCACCATGATCACTTAGATAAAATATAACACACTAACGTAACTACATATGATATAAGAAATAATACATTGAAGTCGAGTACTAAACCTAAGTTTTTTAGTTTTTATTTGCAACGCGAAACACAAATAACGTGTGCGATTTAGCTGTGCAATTGAAATTTTCGAACAAAATTTGTCTAGTAAGACTTCTGCCTTCCTCTCTTTTGTGAAAAAACAACTTATTTATTTAAAAATGATGTGCAGTTCGTATGCTTTAAATTTATTGTAGTTCAATAATTCTATCGAGCGCAACCAGATGCCGCGCGCGTTACTAAAACCTGATGCTTTTTTAGAGTATATTGTCCATTTTCCCATTTTTTGCATAGAACCATAAATGCCTTAAAACTTACCATTCAAGCTCTCTCAATATTTAAGATAAACCATAAATTATTTTTTTTTCTGTTTCTGTTTTTCTTCTCATACAGGGTGTACCAAAAATTTACTATTTGAAGGACTGGCAAGACTGGCCAGAATATCAAAACATGACCTTGGTAAAAAATCGTTTTATTTTGAAATCAATAGCAGGCCTATTCAGGGTTGCGCAACAAAAAATAAAATTTTATATAATGGAATGGAATATTGTAGCTGTGCACTCAAAAAAAGGATCTAAGGTTTCACAAAATAAATACTTGGTTGACACAAATTTTTTATTTAAAATAATAATAAAAATAATTGGAAATTAATACGCGATCTAAAGTTACTTTGCTTCGTTTATGAAATTGATCACTTGATCACAGACGAATTTTTGGTTTTGACTGAAAAAAACGAATTATATAGTTGAGTTTGACAGATGACATATGTTGTAATATTAGCTGTAGAAGCGAAATTCGGTTGTAATCGTTACGAATCATAATTTACGATGTCAAACTCGACCACCTATGTAATTCGTTTTTTTGACCATCTGAATGCATCACCTTGATTCCATTTTATAAGTTTTCATTTAATTTTGAACAAAAAAGGTTCTCCTGTTTAAAACGTATAAAACCAACCGTTTTTAAGAAAAATCGCTTTGAAATTTTTGGTTCTGCATTATGAAAGAGGCATAGCTCCCTTGAAAATAAAACTGTATAGGACAGTAAGACGCCTGCGCAGTAGGACTTCATGCTGCCCAAAGTCATATTGCGCAGGCGTCTGACTGTTTCAGACAGTTTGAGACTCTTGTAGAAACAGATAGAGAAGATAACAATCTTTATAAATGTGTGTTTAACTCAAGAGGTAACGTTGCCATCAAAATATATTTCTTAATAAACAAATGTAACTATGTTTTGTTAAAATATTCAATTCAACTTTCAAACGGGGATTTGCAAATTTTTAGTCATCGTGAAACATTACCAATTTTTACTTTCCAATGATAAGCATGTTATGGTCTATTTTATCTCAAAATTGTTTTATTTTTATTTTAGCCTCAGTCGCAAGAAGGTCAAACCGAAACCACTCACGCACAAACCGCAACTGGGACGTCACAAGCCGATACACCAACGGCTGCGACGGCGTCCACAGCGTCGTCGGCGTCGGACACCATAAAGGCGACGCCGGAAATGGTGCGATGCTCCAAAATCATGAAAATGCAGCGCGACATACACACCACTGTTCTGTCGAGTTTGGAAGGAATTGCAGTACAGGTAAGTCAATTGGATATTTATCAGTGGCGGCCCGTCAGGGGAGGCAGGTGAGGCAGTGATTCATCATAGAGAATTAAAAAATTAAGTATAATTTAAATATTTTACTTTTTATAATATACCATAAATTTTTAATATTTGGGTTACATGAATTGTGAAATAGTCAATAAAATTGATGAGGCAGTGATTCATTATAGAGAATTAAAAAATTAAGTATAATTTAAATATTTTACTTTTTATAATATACCATAATTTTTTAATATTTGGGTTACATGAATTGTGAAATAGTCAATAAAATTGATAAATTTTATACGTGGAATACCCAGCAACATTTAAATTATTTGAATTTAAAACGACCGCAATTTAAACTAATATTTATAGCTAGATGATTGGCTCAGAAGCATGCCTAAACTAATTTAGAATCACGAGGAAAGGAAATAAGCAGGTGTTGTGGCAACACTGTTGCGGAATTTTAGATAAATTATACTTTTTTCAAAATTCAATAATAAATGGTATTATTTTTCTTAAATAAATCGATTTAATCGAAATTTTCTATTATAAAATAAACATATTTTAACACTATCACCATTTTGTAGCCATCACAGTAACCAATAAAATAAATACAGATTCCTTCTTTAGGTTTGTTTTGGTTATAAAATTCTGAACTGTTTAAAGAACAAATCTGTGGTTATTTACGCAATATTTTGTTTATTCTTTTTCTATGAGTTTGTCTATTTTATGATTCTTTTGTAAGTGGTTTATTCTGTGGGTTTAGTTAATTGAACTTGGTGATTTATGTGAATTTAGTCATTATGGATATTACGGTGAGAAATTGTACCGATATTGTTGATGGTGTACTATTATTAATTTAATTATTAGGGCTTAAACCTAATGGTTATATTAATAATGCTGCACTTTACCTCTACACCTTCACGTGGTTCTTGCTGAACAATATTGTTCATATGAAATATTAATTAGAGAAAAATAAAGTTTATTTAAAATAAACGTCATTTTTACAATAAAATAATATTTCATTGACAAAGTAGAGGATTCCTTCCCCACCACAGTTTTTTACTTAGTTTTAAGTATAGGTTGTGAACTGCGACGTCAGTTTTTTTAAGTTGGGTTTAAAAAAATTTCTTCGCCTTTAAATGAGGGCGAAACCCTGCCTCTGCCTCACCAAAATGAAATGTCACGGGCCGCCACTGATATTTGTAAAAATTTAACTGAACCGAACTATACTAACACAAAAGTCCCCGGAATTTTTCAAAATAAAAATAAATAGTGTATTTTACTCAAAATAGTCTTCGTAAGGAGACTCAATACAGCGATTTACACGGTCAAAAATTTTAAAGTTTAAAATTAGATTTAACCATTATTAAAACCATTCATTCTGACCTAATTTTGGTAATCAGTCAATTTGTGCAAAAGAAACCGTGCAGACATTTTGTAGGCCCAAATTTCCGTTGAAAATACGTTAAGGTCTATCTCGTTTTTGTTGCTAAGCAAAATTGTGTTAACTACATACAACATTAAGTAATAAAGGTTTTGCAGACTATACGCTACAGAAGTATCGCTAGTAGAGCCACCACTCATCGTAACAAAAGTACAACTTTTGATAATCAGCTGTCAAACGCGTGTGTTAAAAACGAGTGTTTTTTTGAGAATAAAGCCGGAAAATGTTAAAAAAATTATTGAAAAAAAAACCGTGGCACGATTTGTTGTGTTGTTGGGTGTATTTCGAGAGGAAATCCTGGGTTGAGTTTTTATCGGTTTTCCAATAAACAGTGTTAATCCGAATGAAGAAATAAATTTCATACAGTTCCTGTAAATATAAATTGTATCTATTATATAAATACACATTTTAGTAATGATAAACGTGAACTGTGTAAACATTTAAATTCCGTAAAAATCGTCAAACAAATAAGTCGTCTAAATGTAAGCAGCATTTAGCATTATTAAAAGCGTTGATTAAGAATTAGGAAGTCTCCACTCAACAGTAAAATACCATTTTATTATGTATTATAATAATATAATATTATGTTGCCATGATTTTGTAGCTATATTTTGTTGTTTAAAATACAGTTGTCGACGTTTGTTATAGAGAACCATGTAGAGAACTGAAATATAAAAATGGTTATGTTTGTGCAAAAATTATTTTTTAATTTTTCAAAAATGTCCAAACTTAAGTATAAATTATATTAGGTAAAGTTATCATTAGTTAATTCTGCACCAATAAATATACTTACCGAATTGGATCCTTTGGCAAAACATGAAAATGCAACGATTTAGTTCTTGAATTTTATTTACAATTAAAAACACAATAATTCACCATGATCCCTTGGATAAAATACACACACTAACGTAACTATATGAGCATTTAAGGCTTGACTTTCTTAATCAATGATATAAAGAATAATCAATCGAAATCGAGTACTAAACCAGTTTTTTAGTTTTTTCCTTGCAACGTAAAACACAAATAACGTGCGCGATTTAGCTGTGTAAGACTTCTGCCTTCCTCTCTTTTGTGAAAAAACTACTTATTTATTTAAAAATGATGTTCAGTTCGTATGCTTTAAATGTATTTTTGACAGTTCTTAAATTCACACAATGCTATCGAAGTCCACCAAATGGCGCGCGCGTTGCGAAAACCCGATACTTCTTTAGCGTATACAGAGTCCTAATTAAGAAAAAATTAAATTTTATGAACGATTTTATAAGGGCTTACTTAATTAAAATACTATATTATGCATCAAGTTTCATAAACGCCATTTTAGTTACGAGTTTAATTAAGGACGAACGAAGCTTGCGCGCGAACACAAAACAGAATTTAAAGCCAATTTTATTTGTTAAAATTTTGACTGTCAACTGTCACCCGAATTTACCCTCACTTTTTCCCAATTTATAATAAAGTAACTTCATCCCGTGACTAAAGAGCTTAAAAGCCACTGTTTCTAACTTCAGCCCGTGAAAAGGCCATTAAGTCACAGCTCGTAAATGTAGGATTAGATAATTAACATTACATTACAAAATAGTCGAGAAATTAAAATGAATAAGAAAAAAATAAAAAACGGTAAAATCTCGAAATCGGGAAAATGTCAACAGTAAAGTTTAAATTATAGACCGATTGAAGATAAAAACAATTTTTGACGCTAAAATTTGAGTTAAAAATAATACAAAAAAGTTTTTCTTTTATTTTTTTTATTTTTCTGTAAATTTGTACTTACAAGTCTATTAAAAAAGTTTTACTAAGGTGGTTTTAAATCCATTTTTGTGGAGCGGCAAATTTAATTTTGTACATTTTATGACAACGAGGAATTAATATAAAAAACGTACTCCTAATTTAAAGGCCTCAAAAAATCGTTTTTTTAAAGAAGAATCGAATTTTGACCAAAAATATTTTGTATTGTTAAGACCCCGGTCTTAAAGGATTTTTTATCAAAGTGTTACAAAGATAAAAATATTTTTAGATGGAATGGTTCAGGGAGACTTGGTATGAAGAAGTTTTACGTCAATTAAGGCAAGGTTTAACCAAATGCTACGCAATTGCGTTTGAAAATAGGGAGTCTGTTAAAGATGCAAAAATATCACCACACATTCTTAATTTTGTTAAGAAACTTATGTCTACGTTTGGCATTGGAGTCGGTAAGTTAATTATCTACAAAACATCTTTTTGAATGAAAATATTTTTAGTTAAATTTTTTTCTGATTGAAAACGTTTTTTATTGTAGAAAATATTTCATCCTCTTCAAATGTGACATACTCTTCGGCAGCTTCGGAAAGTCTGGCGAGAAGAGCCGAAGCCACGTATCAAGATCCTGTCTTTAAAGAAATAAAACAGGAATTTACCAAAGATTTCGATTTTTCGCAGTCGAACTCTTGCAGGCTGCACACTCTTATTTTTAAGCTTAAAAAATGGATCAAGATCATCGACAACCGGTCCAAAATGTTGCTACAGTAAGTACTTGTTATCTTTTAATGTAGTTGGTTCCTTAAATGCACTTTCTTACCTTTTTTTTTCAAATTTTGACTTGTTTATGGCACGCCATTTCACTTTTTAATCGTAAATGTTTTAAATGTAAAAGAAAATTAAAGTAGGTTTGGTTTGGTCCATTTTTATTTTGTATGAGTTTCTTTATTTTTTACATTAAAATTTATATTGGAATTATTGTGAGACCAAAAACATTGTTAAACAATTTTTTTAACAAGATTTTTATATTATCTATTTTGCGTTCATAATGACTTCATTGTAACACCGCTTTCGGTGCTGTAATGAGGTACTTTACCCACACAAAATTTTGATTTTATAGTTTGGCATACTAGTAAAATAATATTTTGCATATTGGTTATAATATTTTTATGATTTCTCTAGTACTTACGAGACTTTTCTGGCAATAAATTTTGTTTAACACCAAAGAAAATCCTTTTTTTTCTTTTTTAACATTTACAGCTTATTGTAAATAAGTAAATTAAGAACGCCATGGCGAATCGATTTTGACATTAACCCTTCAAACCAATGACTGTGATACCAACTATCTAAAGAAAAATTCGGCCAAATTAAATAAAAGGTATATATAACATTAATTTTTTGTATATAATTTTTGCAAAATAGATAAAATAGCATAAAGACCTTTTGTCGCACTTGTCCATTACAAAACTCGCTCCTTCGTCGCTCGTTTTATAAATTGTCCTCGTGCGACAAAATTACGTCTTATGACATTAGTTCTTTTATATACTATTATTCTATTTTTAAAGTTGAAATTTCTTATTTATAACAGGACAATCATTTTTATTTTACAATTAATTTTATCTGTATACATAAAATTCTAATAAAAAATGATACAATTAATTTGATGTATACACATAAAATTAATGCAATGAATTTTTATGTTACAATTAAAATTATGATTGTACATAATAAAAATTATAGAATTAATTTTATCTGCACAAATAAAATTCATTTGGCGTTTTGGGAATGTGACAGAAAGTGTATACTGCAGTAGTTCAAATGCATATTAGGTATTTATGCGTAATTTATTTACGTCAACTTTGGCGCCAATTTATCTACGTCATATATTTATATCACAAAACTATAAAACCTTCTTTGTATATACAGGGTGAGTCATTTAACTTGCAACTTTGAAATATCTCAGTTAGTATGCATTTTACGAAACAATGTTTAAAATAAAAATTAAATGATTCGAGGGGGAAATCAATCAGTACTAAAATTGGTCCTCAAGCTCTCCTCCTTATAGGGGGAATAGGGGGTAACTTTAAAATTTCCAAAGACTAAAAATAGGTAGATTTTGTCTAAAACATTTTTTCATATTTGTAATAGATGGCGCTGTAATGAAAAAAAATCAATTTTGTTCGATTTTTCTTCTGTATATGATTCTCCAATAATTTTTGAATGAGATACATATATGATTTTTTTTTTTATTTTTTTTTTTATTTTCACCTGTGACTGTTGCTCGACGAACTCTTTTTTTCGGTTAAAAACTCCCGGTTGTGGTAAACTGCTTGACTGTACGGTGAAATGAAGTACGTGATCGATTTTTTTCCTGAAAACGCTGAGCGTAAATATTAACAGCATCATCAAGATTCCTGCCTGCTTCTCCATAAATTAAAATCATTTTTATTTTTCGTTAAAAAATCCATTATGAATAACTGCTTAACGAAAGGAGGTCTTTTTGTTTGCAAATTAATCTTCAAACCAAATTGATTAAATAATGCTAAACTATGTATAAATAGTTTCTTTATACCTCAATAATAATTATTATTTATAATCGCAAAAATTATGTATATTACAAAAAGTTTTCATCCAATATTTATAATATGTCATCTGGTGTTCCACAGGGGTCAAATTTAGGGCCCCTTCTATTTAATTTATTTGTTAACGAACTTCTTCTGAACCTAACTTGCCCCGCTCTTGCTTATGCCGACGACATGAAGATATACTCAATTATTAAACATCCTGATGATGTTAAGATACTTCAAAATAATTTAACCTTCATAGGAAATTGGTGTCGTTTGAATCAACTTAAGTTAAATGTTGATAAATGCTTTATTGCAACATATACCAAAAAGAAATTTCCAATTTTAGCAACGTATGCTGTAAACAATGTCAAATTACAAAGAACAGATTTAATTAAGGATTTAGGAGTTACTTTCAATATTGGTTTTAGTTTTATACCACATCTAAATAGCGTATGTTCATCGGCTAGTAAAATGCTTGGATTTATCATCAGATCCTCCAAGGAGTTCACTGATTTAAGTATAATAAAAACGTTATACTTTATGTTTGTAATTAGTAAATTAGAATATGCAAGCCTTATTTGGAATCCTTATTATACTTGTCATATTCTTGAATTGGATCGTATACAACGCAGATTCCTAAAATATATGTCGTTTAGATTATATGGAACATACCCTGATAGAGGTGCTTGTTTGGACGATCTCTCTCTTCATCTAAACATAAAAGATTTAAGAACAAGACGCCAAATACAGAATACCACCTTTCTTAGAAAACTTCTACACAACCAAATCGACTGTCCATATCTTCTATCCAAATTAAACATCAACGTACCCAGAATTAACTCAAGATCATTCAATACTTTTAAACTTCCAACTTCAAGAACAAATTTGATGAATCGAGCGCCAATCAACGTGATATGCAAAAATTCCAATACATGCGATATATTTAAATAGTCATTTATTTGTGTATAAATTTGTATATATATACAATGTAAATTTTGGAATATTTACTTACGATGTATTTTGTCCTGTAATTGGGGGAAACCCTGTTGGGCTAATAAAGTTTATTATTATTATTATTATTATTATAACTATAGTTATAAATGGTATTTATAAATACCATTTTTTATATCCCAATTGGGCTTAAATTAATTAATTGACAAAATAATGTTTTTTTTTACCTTAAATGAGGTATTTTTATTAAAAATAGTACAATAATCCATTAAATTAAAGGATTTAATGCTGGCAGGTAAAAAGTGACCATGGAGCGCAATTGATCACCGTATGAAATAATGTATAAAACTTAAACCAAAGTAAACTTAAATATTAGTTAAAAAATCGTGGGTACTTCAAAAATCAGATTTAATAAGATAATTATTACCAAAAAAAGATATTTTTATAGAAAAATTATTGCAGAATTGTATAAGAAGAAAAATCGAACAAAATTGATTTTTGTTTCATTACAGCGCCATCTATTACAAATATGAAAAAATGTTTTAGACAAAATCTGCCTATTTTAAGTCGAATGATCCGAATCTGCAATAAACAATAGGGTGTTCCATTGGAAATTTTAAAGTTACCCCCTGTCCCCCCTATAAGGAGGAGAGTATGAGGACCAATTTTAGTACTGATTGATTTCCCCCTCGAATCATTTAATTTTTATTTTAAACATTGTTTCTTAAAATACATACTAACTGAGATATTTCAAAGTTTCAAGTTAAATGACACCCTGTTTAATTCCCAAAACTAGAAGGTTCTAGTTTTGTGATATAATTATATGACGAAAATAAATTAAACATGCCTACCATTTGAACTGTTGCCACTTTCGGCCGCACTTTCGCAGCGCCAAATTAATTTTATTTGTAGACATAACATTAATTATTTAATTTTATCTGTACAAATAAAATTAATTTTAAAATTCTTATTATATAGTCATAATTTTAATTACAAAATAAAAATGCAGTGCATTAATTTTATGTGTACATTGTATCAGTTTTTATTAGAATTAAAATTATGCGTACACATAAAATTAATTATGGCACGTCGTTTATTTTTTAATTGTATAAGAAATATAAAGTTTATTATTATTGTTAGTTTACTTTCACTTTTTTCATTTAAATATTTTTTACTTGGGATTTTGTTTTAGAACTATCGACCTTTTTATATCCGTTTTTTATGGTCGAATTTTAAAAAATTAAAGTTTTTGATATCTACAATTTTTGTATTAAACCTTTTTTTTAATCCGGCCATAAATATAAAAGATAAAAAGGTTTATGAAGAACATGTTTATGTTTTTAAATTAAACTCTTTATCTTCTGATATTCTTGTAACCAAGACCTGTATTTAATCACAGATCGTTCCTTATCGAGGAAAAATGCCGCTTCCTCTCGAACTTCACTCTAAAAACAGCGGAAGTGGAACTTCCGGGAGAGTTCCTGCTCCCAAAGCATAACCACTACTACGTGCGCATAGCGAGGTTCATGCCCCGAGTGGACGTCGTTCAAAAGCACAACGCGGCCGCGCGACGTCTTTACATTCGCGGTCACAACGGCAAAATCTACCCGTATTTGGTGGTGAACGATTCCGGTTTGGCCGACGCCCGGAGGGAGGAGAGGGTGCTCCAGTTGCTGAGGATGCTGAATCATTGTTTGGGCAAACAGAAGGTGAGTTTATTTTGAATTCAAAATATAACGGTGGTTCCTTACCTTTGGCAAAATATAGGAGGTTACATTTTTAGTATTTAAAAAGTATGCAATTTTACATTTATAAGATATATTAAAATTTTAAAAATGTTTTGAGGTAATGAACTATCCTAAACTAAATAGTTTTATAAAATTAGGGTTTACAAATTTTGACAGAATTTTAAACAAAAATACGAAATTTTATTTTGGTTTTTCGCCTGTTGAGAAAAAACTATATAACTTTAATGCGACTAAGAACTGCCGGTTTTTAAACGATGTCAAAAATGACCGGTGTCAAAAATAAAAGGAGTCAGAATTAAGCTTTAACAGATGTTAAAAATGAAGCAAGGCATATGTCTAAAATGACAGCTAATTTGTTTCGTGTTTTCATTTTTGAGATCCGTTACCTGTTATTTTTGAAATCTGTTCATTTTTGACATGTGGCATCTGTCGTAAACCTTTTATTTTTAAGTTTAAACACTCAATATTTTCGCTCTTATTTATTTTTAAATTATAAAGGTAGAACACAGTTGGTCTGTGAGGTAGAATGTTTTTAACAATTTTCTGGGATTCTTTAAGATGATGCGCGACTTTTGTGGACATTTTTTAAATTAAAAATTATTTTTAGTATTTAAAAAAGTATAAAATTATTCTTTTGTAAGATAATATAAAAATTTCAATTTTTTTTGACGTAATGAACTAACCTAAACTAAATAGTTTTATAAAATTAGGGTTTCCAAATTTTTACGGAATTTTAAACAAAATTACGAAAAATATTTACTTTTAAAATTAATAATAGGTCTTGGTTAATGTAGAAAGATCACTGATCTTAGATCAGGCAACACAGCAATTATTAAAATTCATTAAAAATTAAAGATCATACAGTGTGACCCATTTGTTTGCGACTCACCCCTGTAAAATCTATATATTGTGCGATTTTAACCGGATTTGTTTTAAAGTGTAGATCTTGATAAACTGTATTTTTGGAGCAAAAAACGCCATATTAGTACAAAATACAAGGCTATTGAGACTATGTCAGTTTTTAAGAGTAAATTTTTATGAATTCATTTTAGCGATTTTTTTAAACAAAATCTAAGCACGGCACTGGATTCACCACCTCATAAAACGACCCTTTACTAAATTTTATTAAAAAATTTTAAGTAGAAAAATGCACAATAAAAACTACAACAATTTATTCTGTCAAGTTATCCATGAAAAAACATTGAAATAAAATTAAACTTATAGTAATAGTACCATGTTACTATTAGTTTAATTTTATTTCAATGTTTTTTTCATGGATAACTTGACAAAATAAATTTTTGTAGTTATTATTGTGCATTTTTCTACTTAAAATTTTCCAATTAAATTTAGTATAGGGTCGTTTTGAGGGGTGGTGAATCCAGTGTCGTCCTTAGATTTTGTTTAAAAAAATCGCTAATATGAATTCTTAAAAACTTACTCTTAAAAACTGACATAGTAGACCTTGTATTTTGTATAAATATGTCGTTATTTTTCTCCAAAAATACAGATTATCAAGATCTAAACTTTAAAACAAATCCGGTTAAAATCGCACAATTAAAGATTTTACCACGGTTAATTTTATAGACGATTTCAGAAAAAAAAAATATAATCATCGAAAATTGTGTTTTTGGGTTTGTCCGACTCCCAAGTAACAGGAAACATGAAAATTAAAATCCTTCATGTAGGGCATTTTAGATAGTGGCCCAAAAATATGTCAAAAGTTTGTAATTTTTTCTAAACACTAAAAATATTAAATTAAAAAAAAAATTTTTAAGGATAATCTCGAGGATAATAGAGCGTTTAATTTTAAGTTAAAAGCGTCTCAAAAAGTTTTTTGTAGATCCTATAGTTTTGTTCTAAAAAAAATCTTACTTACACTCACAGGCAAAATAATCGATCCACACAAATTTTCGATGAATTTCAATCGCAAATAACTTTTTTATTTGATTTCGGATTTAAACGAATATTAAACAATATTGTGGATAAATTAATGGAGAATCGCTTACATTTTAAAAAATTACTAAAAATAGACGAACGTTTATAATATACAGGTTTAAACAAAAAGATGTTTTTTACCATAAGTTTAAGACACTCTGTAAAGTGGCAAAACAACATTACATTTTCCAATATTTTTTTGTTGGAAGAACTAAGGTTGCTATGGTCCACCCATAGCCTATGGAGGATGACAGTGATTATTTTGTTGAATCATCCCATACTTGGACATTTTTTTGTAAATTAATGTGTTACTTTTGAGGTGTTTTCTTACTTTTAAAAATGGATATGTCTCTGACTGATGTTTCCAGAGCCATTGCTTTAATCCAGGATGGATGGTCTCAGTATTACCTGGATTGTACTTGGTTTTGGGTCAGTTCAATGTCCCTCAAAAACCAAAATATTTCCCCTCCTTTTCCGCACTCCACTAGCGGACTAGGCGAAAAAATTCTTTAAGAGGCCTTAACCATCGACACTGTTATTTACGGCCTTCTAGGCGAGATTTACCAGCCGGGGTAAAAATTCGGCTCCACCAAACACAGGCAATGCTGTGCAGTGGCGGGATACGTGGGAGAACTAAAAGGGGGTAAAATAACCCTGGGAAATCAGTATAAGGCGTTGGCGATGGGGCCAGTCATACGTTCGTCATATTCGTATTCAACAATAAAATAATAAAAAACTTATGACACTGTTGTCGCCCATGTGCGATATATATATTCGTCTTTAATGTATTAAAGTTTATACATATGGTTTTAGGAAACAAATACCTCAATTTGTTTAAGTATTTTGACGAAGTAGTTTCCAGTTGCTTTGGGAAATCTCTAAGTATAAGTTATGCCGAAAATATTCAACGTTTCGCAGTAGAACTATCTAAAGTCGGAGTACGGTACACAACAAAAATGCATGCCCTAGTTCATCATGTTCCAGAGTTCATTGAAAAATATCAACGAGCACTTGCCTTTTTTCTGAACAAGCGTCAGAATAAGTGCATCACTATTTTAACGTTTTCAACAAATTTTAATTTAAATTCAAGGAATTTGCAATTTTTTAAAGAAAAACTGTTAAGGAGTATTTGTTATTATAATAGCCAGCACATATAATTACATGTATTTATTTGGACATTAAAACCTATTAAGTTAATTGAATATGATTAATATGTATTATTTTGTGAAGTAAAAAAAAACAGAAATTTTTTATAACAAAACTATAGCGTCTACAGAAAACTTTATAAGACGTTTTTTACTTAAAATTAAACGCATTATTATCCTCAAAGGAAGTTTTTTTAAAATTTAAAATTTTTAGTTTTTACAAAAAAATTAAAAATTTTGACATATTTTTGGGCCACTATATAGAATGCCATACATGAAGGATTTTATTTCTCATGTTTCCTGTTACTTGAAAGTCGGATAAACCCGAAAACAATAGTTTCGATGATTATATATTTTTTTTCTGAAATCGTCTATAAAATTAACCGTGAGGGGTGAGTCGCAAACAAATGGGTCACACCGTAGATGCTACAACTGTGGGAAATTATTTTTGTTTCTTGGTTTATAATTGTATTATGAAAAACTAAAGATTTCTTAATTTATTTGTGCATCTTAAAATTATAATATTATTTTGATATTTAGCCAATTGTTAAATATTTAATAAACTTTGTGAGATAACATCCTTAAACTATTTAAACCTTATAACTTAAAATCTACTTATTATTATCAAACTCTTGTATCGTGTGGTGTGCGCCATTTTAGGAACACCCTGTATAATGTCATCGTACTACACCTTTTCCAATTGTATTTCAGAAAGCGTCAAATTAATTTCAGAAACCGACAAATATATTTCAGAATTGTCAAATGTATTTCAGAAAGCGTTAAATGTTTTTCAGAATAGTCAAATGTATTTCATAATGCGTACTATGTATTTCAGAATAATCAAATGTATTTCAGAAAGCATCAAATGTATTTCAGAAAGCGCCCAATGTATTTCAGAAAGCGTCAAATGTATTTCAGAACGGGTTAAATATATTTCAGAAAGCGACAAATGTATTTTAGAAAGCGTCAAATGTATTTCAGAACGCGTTTTCCAATTGTATTTCAGAAAGCCTCAAATGTATTTCAGAATAGTCAAATTTAATTCAGAAAGCGTTAAATGTATTTCATAATAGTCAAATGTATTTCAGAATAGTCAAATGTATTTCAAAAAGCAACAAATGTATTTCAGAATAGTCAAATGTATTTCAGAAAGCGTCACATATATTTCAGAATAGTCAAATGTATTTTAGAAAGCGTCAAATGTATTTTAGAATAGTCAGAATGCGCATTAAATATATTTATCTACTCCCCCATTAATAAGCTGTGACTGACTTTATGGCGTTTTAGTCACGGGCTGAAGTTAGCAACAGTGGCTTTTGAGCATTTTAGTCACGGGTCAAAGTGGAAAGTGAGGTTAAATCCGTTGACAGTTGACAGATGTCAAATTTTTAATAAATAAAATTGGACACTCTTTTTTATTAAACACTCGCTCGCAAGCTTCGCTCGTGCCCAATAAAACTAAAATGGCGTTTATAAAACCTGATATTAATAAATTGTATTTTTTTTTAATTTTATTCTACTAAAAAAATGGAAATTGTTTTTAGCGAGAGGTAATCCACTTTAAAATCTTAGATACCAACGTTCAATATTAGTGGACGTTGTGTTGAGATTTTTTTCCTTATCAGTCGTTATCAATAAGGAAAACTTGCTTAATCGGTGCTTAATCAGGGCTTAGCGACGCGTTGCGCATGACTACCCTTATTATTGTTATCCTTAGCCGTTATTTCGTAAGCGATTTTTAATTTTAAAAAATCAGTGGTTTACCCCTCGGTTTTTAGTGTTTTATTAAGGTGACCAACTATTTTTTGTTCAAAAAGAGTATACTTTGCAAGTATTTCATAGGTGAAAAAAACGATAAAAAACTTATTTTCTTTTAAAAACATATTTTTCTCCGGAGTGTATTTTTTTTGCTAAGTGAGGATGTTCGTCTAATAATGTAGCCACATCCGAACAACTTTCATTTTGCATATTAAATTTGACTGTTAAGACGGCAGATAATGTTTTTACAGAAAGTTGCGACTTCTCACTGCTCCATTAATCATTCCCTAGTGAAAATACCCTTTCAACAGCAGCATTAGTGCCTGGACAACACAAGGAAATTTATATTAAAACTTTTAAATTTTCATGTGGGATATGTTCTACTCTAAAATGCCGAAAGATTTCTACCATCTACCCATCTTTTGTTAAGTTCTATTTTCTCATCGTTCGTTAGAAAAAGAGGTCTGTACTATCTATCTCTCTCTCCAGGTACATACTACGGCCTCTCATTGAGAGGCTCTCAATTGACCATATGCAAGGAATGCGGTCGATGTTGCCAATGGTAAAAAAATAAAATTCCCTATTGGGAACATTCAATTATATTACGTTGGCTACACTGAAATTTTGAATTTCCCGCACAAACTGACATACATTCTAGTAGTTCCCAGAGATAAAGAAGGTAGTTCCAATGTTGTATAATAAATTAAGGTGCGAATTTCAAATGTGGGAATTATTATTATGTATTATTATTAAAAAAAAAGATGGAAATTAATTTTGTTTGTGCGGGAAATTCAAATTTTCAATGTAGCCAACGTAATATAATAATTATTGAATGTTCCCAATAGGGAATTTTATTTTTTTACCATTGGCAACATCGACCGCATTCCTTGCATATGGTCAATTGTGCCGGAAACGGCAGCCATATGTGCGCGCGAAAATCAAATCACTGTCAAACTCGTGTCTGGTGTTTGCCCTGTCCTCTGAAGTGCCGGAAACGGCAAGCAATATGCGCGTGAAATTCAAATCACTGTCAAAATAATTTTAAATATTTAATTAATAAAATTGAAATAAAAAAATGTTTTAGAATACAAATGAGTATAAAATTTACAAATGAGTACTTTCAGAGTACAGGATTTGAAAAAGAGTACGGTTTGCGAAAAAAGAGTACAAAACTCAGTAAATGAGTATGGTTGGTCACCTTAGTTTTATGTACATATTATTTAAACTTTTTTACTGTTTAACATTTAGTACAATGTTACAGTGATTGATTATCACACTATGTACACAAGGAGTACAAACTTTTTATGTAGATGTAATGTCCCTTTGTACTAACAAGAATGCAGCCTGCTTCATAGTTGAGACATGCCCTACTTCTCTTTTAGCGCCCTCTTATTTTGGGAAGCCATTTGTTTACATGAAGTTCATACTTCTTGTGTAGGCTCCCTGAATAATTGTCTAGGCCGAAATCGGGTAAAGTTTTTTACCTCCTAGTCTGTAAAAAAGGCAATAATTCGATAACTTAACCTCATTTCCAAATAATTAATTTAATATTTATAATTATTATTATTATTTAATAATTATAATTATTATTATAAATGTACGTTTTTTGTATCCTTTAACAAATAAAATTGTGCATTAAAGATAAAAATGTTGTATGCAATTTGGTATTTACTTAACTTCTTTATGGACACCTGAACTTACTTCCGGTTACTACTACATAGTCTTGTTATTTTGACATCAAAAGCAAACGTAGTCAATATTGTATCTTTGCTATTTACAGATTTGTACATGGATAACAAAATTAGGACTTTTAAAATTCCGTGTCCGCCACTGCACAGAAATCGTGTTATTTTTTTACCCGAATAAAATATTTTAAAATAATTTTGGAATGCACCTTCACATTTATAACTATGTAATATATAGTAATAATATTAATATGTATGTAGTAAATACATTTTTTATATAATAATAATAATAATAATAATAATAATATTTAATAATTTTTGTTTATATAAATTTATGTTGTAGGTATATTCTCTACACATTAACCATGCTATCAATTAAAAAGCTTCCAAAATATATATTTTCACTATTCTGAAATACATTTGATGCTTTCTGAAATACATTTAAAGCATTCCGAAATACATTTGATTATTCTGAAATACATTTGACATTTTCTGAAATGCATTTGACGCTTTCTAAAATACATTTTACTATTTTGAAATTCATTTGATGCTTTCTAAAATACTTTTGACTATTTCGAACTACATTTAACGCATTCCGAAATACATTTGACTATTATGAAATACATTGGGCGCTTTCTGAAATATATTTGACGTTTTCTGAAATACATTTGACGCTTTCTGAAATACAATTGGAAAAGGTGTAGATTTTTCACAAAAAGGTTGAACCTAATAGCAAATATTTTTTATTTTTTGTTTTTCAAAAATTTTGTCAAATTATTTAATTTAGGTCTTCAGCAGAAGTGCCATTTTTTAAATAATAAAAATACTCAATCAAACTGCCATAAGCTACCAACTTAATAAAAAAACATTTTAAAATAATTTGCATTTTTTAAAGGAAACCTCGAGAAGATTTTTGCATTACACCGTACCCAGAGTGGTTGCAGTTTCCCAACAAATCCGATTGGTTGAAGACAACCCAGCCTCAATATCTTTGTTGGACGTTTTCAAGAAGGGCTGCGCCAAACTAGGTAAGAAGATTTTTCTCTAGCCGTTATAATCGCGAAACATTAAAAAACATTCTTGGTTGATTTTTAGGTATCGAACATGACGACCCCATACAATTCTACTACGAGCGTTTGGCGACAGTGCAAAGTAGGGGCATCAAAGCGAGCCATCAAGTGTACAGGGACATCCTTAAAGGTGTGCAGTCCACCATGGTACCCAGGACACTACTTAAACAATGGGCCATACAGACATTCCCATCGGCCACTGACTATTGGCAGTTTAGGAAAATGGTAAGGTATTATATCTTTTACAATAGGATTGCATTTTAATGAATTATTTTTCCAGTTTACTCTCCAACTGGCTTTGGCATGTTTTGCTGAATATGTTTTACACTTGACAAGACTGAATCCAGAAATGATGTACCTGCATCAAGATTCCGGAATGATGAACGTATCTTACTTTAAGTTCGACGTAGACGATGGTAAGTGCTTTTTAATTTTAATATTATCTTTTCCTAGTTCCTACTTTATTTTAATTATGTCGTGTGATTGATAAAAATTTTAAATTCAACTAATGTTTGCAATTTTTATTTCGATAAATTTAGTCCCTAGTATTTTTCTACTTTAGGGTTTCAAAATTTTCGGAAAAATTGAGCCGGCGCACATAAGGACGAACGTCCACATTAGCGCGCCAAAAATAGAAAAATGAACTTTAAAAAAATTTGTCAGAAACATCATTAACACGTTGTCAATGGACCAGTCCACAATAAAACGTATTTTTTTTATATATATATTGTATACAAAAGACTCAGCACCACCCCAAAGTTGACCTTTTATTCGCACTACTATGAAGTACTCACGCGTAAAAGTTAACAGAATTAGAATGCTTGTCCTATGACTCTAAATATAAAATCAAAAGTTTTTTTAGTTGTGTTTGGAAGCTTATGGCATATACTTTTATATGTAATTATTGTTATTAAACAAATTATACATGGAAAAGTAAGAATATATGTTTTATAAAACAGAATTTTTACGAAAAAAAAATTAAAAGTATAACTTTAGATAGAGTTTTAAAAAAAGTTCCGCAGAGTTCCGCCTACATTTTTGGCTACCATATAGCGTATCTTATTACCAATATGAGCATGTAAATTTTAGTTCCAGCCGAGTCCAGCCATAGGTTTTAGAGATTTTTTTTATCAAGTAAGTCACAGTGAACGTGTTAAAAAAGCTAGCCATACAAAAAAACATTATACTTTGTTAATATGTAATGAACCAATTATAAAATATTAGATCATCTTAATCTTTTCTTAATCTGCATTACCTGAAAGTAATTGTTGTTAATTAAGATGGTGAATGCTAATATGTTCAATTTATTATGTTTAATATTTTACGACCTATTGTATATTAAATTTTAAATAAATATTTTAATTAAGGGTTTTTGTCTAATTAGTATTTTTGATATCCTCTTTAAACCTATTATTATTTTGAGAATTTTTTTTGTAAAGTCATTTTTAAGAAAATTAATGGTTATGGTAAAAAATAACACTCGGTATAGTAAATTAAAGTTTTGAATATAATTTTATTTAGCGCTAATAAAAACCTTTTTATCCTACATAAAAATTGTCTACCTATTTTTTTATCACCTACTTACACCCTTAATTATTTTCTTTTAATTACACAAAATAATCAAGAAAATAACAAAACTTTGCATTTTTTTTAAGATAAAGATTAAATCAAGTCCTTAAAAGCATTTTTTATCATCATAATCGCAAATAACCCGTTTTAATATTTTTGGAGCCGTAATTTGGTGATTCGTCCGTATGTGCGGCGCACAGTGTTTCCATTCTCGAAATTTTCGGTAAAATATCAAGGAGTTGTCGGATTCTCCTAAAAATCCGTATATAGAGGTTTTTGGGGTCGCTGATAAGGAATCTGGAATCAGAATTCCAAAATGGTAGATCCAAAATGGCGGACATATTTGTAAAAAAAATTGACGGAATTAATTGAAAATCACCATACAGGGGTTTTTGTAGTCGCTGATAATAAATCTGGAATCAGAATTCCAAAATTCAAAATAGTGGACCTCAAATGGCGGACATTTTCATCAAATATTGTCAAAATTAATTAAAAACCCGTAAGACGTTCTTTTTAAAATGTAATAAAACATAATTTTATAAAATAGCTTAATTTAGTTTATTATAATTACATTTATATGATATCATTTAATACCTACATAATATGTATAATATATAATATATTATACAGTACAGTATACAGTATATTAAACAATCTCCGTCACTGGATTCGCTCGTTGTATCATTAGCAGAGCATGGGAAACTATCAGAAGATAGCAACAGTTTTATTGCTTCGCGGGACAAAGATTTGCTCTTTTTCGGAGCAATTTTTCTGAAGCTAGAAATATACGGATCGGAAGATGTCATAAGCCAATGGAAAACATCTTCCATCGTTTTCTCCCGAGAAACTTTAAAAATTTATTTATAAAATTTAAATATAACAGAATTTATACTAAGTATTTTAAATTTGTATTATTTCTTTTACTTTATATTTTAGCAACGATTTTTTAATTCGCTAAAAAATTTGTCAACACAAATAACCACAATTGAAATTTGACATTAACACACTACAATGCGCATGCGGAGTTGTTTTAACGCACCTACAAGAGGTGGGTTAAATATGTAAAATCGGTGTTAAATATCTTAGTAGTCACGAACGATTTACGCAAGTGCGCTGTAATAAACGTTTTGAGTTAAATCCGAGTGAATCGAGCAAACGTCATGAACGCAACCCAGAAATAAAAAAAAATCTTATATTTTGTAAAACAAAAACACAGATACGCGCTCGACAGGCTTAAAATCGCGAGTTTTTTTTACCACAACCGTGCCTGAGCGCCCAAGAACATGTAGTTTTAAAGAGCCGGGGGCAAGTTGGGGCAGATAATTTATTGATGGCTTGATAGACAAAACTCTAAGCTATTCAACGGATCTTGAACTGATGCCTTACAATTCATTACAATTTTTGCAGCTCCATTGTTCTAAAAGCTCGACTCAAAGTTTGCGATTTTAACAGACCGATCTTGTCGGTTACAATAACCCGTTGTACAAGCAAAATCTAGTAAAAACAAATACATATCTGAATTTTAGATACCTTGAAGATCACCCTTCATCAAACCGCATAACAATCGGACACACCAAACACAAGTTATTCACTTTTAAACAATAAACAATTTTCCGCAGCGATCGCGTGTAAAGTACCTTCAACTGAAAGCGTCAAGTTTAAACTGATGTACAAGACAAAATATACGTATTTTATATAATTTTTTTTCAATACAGGATGGAGACAGGTATTAACTAACTACCCATCTAACTCAAAATTTACCTGAAAAAAAATGTCATTTTTTGAGGTTTTGCCGATATTTTCCAGAATTGAAACACTGTGCGGCGGAAAAAACCTTTTTGTCTGAAAAAAAAACCGGAAAAATTGTCTTTTCTTATTTAAAAATGCAAAATTAATTTTTTTCTGAAAATTCTGCACCAGTACTTTTAACCAATCGAGTTTTTTTAACAGGTCACCATGTATTTTTGTGTTTTCGCTGGGATAGGTAACCAACAGCGAATGAAATCGGAAATTTTTTGACAATACAGAGTAGTAGTACACGCCAAAATAAGAAAGTTTTTCCTCCATTATTTTTGCATTAGTGCCAAAAAAATCATTAAAATTTATAAGTAGAAATTTTGTGCCGCCACTGGTTGTTCCTGACCTATGACAACTGACGCAAAATATGGTGTTCCAAAATAAGGCAATTTTTTTTATTCTAAATTTATGTGAAATTCTCGTCACTTATGCTAAAAAAAAGGTCCATCATCAAATTTAAAGTTTTCCCATTGATTTAACACGCCTGCATGCTATGTAGAACTTTTTTTTATTAACAATCACTGGTCCTTTTTTAGCATTAAATTATCTACAAAAAATCTTAGTCCAGTCTGTAGATTCAACTGTTTCTTTTTTATTAACGTTGAACGTATAAATTATAACAAAAATTGATATTTTTAGATTTAGCAGCTAATCTACTAATCGTAGAAGAAAAAGTCAATTAGCAATTTTGAAGATCTTTTAATGCTCTACAAATTTGTTTTAAACATTAAATTATAATTAAGTTAATTATCTACAAAAAATCTCCAGTTTGTGGATTAAACTGTTTCTTTTTTATTAACGTTAAAACGTATAAATTGATATTTTTAGATTTAACGGCTAAACTACTAATCGTAGAAAAACAGTTCAATTAGCAATTTTCAAGATCTTTTAATGCTCTACAAATTCGTTTTGAACAATTTTTTTTATCACCTACAGTTCAAAAGTTATAAGTGTCTAAAATCCTATTTTCATGATTATGCATATATTTTTATAATATTCAATGTAGGAAAAAAGTTTACGGACAATTTTGCAGGAAGCGCTATAAATAACGTACCAAGATTCTTCAACATACTCAATTAATCGCTGAATTTAAGCTAAAAGAGCTTAACTTTTATGATATTCTTATTTCATGCAAATAAAATTTTATACTTCGCTTCAAAAAAGTTTTGAAATACTGAAAATAATTTTAAACCTTAAAAATTATTTTATTATTAGTTGTTCTAAAGTGTCAACTTCGCTCTGGTATACTAAACTGTTTCTTTTTGCTTGGATAAATAATATTATTGTGGCTCCATGGTTTTGTCGACAAAATTTCATAATTTTTTTATTAAAAAAGAGTGGAAATCATTGCATCAAGTGAAAGTGGTAGTGCAACTACAGGGCGATAGATGGCGTTTACATGAATAATACCATAGGGTCCTTAGATTTGGGACCTTAGAATACCTTAGAATACCAAAATGAGTTTTATAACCTATATGATGCACCGCCAAAAGTATGTTTTTAGCCATTTTAAAAGACATTTTCAGCTATAAAACCCAGAAATGTTGCCATCTAAAGTCAGTCTCTGGTATATATATTATTATTTTATCTATCCAACATATATTTTGTTAAATATTCTAATACATACAGTATATTTTTTGAATGTGTGTGATTGCGTCATCAATTGGGTCGTATGAATTAAACCGAAACTAAAATTGGAGTCAGTAGCGTATCATTTTGAAGGGGTCTAAGCATTTATTGTGGGTGTATTTTTGGTTGCCTAATGTCGCCTCATAGTTACGCAACTCAAAATACATACAATTAAACAATAATTCTAATGATAGTTATTTTAACTTTATTAATGTAAATTATGCAAGTTTTATAAACGAATAACAATAAACATACACAATTTTTGTACATAATATTATATACATACATATAATATATAAGTTAATTAAGATAAAACATTAATTATTAAAATAAAATGTTATAGGAGAACGAAAACAAAATTACTAAAAGTCATCCTCGTCGGAACTGTCTTCTCCGAGGTGGATAACTAGTTCTGGCACGTCATCGACCATCCTTGTCTTTTGGAACCAATCGTCAATTAATTTGTTGGTGTGCCTCACTACTGAACATCAACGTTCTGGCGTGCATTGGTTCAGTGCTTGGCCCCACATTGCTAGCACTTTATTGTCGCCATAGCCGTCTTCCCCCATATGGGAATCATAATATGTTTTAGCCTAAAACAGAATTCGTTGTTGCAAGCGCCCATCTAATTGTTTATGTATTTACCTGCGCCCATATAAGTTCAATGGCATTGAACTGGCAGTGATATATCACTATATATGGAGGCAGACGCAAAACCTTATGCCCATGCTGCTGGAGGTACTCATCAACTTTTTAACGCTTAGGCGGGGTGTGGTAGCGTGCCAGAAACAGCAATTCCGCTTTAAATATACCTTTGATAAACTGAATATTATGTTCTGTTAGCCACTCTTCTATTTGCTGTTTTTTCCAAGCACTTGTAGGGTGACGCGTGCCAGAAACAGCAATTCCGCTTTAAATATACCTTTGATAAACTGAATATTATGTTCTGTTAGCCACTCTTCTATTTGCTGTTTTTTCCAAGCACTTGTAGGGTGACGCTCAACAACGACGCTGTGGTAAGGAGCGTTGTCCATCACAATCAGTGAAGGTTCCTTTGACCCTTAAGTAAACATGCTCAGTAGAAACAAGCCTAACATAGCTTACCTCTTGGACACAGTTTAGTGGGAGCAGGGGTTCCCCATGCTCCAGTTCCCTTTGAAAATATTGAAATAAAACGTTTCTGATTATCGTCCAAACGTTTGCAAGACATTTTTTAAAACCTGTCAAACCTCCAAAATGTGTTCTTTAATGCCAAATTACTGTATGAACGCCACTGACTAACCTTCAAATTTTGATAAATTTCGGCTCAATGCCACAACAAACTATACGCGCTCTGTCCTTTTTCAGCACAAGCCGCGTGAGCGCGACATCGGATTGACGTTTGTCGTAAATTACGTTTAATTGTGTCGCCATCTGCTGGTTTAGCGGATCCCGATACGTTTTAGAATTTCGGTTGAACTTTTACAAAGAAAAAAAAAGACAGCTACACATTTTAATGTCTTTGTTTGGTTCAGCAATTGATGACGCAATCACACACATTCAAAAAATACACTGTAATTAATAATAATTCTATTTACCTCTCTAACAGCTGTTAAAGGTAACAAAGGTCCATTATTATCCAGTTCTGCCTCAAAATAGCGTATTAAGGATGATACCAACTCTTGACTCCGACTATTTAAATGCTTCGGCATTTTAAATATATGTAATACAAAAAAATAAAATTATACACGAATTAAACGAAATATTCAAAAACACAACTGACAGCTTCGAAATTCTAAAACGTCATTTTCTTTTTCTATGCGTCATTTTATTAAGCAAAATTATAATGTAAACATGACAACATTGCAATTGCTGCCAACTGAAGTTGTTTAAAATGCATTAAAATATTCAATTACAGACTTCGTTTTATACATTTAGTGTTGAAATTTTGTTTATAAATAGATATAACTTGTATTATATTTATTTCAGGTGAATTGGACACTACCAGGCCAGTACCATTTAGACTGACTCCAAATATAATTGAATATTTGTCCAGTATTGGAATAAGTGGGCCTTTGACAGCCTCAATGATTGCCACTGCAAGATGTTTTGTATATCCAAACTTCAAGGTAAATATAATTTATACAAGTATTTTTATATTAACATAGGTAAATTAAAACGTTTATACAGTATTATAAAGTTTGTTTTTTTATTATAATTAGGTGCAGGCAATTTTGAAACCAATCCTGAGGGACGAAATGATCTTGTCCAGGATGAAAAAACCCGAAAATATCGCAAGTTGTGATAAATTGACGGATAGTGAGCAAATTATTAATATGGTGAATAAAGCTGTGACTTCAATTTCCAGTAGATTGAACAGTTTGGCGCATTTCGATGGAGTTGACAGCAAGGTAAGAACATTTCAATGTTGTGATAAAAATGTTATATGGACAAAAATTACTCAATTTAATTTGAGTTTATTTGTCTATGTGAGTTTAAATTTCAAATGGACCAGGTAAATTTCAATATCCGTCTGTTTTGACGAATTTTTGAATAACAATATTAAACTTTTTTTACTTTTTTACAATTTTATGAGAAAACCATTTATTTTTTTCCTATATTTTTTGTTTTATCAAACATAATATACTCTTTTGCACTTATTTTTAATTATTAGGTGGCAATTAAAATTGATAATATACTTAAAAATTAAATCAAAATAATTGTATTCCAAAATTTAAATTTTGACGACTTCAAATACATATCTATTAAAATAATAATAATATTTTTTTGCAAAACACTAAATTACCTACAAAAAATGTAAATTATTTTTCTCTAAAGTCAATTTAACAGCAAAAACATCAATTTCATTGGAAATCAAACTTTAAACCTGAGTTGTATTCAAGCACAATTGATTAAATAAATAGTATCCTATATAAGTAGCATTTATAGTGATTAAAACTTGTTGGCCACTTATACTTGGAACTGTAAAGTATATTGCCAAAATCTCTGCCACGTGGTAGAAACGGTTCTATTACGTGGAAGTAACTAAAATGGGGAACACTTTTTTAGTGTCAGTAACGTGGAGGTATAGTGGCCAAAACTTAATCATAACTTTACTAATCTTTACTTTCTATCCCCGTCTCTTTCCAGCATATTATTTATCTTAATATCTTTGCTTTCTCCGACTGGATATTAAACACTGAATTATAATATTGTAAGAGTACAACTTGCAAATAATAACTAGAATTAAAATAATCCGAAGACATAAAATGAACACGAATTAAATTTTACTGTTAAACATGGGTATCAAAGCTTGAAATATAAGCATGCCCTGTTGAAATATGTGGTAATAAAAAAGAATAAAAAAAATCTATAAACTTAGCGAATATGAAAATTATTTAGAGGACTAAAATAATTTGTTTATTATTTCTGGTCACCTGAAACCAATAAATAGGTATTAACATGATAAATTTGGTGAGGTAATAACCAGAATTATTTGTTTAAAACTACACATTTATTTCCCTACAATGACGATTATTTGTAAACATTTCTGCTTTTAAAGAAGGGAACTTTAAAGTGGTAATTTTATACGAAATGTGGAAATCACTTAAGCATGTAGCAAGAACGTGGCAATCACCACCGCAATTATATAGGTAATCAAGTTTTGCCACATTCAAGGTTGGGAAAAAGTTCCGAAAACGTTACCAAACTGATATACCCACTTTACTGCTACTACCAGTTTATACAACTTTAAGGTGGTGTCAAAAGTGGTCATAACATTTCAGATACCAGACTAATACACCAAAAAGTTATAAAACTATAAAGTATATTCTGCTGGTGCAAATCACATGATTACAACTATGCTAATATAATATGGAGATATTTTAACTGTATTGTGGTAGATTTAGTTATTTAAACGTTATTGCCACTCATTTAAAGTGGTAAAGTGGTAAATTAACCAAGATCTAAATAAAATAACGTTTTTTTAAACTTGTGTTTCTTTAAACAATTATTTGATTCAACTAAACTGCGCACCACTCAATGTGTCGCGACAAACAATTTTTTTCTTTTTCAGAACGACATAACATTTTTGTTTCTTGAACGATTTTATTTTGGTCTGTTATGTCTCCTAGCCCCATCTGCTGGCAATTCATGATATAGATATGAAGCTCAAGGTTGTTCAAGTAAATTTCCTACAGGGTGATATGTTAAATGGTAAAAAAATTCAATAACTTCATCCAAGCCCCGTTTGTATAAAAATATTTTTTTTTTGTTTTAACTTTGAAATAATGAAGTATTATGTCTCACCTTGAAACGTTTTTCAAATTTTTCGAATTGGAATCGTAGCAACGAAAATATGATTTTTGTTCCAAAAGAGTAGCTACATTTAAGGCTTTTTTGTAGGCAATTTAACAGCCGGGAATTGTTTTCGAATTTTGATTCTTAGTGATTTTGGTTTTATGTGAAACTTAAATTTGACAACTAAATCGCAATCAGGAGGTCAAAATTATAAAGAAAACCTGTCACGAACGTAAATATCGATTCAGAATTGTTTTCGCAAATTTTCACCAAAATGTCATTTTGAAAAAGTGGTCTTTGCTTAGGCCCCTCTGAAAATAATGGAAAATTATTCAAGGAACAATATTTCACCATTTTATCTTCTTGTTCTTAAAAAGACTGAGTGTATTGCCTACCAAAAAACCTTAAATGTACTCTTTCTAAAAAAAATCATATTTTCTTTGCTAAGATTCCAATACGAAAAAATTGAAAACCTTTTCAAGGTAAGACATAATACTTCATTATTTGTAGTAAAAACAAAAAAAAAATATTTTTTTACAAACGGGGCTTGGATGAAGTTATTGAAATTTTTAACCTTTTTACATATCACCCTGTACGAAATTTACTTGAAGAACTGTGAGCTTCATATCTATAGCATCAATTGCCAGAGGATGGAGCTAGCAGAAATCACAGACCAAAATAAAATCGTTCAAGAAACAAAAAAGTTATGTCGTTTTGAAAAAGGACGATCTTTTTGGTCGCGACACATTGAGTGGTGCGCAGTTTATTTACATTTTTTAAAGGTAATTATGAACTAAAAAATAACCCTTTAAATTTACTTTAAAAAAAATTGGATGAATTATTTTTTGCAATTGTACGTGTAGAACAGGATATTAATGTTAATAATTGACATAATATACTTTATTGTGAATTATTGTAGCAGTTTTGAAAATAAAAACGAAATTAAAAAAAAAAACTTTTTTTACATCTCCAATCCAATAAATAATGACTTATATTGATTGTATTTTTTATTTAGGTTGCAACCTTGGTCGCCGCGGCAAACAGTCACGACAATTTATGTAGGATGGACCCAGCATGGCACCCATGGCTGTAAATAATTTATTTTTATACCTTTAGTTTATTGTAATCGATAATTTTAAGTTAAGTTTAACTCGAGTATTATTTTTGTAGTAATTACCCTATTTTTAAGGTATAGTTTTGAGTCTCTCGTTTTGTATGTATTTTTTTAGCAAAATAAATGAAGTTTAATGAAAGATTTTATTTTACTTATTTGCCATATCAGGAAAAACGACAAAAAGCAATTTTGTGTATTATGCAATAAAAAATTGTATAAATTGTAAAATTATTTTTTGCGATATTGTCGACAAAATTGTGTGACAGTAGTCGAATTTTTTTATTGGCCCAAATTTTTTTTTTGCAGACAAGGAGGTAATTCTTTTTTACCTAACTAGTGCAGAAAGTGCTACTTTTCGGCACGGGACTGCCGGTATAGCGAAGTTGAGTTCGGAAAACATTCCGTACAATATTTATTGTACAAGCCAATTTTCTTTGTCAGTTTTCATTTTTGACCTACTCATTATTTCTACAAGCGTTCTACTTTCCGCCCGCATTTACTTTGAGCATTTTCAAGCGTGTGGAAAACCGCAACTTTTCTCATGTTTATGCGTGCAGCAGTTTCGGTACGTTTGTAGAAAAAATACTTTACCCGATTGGTCTAAATTATTTGTACAGCTTAAGCGATAAAATCACTTGACAATAAAAAAGTTTAAATTACAGATTGCTTTAGGATAAAAGATTTTTTTTTTTTTAATCTTAAACATTTATTTTTTATTTTAAAGCTAACTGCATTTAGGTTTATATTAGGTTATTTTTAAGTAAAAGTTTTTTATTTGTATTTACTATTTTATTGCTGTTCAATAGTGCAGTAAAAACTTTACGAAAAACTTTGCTTAACCATCGTGCGTAGCTTATATTTCAGCGGTGGTAAAAATAAAACATATTTGAAATAAATAAAAAAAATTATTAAATTAGTATTTTTACATTATTACAAATAAAAGTACCCTTAAAAACTAAAAACAACATAAAAAGTAAATAAGTAACAATATAATGTTAATTTGTTGTTATAATGACAAAATTACTTCTTAAGTTAGCAGCACGAAATTTGGAATAACAATTTTAAAAAATATACTGTTGTTCCCGTTTCTAAGGTAATTTTAATGATTTAGGGTATATTTTTGATACAGCTGTGCAACATTTTACTGCGGTGCAACTTTTATTTTAAATGTAACACCCAATATATTTTTACATAATCAAATAGTAAATTAATAAACCTATACCTGAAGTTTTTAGGTTGTTATAAACAATTTGTCAATGCATAAGAGTGAAACTAACCACCTTGAAAAGTTTTTTGATAGATTTTGAAAACTAGTTAGCTTGTTAGTTTTTTTGTATTTTTATCCCCTTAATAATTTTCAAAAAATTTGTAAACAATTGCAAATCGAAGATTTACGCATCAATTCATTTATATTTTGGGAACTTTAAGATAAATTGTTATACAGTGTTTCATTTTGATAGGCGACAATTCGGTATTAATTTAAAAAAAAATTGTTTTTAGTTTGTAGTCCTCGAATTCGAGGAAAAAAAATGTCATCGCCGACGGTGGACGAGTGGTTAGTGCTGCTGACTACAAGCCGGAGGTCGTGGGTTCGAATCCCACCAGGGGTATGGCTGTTTATTTATGTTTGTCCTATTGTGTAATACTGCCCTACTATGGAAAAAGGCAGTAACTGCTAAACAAGAAATTTGTGGAAAATTAGCATAAACTACAACTTTATAAAAAGCAGTAGGTATTTAATTGATTTTTTTAACTTGTGAGATATTTGACTGCATTTCTGTGTTGAATTCGGTTACAAAATGTCCATAGCTTTACCATAGCACAAGAAAACGCATTTTGCATTTTTTTGCAGTTACTGCCTTTCTCCATAGTAGGGCAGAATAGTCCTTCGGAGGGGACTTTAAGCCCGCGGTCCGTTCCTACCCCTAACCCGCACAAGCCATTCAGTTGGCTTATGGGACTTCTTAAGAAGTAAGGGTGGAACTAAAAGAGCACTTTTGTATATAAACTTTGTATATACAAAATGTCATGTCATTTCCATTGCTTTCTATGTGATTAATATGATTTGCGGTTTGGTTTTTTGAATTCAGCGTGGTCGAATTGGAAAAGATTTCATGATAAAAATCTTGTTCGACAACGATTTTCTAGACAAACATTATCCAAAGGTCCACAAAATATCGCGTTTTTCGAGTGAAACTTTGGGTCTCCGATTTGGATAAAATTATAGAAACTTATAGTTTTTAAGGCGTAGAAAACGAAAATCGACATAGTTTTTTCCCTCCAACTCCAATTTTCTGTAATATAAACTTAAAAAAAGGTATGCACGGCTCTGGATTCACCACCCCTCAAAACGACCCTATACTAAATTTAACTTATATAAGTGGCATGGTCTTATGCTTAGTTTTAAAAAATTAAAAACACAATATAAACTTTAAAAAAATCCATGCACGGCACTGGCTTCACCACCCCTCAAAACGACCCTATACTAAATTTTATTGAATTTTTTTTATTAGGAACCATTTTGTATCCAAATTAAAAATGCACAATAAATAATATTTACAAAAATTTATTTTATCAAGTAAGCCATGAAAAAACTTTGAAGTTAAATTAACATTTAAGTAAATAATAAAAAATCGCGTTTTTCGACTGAAACTTTGGGTCTCCGATTTGGATGAAAATATAGAAACTAATGGTTTTTAAGGCGCATAAAACGAAAATCGACATGATTTTTCCATAAAAAAATCCCCCTAGGACCACCAACTCCAATTTTCCGTATTATAAACTTTTAAATAAAATATAGAAATTTAAGTTTCTATATTTTATTTTAGTTTTTATTTTAGTTTTCTACGCCATAATTAAGGCGTAGAAAACGAAAATCGACATAGTCTTTTCATACCCCCCTCCAACTCCAATTTTCCGTACGCTGCTGGGGTGTTTAAATAATGTTTAAATAAAAGAAATAAAATTTATATTAATATAAAGACATTCCTTTGTAAGTTTTACGCTATAAAATATAAAACTAATCTTACTTAAAATATAAAATATGTTCAAAACATATATACATTAGGGTGTTTCAAAATAATCGACTTTTTCTTTTCCTTCAAATGGTCGGCAAATTCTTTCAGAGGATGTCAACACAAAGACCTCGTCAAAATTTGAGCTTTTAATTTGAAGATTTAGAGGTCTCGGATCGCAATTTTCTATTTCCCATTTAAATAACATGGGAATTTTTTTTTTTAATTTTAAAATTTTATACGTCTGAATCGAATCAACTTATGTCAAGGATCATCTTAGATTTTTATAGTAAATTTAACGCTCTACAAGAAAGGTCTCTTATCATTTTTCTATAAATTGATTCCTTCCAGAGTTATTCGAGGCCAAAGTTTGATTTCCATCGAATTTTCGCGTTTTTTTAACATTTATGGTACAATTATCATTATACGGGGCCAAACCGAAATTAGGGGGGCCAAACTTAAACAGTGCATTATTCGTATAAAAATAACACTTTTTGTTTAATAAACATGTATCAAAAAATGCTCCCTAAAGGAGCTACGGCCCCCTGAATAGGAACCTAAGAGGATAATTTTTTTAAAACTATTCCTAGAGGGTTGAACATGAACAAATGAATTTTCGGTACTTTTCGAATTTTGACATGCTGAATCTAGATCTACGATCAAAACTGTTAAAATTTAATCATAGGCGTAACATTTGGAGGGGGCAAAGTTACAAAAATAGCCCCAACTTTTTTCTGGGTTAATAATTTAATTTTTTTTATGAAATTATGAGAATTTATAGTTTTTTACGAAAAATAGGTACTCTTGATTTGAATTGCTCAGATGCACCATTTTCGAGAAAAATGCATTTATATATAAATTACTCTGCATATTATACACATCTCATATTTTCATTAAAACTTTGTAGTAGGCTTTGGAAAAAAGTGACGTTTTTTTGTTTTTTTGTTTTTTTACAACACTTCCTATGTTTCAGATATAAATATGTGATTTTTTTACTACATTATGCTAAAAGTTGAAAAAACGAGAAAATTCGATGGAAATCAAACTTTGGCCTCGAATAACTCTGGAAGAAATCAATTTATAGAAAAATTATAAGAGACATTTTTTATAGAGCGTTAAATTTACTATAAAAATATAAGATGTCCCTTGCCATAAGTTGATTCGATATAGACGTATAAAATTCCAAAGTTAAAACAAAAAATTTCCTATGTTATTTAAATGGGAAATAGAAAATTGCGATCCGCGACCTCTAAATCTTTAAATTAAAAGCTCAAATTTTAACGAGGTCTTTGTTTTGACATCCTCTAAAAGAATTTGCTGACCATTTGAAGAAAAAGAAAAAGTCGATTTTTTTGAAACACCCTAATATACATTATATATATTTATATAGAAAAATTTCCCGATTTGATATATAATTATATAGAAGAATTTCCCGATTCGATAGAAATTTTAGTAACAAAATGGGTAAGAATTGGTTACCTCCCTGGCGAAAAGAAAGCGTGCACGAAAAGTTTGCAATAAGTGTGTATTTAGAGTGCAAGTCTTTATAACAATGCGCACAGACGCTATTTTGTGGTAAGGGGCCGTCCATAAATGATGTCACACGTTTTTTTAATATTTTTGACCCCCCCTCCCCCACTTGTCACAAAGTGTCACAAATTATGGGACCCCCCCTCCCCATTGGCGTCACGTCACACTGATTTAATTTTGATGTAAGGTCTACCCCACAAAATTTTTGCTTAAAATAAAATCTTAATATCCAGTTTATAACCATTATTAATTATTAAATTCCAAAATATTTTTATAATTTTGTGACATCACAACCTCCCAAAGCCCCCCCCCCCCCGGCTGTCACAAACTGTCACATTTTCGACGACCCCCCCCTCCCCCCTAAGTGTGTGACATCATTTATGGACGGCCCCTAATGTCACACTTTTTAAAATAATTTAGTTTTTTCACTCTTTATGCACATTAACATCACGCTTTTTAGGACGCTTTATTATTTCTCATTTATCACGCTTATATTACACCTTTTTATAGCACATTGTTTGTACAGTTTTAGCGATCAACTGTTTAAGCACATTTTAGATATATCTCGCTTGTGTTGTGGTAAAACATTTATTTAAAAGATGAGGTAGATTACATGTTGTGTATCGAATAAACTGTGGAGCATAAAAATGGGGCCACAAATGAAACAATTCTTGAATGTTTTTGTATCGGTACATACCAAAACAAAATTAAAAAGTCGAAAAGGCAATAACAATAATAATAATGTTGTGTATCGCTTCTCGGCAATCCCCGTCGTGGAGTTGACAAGTTCCGGTATTTTTCTTAATAAAATACATGACAGGAATGTAAAACCTACATTGTGGGTATTTTTTTAAATTTTTTGATAATTCATTAGGTTAGTATTATTAGTATTATTAGGATATTTATTTATTGATTAAATAAATTTAAAATACTGTAGAGGTCACCAAAAACAACAGAAGGTGGCAAGAAACAGTGTGCAAACAATGTGAAATATCAAAAGGAGTTCCCTTTAGAACATTGTCCAGTGATTATTCACACTTGTAAATTTTTGGTTTGCACATTGTTTCATGTCCCATTTCCCACTCTCTGCACATTGTTCTCAAATAATTTTGCACACTTTTTGCACATTTAGTTTTCGCCAGGGCTATATAAAACTACGAGATTTTAAGCTTGCTTTACAACGAGCCATACAATTTACACCAATCAATTGGTACCAATGACACTGTTAGATTGGTGTAAATTGTATGGCCTTTTGTAAAGCAAGCTTAAAATCTCCAAAATTTATTCCCAGCACGTTGACGGTTGATATTTTATAATTAATCTGTGCCATAGATAATAAATCATCCGTGCCCGATGAAACATCTTGAAGGTTGTGATTGGAGTGGGAGCAGTTTCGAATTTAGCGGTCATATTTTAAAAAATCATCAGGATCAGGTGATTAAAAGTGAAACCAATATTTAAATAAAATTAATACATGCACAATATTTTCTTATTTGACTTTTACCTGTAAGAAAAATATCCTTGTAAATACCCTACAAACAATGACGACATCGTCTTTTAAATCGTCTTTCGTATCGTTATTTTTTTTTAACTATTTCACACTAAATTCACATCGCTGCATCTTTTTTGGTCGTAATTGTGCATTGCATTAATACATAATTATGATTTTTAATTATATTTAATCAAAACATAGCTAAAAAGAACTTCCCTAAGTTTACAACTCGTAGGACGACAGTCTTGTCGATAGAGAAACCTATATCGTTGACGAGATAAGTCCCGATATCGACAAAACAGTCGTCAAAACGACAAACATAACGATATCGTCTTTGACATCGTTTTTCGTACCGATATTTTTTTAAAAATATTTTACACTAAATTCAAGTCGCAGCATGTTCCTTGGTCCTAATTTTGCAGTGAATTATGATTTTTATTTATATTTTTATATTTAATAAAAACAAAGCTCTAAAATAGCTTCCCAAATTTGACGACTCGTCTAACGACCCTCTTGTCGATATATAAACTATATCGACAAAAGGGTCGTCATGACGACAAACAATGACGATATGGTCTTTGACATCGTACGATATCGTCTTGCGTATCGATATTTTGTTTTAACTATATATATATAGGTTGGTAGGTATATAGTTTTACCATTGATTTAATCAATTTGATTAAGGTAGGTACCCAACCCTATTCCTTTACTCAACGGTTTTACACTAAATTTATGTCGCTTATAGTGCAACGCTGTCATTGCATTGCAAATAAATACTGATATTAAATATAGAAAATAGTAAGAAGACAAAATCATAGAAAAAAGTATTATTTTATTATAGCTGGTGTTGTAGGAAATAAGTTTAAATATACCGCCGACGTGATGTCGGTAATGTAGGTATCATTAACAGATAGAAATTAATAACATGGCGAAGCTGAGTTCTTGTGGCTTGGGCTGGTCTATTTGTGTCTGTTTAGTGCTGTGTTTATCTAATCTATGGATGTGGAGCTGTATTTAATACTTCTAAATTAAAACGTAAGTAGACAGATTGTTTTATTATAGTTCGTATTTGTTCGTATTGTATACCTAAATGATGGACAGGAATTCAACCTAAATGAAGGAGAAGAAACCAACCTAAATGAAGAACAGGAAACCAACATAAATGAAGGACAGGAAACCAACCTAAATGAAGGACAGGAAACCAACCTAAGTGAAGGACTCTTTAATTTTAAATGATAATGATAGTGGCAATTGCAGAACTTTTTACATAATTTAAATATTAATATTTGAAAAATGTTCAAACTTCTATACAATTTAAATTGAATCACTGATTTTAGAAACACCTAAAGTCAATTTACTCGAGATATTCTTCAAAAAAATAATTATTTTTATATAGACTTTAAAATCATTCATTTCTTTACTAGGGTGCTAATTTCACAAATAAATGATTGGTAAGTTTATATAAAAATAATTAAGCAATTTAATTAGTTTTCTTCATTTGTGACTTAGGGTCTTTCTGAAATTAGTGGTGAAATTGTTCACTTGCATAATGCAAGTTGCATTGGTTTCACTTCACTTTAATCTTTCTATAGAGTTCGGCGTTACTTTATTATGGCATAATAAGTTTTATCAGAGTTATTTATTTTTATTATTAAGGGGGTGATACACACTAAAGTAAGCAAGTTTTTTCTCTATCACTGTTGCAATAAGCTACTGTTTTTGAATAAAAAAAGTATAAAAATTGATGTAATTTTTCTTATGCCACTGCTGTTTTTTGTTTAACGACCTATAAAAAACATATGTTTTTGCAAAAATCCATAAAGTATAGATGGCCAGTTATTTAGCAGTAATTAAAAGAATCAGTTAAATGTTGATTTTATTTGACCCATTAAGTTTAAGTGGGTCAGAAAGGAATCAGTGGCGGGGTCAAAATACTTTAATAATTTTTATATTTTTTTTTTATTAAAAAATATTAGCTCTAATGCAAAAGTAATAGGGGAATAACTTGCTTACTTAAGAATGTACTATCACAACTTATTTGGTGACACTGTATTTTGTTTTAAAAGTTTATTTTATTTTTTAAGTTTGTTTCAAAAATGTTATAAATTTATTATTGTAATAACAATTCCTTGCCATTGTGGTTTTTGTTTGTAAATGTCATAAATAAAAAAAGGCTTTTCTCGATTTTTATGTAAGAATGTCATATTCTCGCACGCAAAATCGTTGAAGAATGAAGCTCATTCTTAAACGATTTTTGGTAACATTTAGTTTTTAAGTATTGGTACCCCCAAAATGTCAAACTGATTAATAACCTCAAATTCATTACTTTTATTGAAAATGAAGCCTTTATTATTGTTTTGTAATATAAAGTTTGCTCCAACAATGCATTTTAATGCAAAATTTTAAGTTTAATGTGTAAAAGTGCAGTTCAGGTTGTACTTGTGCAGGATAACAAATATTGTCATTTTGTGTTGCCAACTGACATTTTGCGAGAAAAATCCCCTAACTAACAACGACCACAAAACAATTAAAAAAACCTAAATAAAAGTTAAAATCGAGAAAATAGTATAAATCACACGTTGCAGAAGGCTATTCTCTCACTCATTCGTTCGTCCACTCGCTCCTTCGTCGCTCGAGGCCAAATTTCGAATTCGTGCGAGAATATGTGGCCTTCTGCAACTTGTACTTTAATATACTATTTTAATTGCATATTTTTTATTTAAAATTTTATCACCTCTAGATTTGTTCGCGATATCGTATGTCGATTTGTTTACGATATCGCGTGTCGATTCTTTTACGATATCGCTTCTCGATTCGTTTACGATATCGCGTGTCGATTCGTTTACGATATCGCGTTTCGATTCGTTTACGATATCGGCGGACATCGTTTGACGATATCGCGTTTCGACTCGTTCACGATATCGAAATACATATCGACATCAACGTCATTTGACGATATCGTGACGATAAGAATGTAGAATCTAAAAGTGTCGGATTACGAGTCCTCGGAATTCTTATCGTTTTTTGTATCGTTATTGTTTGTAGGGATAGTATATTTTTTTATAATCTAGAATGTGGAATGTGCTTTAATCTATATTTTATTTAAGTTATCATAGATTAAAGATAACACCATGGCCTATATAAATAACTCACTTGTTACAATAAAACATATTTTCCTCAGATTTTGATTTGTTAATGATTAGTTATTTAGGTACGTAGGTAAGTCAGTAGTTTTTCTATAGCTTGTTCATTAAATTTCTATAAAACGTAAAAAAAATGTGGAGAATGATAATTGAACAAATCATTCGACTTACTTTTTCAAATGTTCGAGCAATTATTAAAAATTGTTATTATTTTAGATTGTAAATATTTTTAAATCTATTTTTAAACAGACTTATTATTTTGAAATTTTTGTCGCCATTGTGGCATTATTGAACAATTAAAATCCTCGATGGATGTTCCAAAACATTCCAAATTAGGTGCAAACTTTTTTCTTAGAATTATCCAAAGAATCCTTTATTTTCAGACACATGTTTTAAAACACTTCCCAGATAGCAAAATGTAGTCACGATGCGCGCACAGTGAGTGCACGCGTGCGTCTTTAAACGGCACGCGTGCGCGCATATCACTACACAGATGCGCTTACATATGCGTCTCATATGCAGCGCACGTGTGCCGGCGCATTTAAAGCGCACGTGTACCGACGCATTTCCAGCGCACATGAATGAGTCAAAAAAGTTGTATAAATATGAAATCAAAAGGAAATGCATATATAACGACGGGTTTAATGCAAAATGGCACAAGCGCCAAATTTTTCGAAAAATTGTTAGAAGTACAGGTTTTATTTTAATTGAACTTCCTAGTGAAACAATGCAAATTGCAATTTTACGTTATTTCATTATTATTAATTGTATCATTTTTGTAATTATAAGGTGAATAAAAACGAAATCTACGGTTTTTTTGATAGAATCTGGCATCACTGCCCATAAGCAGTGTAAGAGATCATTGATCACGTCGTGCGCTCATACTGCGCTCATCGCGTGGGCGCGCACGGATATGCTACTCATATGCGTGTAAAATCGACCACGTGTGCGTTCTCACGCCGTGCGACCTACGTGCGACGCACGATTGCTATCTGGGTTTGATAGAAAATACCTATCAAATTAAAATATCATTGAATTGATCGAATTTTGTTTTTGATAATTTCATTTTGGATGTTACATTAATAATGTTTTGTTTCTTATTTCTAGTCGGCCATCATAAAGAACAATCCGAAAAAAGCTGTCCGCTTTGTAGACGTTGGCGAAATCGTCGAGTTTAGAGTTGTGATGGAAGAGAATGGGAACGAAGCTGCCAATGTGATCGGCCTAAGGCCTGCGCCTCGCTACCGTCCACGGTTCCGCGGCTGTAGAGGACGCCCGCAATTCCCCAGAAGACCCATAGACAGTCAAAGCGAAGGAGAAGGTAGAAACGCCAATATATTTTTATATTTTATTAAACAAACAAAAAGTGCTAATTTTTCTCACAAAGGATGTATAAACACCTTGGCTGCTATTGGTTTAGTCCTTGACCTTCTCTTAACCGCCCTCGGTGGTGTAGTAGTCAGCACTGCGGACTACAAGCCGAGAGGGTCGTGGGTTCGAATCCCACAAGGGGTATGGCTGTTTATTTGTGTGTGTCAGTGTTGCAATGAACGGGGCAAGGGGGTACATTAATAAGTAGAAAAGAATATTAAAACCACAGAAAAACAACCTTTGGCCAAAACACGTGATCGTCTAGTTTACAGAAATTAAGTTAGGACCCCTTTTTGTTGTGAATACGGTTCTGGATACATAAGTACTTGAGCAATTAAAAAGAAATTTCAAAAGCAAAGGAAAAGTATTAAATTAAAATAAGTTTGTTCATAAAGACAATTAATACAAGAGTTAATATTATTGCTACTGTACATTAATTATATCCCTTGCGGATGAGTTTACGGTTTATTCACCGTGAATTCACTATGAATTCACCGTGAATAAACCGTCTGTTTGTGACATTTGTAAACGGTAGTTAGACGGTGAATTCACGCACTTTTCACAGTATTTTAATTGTGAATCCACCGTATTTTAGCGGTATATTCACGGTGAATTCACAGTGAATTCACGGTGAATAAACCAATAATATAATAACACAATCGACTATTATATAGCTATAATAGCTATAATAGCTATAATAGCTAGCCATTATTCGTTACTGAGCAGATTAGGATGGAGATGGGGACCAAAGAATTAATGTTCAGCTATGCCATTACAGACGCACACTTCCAACTAAATATTGCAACCCAACGCTATTTATAGTTAGCTCGCTTGCGTAAGCAGCCGTGAGATGTATTGCTTAAACCGCTTAACACAGAAATCGACTAATAAAAAAACCGCTAATAAATGGCGTCCAACTTGTTGTTTTTTTCTTTATGATGGCGTCTCAACCTCGTTGATTTTGCGCAGCTACACGAGAGCTCTCTTGCGTTATTTGTATTGTATTGGGAATAACCAATTAGCAGATTGTTCTTACACTTACAATTTGCGGTGTTTTCACAGTCAATTTACGGTGTTTTCACAGTAAACTCACAGCGCTTTTACGGTGAATTCACGGTGATTTCACGATAAATTTACGGTACTTTCACAGTGAATTTGCGGTGATTTTGCAAACTTGAGTTCACCGTGAATTTACCGTGAAATCACCGTGAATTAACCGTGAAATCACCGTGAATTTATCGAAAAAACAGCGTGAGTTCACCGTTTAATTACCGTCTACAAATGTCACAAATGGACGGTATATTCACTGCACATAAACTGTGTATTCACGGTGAATTCACGCAAACGGTGAATTCACGGTGAATTCACCGTAAACTCAAGGCCGCAAGGGATAAATAAAAAAATTTGTATTTGAAAAGTATCATTGATTTAAGTTAATAAGGTAAAACCTTAAAACCCACATATACAATCCAGACATACATATATGTCGCACATCTCAACAATATAAATAATACAACAAAATCAAAGTAATCAATATGAATATAATCAATTATATTATCATATTGCTAAGATTATTCACCTACATAAATAATATGATCGGACGGTGTAGAACAGCAAATACAAATTGAAATAATTATCAATGTACAGCAACAAACAACAATAATGTGAAACATAAAGTATAATATAACTTAGGTCACAACAACAATAATAAATGGTAGTTGTATAAATAAAATATATAAATAACAAGTGGTATAGTAGTGGACAACGCTAATGCAATTTAATTGTACAGTCATAAATAACAAATACAATCAGGTATAATCAAGTAATAAAAACATGTCAGTGCAAATCAAATATAGAAAAATAAAATGATTATCAATAATAATAAAATAAGACCATAAAACAACAACTTCATATCAATATCCCTAGCTAACCATTCTTTGTCAATCTAAATTGGTTAACTGGCAATTATTGGCAATTGGGTGCGCCTGTCAAAGCAAAGTTGTATCCAACGACCTTTACCAGAAACGTCCCAGATAACATTCGTGAATGCACATTAAACTCACACCGGGCGCAAGCCGTGAATCTTCAAAATTGAATGCATCGTGAATTCACCGTGAGTTCACAGATAACATTTGTAATGTACATTTAATTCACATAGGGCGCACGTCGTGAATCTTTAAAAATGAATTCATCGTGAATTCACTGTGAGTTCCCAGATAATATTCTTAATGCACATATAATTCATTCCGGGCGCACGCCCTGAATCTTTAAAAATGAATGCATTGTGAATCCACTGTGAGTTTCCAAATTACATTCCTGAATGCACATTAAACTCCTACCGGGCGCACGCCGTGAATCTTCAAAATTGAATGCATCGTGAATTCACCGTGACTTCACAGATAACATTTGTAATGCACATTTAATTCACATAGGGCGCACGTCGTGAATCTTTAAAAATGAATTCATCGTGAATTCACTGTGAGTTCCCAGATAATATTCTTAATGCACATATAATTCATTCCGGGCGCACGCCCTGAATCTTTAAAAATGAATGCATTGTGAATCCACTGTAAGTTTAAAAATTACATTCTGAATGCACATTAAACTCCTACCGGGCGCACGCCGTGAATCTTCAAAATTGAATGCATCGTGAATTCACCGTGAGTTCACAGATAACATTTGTAATGCACATTAAATTCACACCGGGCGCATGCCATGAATCTTTAAAATTAAGTGCATCGTGAATTCACCGTAAGTTCACAGATAAGTGGTAATCCATTAATTACGTGAGGCAATTTTGGCGATTTTTCGACTCCCCCCTCCCCTTGGGAAAATGCATTGTTTTAATGTAAATAAGTTAATCTGTAATTGATTCCATTAGATTTATTAAAAAAAAACAATTGTCATAAATATTTACTTAATTTAACCCAGTTTTCTCGCCATTTTACACTGTTTCATTTTTTTCAAAAATTACGTGATATTTGCCGAGACCACCCTCCCCCCACGTGAGATTGGGTGGGGTTTGGCTCGACCCCCTCCCCCCCTAAACACCTCACGTAATTAATGGATGCCCCCTAACATTTCTTATGCACATTTAATTCACACCGGACGCATCTCCAAGATTTTATACATATCTGTTAGCACGTTTAATTAAAGCTCTTCAAATTTATTTTGATAGGTTAGCTATACCTCTGTTTGATAGGGAAGGTATACCTACCCTATCAAAATAAATTTGAAGACCGAATTCGAAATAAGAAAAAGAAAACATAACATTAAAGGAATATTAATTAAAGATTTTTATTAAATATTAAACGGAAAATAAAAAAGTATTTTTTAATTAATATCAGTTATTAATATTTAATATACCTATAGGTAATAAAAATTATATATAATAATTGCAAAACTAAATACGCGGGCACTCGTACGCATGCGCCTATGGCCGTCACATTTCAACTAAATGCAGGGTTGCCGCTTGCAGGTATTTGACCCGAAAATCGCGTTTTTCATCATGCTTGCAAGTAAAATATTGAAGCAGGTATTTTATAAATTTTACTTTTCAAAGAAATTTTCAGTAAATAATATTGTATAACTACTAACTAAACATAATTCTTTAATTATATCCTTTTATTTTTCTCTTAATTTATTCAAAATTTAATTCACTTTTCCAAATTGAGCAAATGTACTAGAAATGTTTACTCGTGTGGGTAATTTCTAGTATTTTGTAATTTTTGGTCGGGAACTTTCACGAAAATCATCCGGCTGCAATCCGGCAACACTGCAGCGTTAGTGTGCGTACGCAGCTAAGAGCCACGAGGTTTTCTATAGAATACCATATATGGTAAACATCTAGCTAGATATCCTGTATACCGGTAAAACGTTCAGTTCATATCCTTTTTCTATGGTTCAGAGATAAACGTTCAGTTTCAAGGTGTATGTATCTTGGTTCAGTTTTTCAGTTTTATAATATATTGGTATTCAGTTCAACAGTGGCGTAATAAGCACCCCCGCAGACCCCGCACCGCGGGGGGGCCCAGACGGTCAGGGGGCCCAAGGCGTTCTTTTTCGAAACTAAAAATAGTGAAAACATATCTTCGTAACACTATGGGAAAACAACGTCTTTGTAATTTATCAATTATTAGTATTAAACATATGAGTTTATTAAGACATTAAACATTGACAATATTATAACGGAATTTGCAAAAAAAAACTCTAGAAGATCAGACCGTTTTTTTTAGTAAATCTATAAATACTTATACAATCGCATTTTGTGTTTATGTTTTTAATTTTTTTTTAATTTAACTTCTTTAAGACTGTCTACAATATGTTTTTATTTTTTTTTTCAAGACTGCAGTCAAGACATGTTTAAACTTGGTAAGATATGTATACATTTTTTAAATTATTATTATTTTTAAATTGTTATTATTGCTGATATAATAGTATAATACTGCCGTTCTAAGAAAGGCAAAATTTGGTAATAAGAACAGAAAATGTTTAGGTAATTAGTACTTAAATATTTTTTTAAAAGAATCTTAATAAGATATATATTATAGAATTATGAAAATGATCCTGCATATAAAAAGGTATATAGAATAAGATATTTTTAAACCAAAATTAATTAAATATTTTTTTTACTACCTTAATGGAAAAGTTAATTTTCCACCCCCGAGCGAGGGAGGAAAATGCCTCTTTTCCTCCCCGGGAGGAAATAGTATATTACACTACAAGGGCAGAAAGTGTGAGATTCCTGCACTGCGCGCCATGATGGCGCGCAGTTCAGGGCTCTCACACTTTCTGCCCGTGTAGTGTATACTATTTTTCTTGCTACCCCGCAGAAAATACGGGAAAAAATTAAATGTATATAAAAAAACTTGTGTCAAAATTAAAATCTGACGTTTAATTTAATTCTGACGTTTACATTCAAAATCAATCAAACTGTAGCGTTGTCATGGT